TGTGAATGTATGCTGTGGTGGCAGACATGTATGTTAGGACTCATTTTGAATAGATGCTGTGGTGGCAGACATGTATGAAAGGACTGATTGTGAATGTATGCTGTGGTGGCAGGCATGTATGTTAGGACTCATTGTGAATGTATGCTGTGGTGGCAGACATGTATGTAAGGACTCATTGTGAATGTATGCTGTGGTGGCAGACATGTATGTAAGGACTCATTTTGAATAGATGCTGTGGTGGCAGACATGTATGAAAGGACTGATTGTGAATGTATGCTGTGGTGGCAGGCATGTATGTAAGGACTCATTGTGAATGTATGCTGTGGTGGCAGACATGTATGTAAGGACTGATTGTGAATGTATGCTGTGGTGGCAGACAAGTATGTAAGGACTCATTGTGAATGTATGCTGTGGTGGCAGACATGTATGTAAGGACTAATTGTGAATAGATGCTGTGGTGGCAGACATGTATGTAAGGACTCATTGTGAATGTATGCTGTGGTGGCAGACATGTATGTAAGGACTCATTGTGAATGTATGCTGTGGTGGCAGGCATGTATGTTAGGACTCATTGTGAATGTATGCTGTGGTGGCAGACATGTATGTAAGGAGTAATTGTGAATGTATGCTGTGGTGGCAGACATGTATGTAAGGACTGATTGTGAATGTATGCTGTGGTGGCAGACATGTATGTAAGGAGTAATTGTGAATGTATGCTGTGGTGGCAGACATGTATGTAAGGACTAATTGTGAATGTATGCTGTGGTGGCAGACATGTATGTGAGGAGTAATTGTGAATGTATGCTGTGGTGGCAGGCATGTATGTTAGGACTCATTGAGAATGTATGCTGTGGTGGCAGACATGTATGTAAGGACTGATTGTGAATGTATGCTGTGGTGGCAGACATGTATGTTAGGACTCATTGTGAATGTATGCTGTGGTGGCAGACATGTATGTGAGGAGTAATTGTGAATGTATGCTGTGGTGGCAGACATGTATGTTAGGACTCATTGTGAATGTATGCTGTGGTGGCAGACATGTATGTGAGGAGTAATTGTGAATGTATGCTGTGGTGGCAGGCATGTATGTTAGGACTCATTGTGAATGTATGCTGTGGTGGCAGACATGTATGTTAAGACTCATTGTGAATGTATGCTGTGGTGGCAGACATGTATGTGAGGAGTAATTGTGAACGTATGCTGTGGTGGCAGACATGTATGTTAGGACTCATTGTGAATGTATGCTGTGGTGGCAGGCATGTATGTAAGGACTCATTGTGAATGTATGCTGTGGTGGCAGACATGTATGTAAGGACTGATTGTGAATGTATGCTGTGGTGGCAGGCATGTATGTTAGGACTCATTGTGAATGTATGCTGTGGTGGCAGACATGTATGTTAGGACTCATTGTGAATGTATGCTGTGGTGGCAGACATGTATGTTAGGACTCATTGTGAATGTATGCTGTGGTGGCAGGCATGTATGTTAGGACTCATTGTGAATGTATGCTGTGGTGGCAGACATGTATGTAAGGACTTATTTTGAATGTATGCTGTGGTTGCAGGCATGTATGTAAGGAGTAATTGTGAATGTATGCTGTGGTGGCAGGCATGTATGTTAGGACTCATTGTGAATGTATGCTGTGGTGGCAGAAATGTATGTAAGGACTGATTGTGAATGTATGCTGTGGTGGCAGGCATGTATGTTAGGACTGATTGTGAATGTATGCTGTGGTGGCAGACATGTATGTTAGGACTCATTGTGAATGTATGCTGTGGTGGCAGACATGTATGTAAGGACTGATTGTGAATGTATGCTGTGGTTGTAGGCATGTATGTTAGGACTCATTGTGAATTCATGCTGTGGTGGCAGACATGTATGTTAGGACTCATTTTGAATAGATGCTGTGGTGGCAGACATGTATGTGAGGAGTAATTGTGAATAGATGCTGTAGTGGCAGACATGTATGTTAGGACTAATTGTGAATGTAAGGTGTGGTGGCAGACATGTATGTAAGGAGTAATTGTGAATGTATGCTGTGGTGGCAGACATGTATGTAAGGACTCATTGTGAATAGATGCTGTGGTGGCAGACATGTATGTAAGGACTCATTGTGAATAGATGCTGTGGTGGCAGACATGTATGTAAGGACTGATTGTGAATGTATGCTGTGGTGGCAGACATGTATGTAAGGACTCATTGTGAATGTATGCTGTGGTGGCAGACATGTATGTTAGGACTCAATTTGAATAGATGCTGTGGTGGCAGACATGTATGTAAGGACTCATTGTGAATAGATGCTGTGGTGGCAGACATGTATGTAAGGACTCATTGTGAATGTATGCTGTGGTGGCAGACATGTATGTAAGGACTCATTGTGAATGTATGCTGTGGTGGCAGACATGTATGTTAGGACTCATTTTGAATAGATGCTGTGGTGGCAGACATGTATGAAAGGACTGATAGTGAATGTATGCTGTGGTGGCAGGCATGTATGTTAGGACTCATTGTGAATGTATGCTGTGGTGGCAGACATGTATGTAAGGACTGATTGTGAATGTATGCTGTGGTGGCAGACATGTATGTAAGGACTCATTGTGAATGTATGCTGTGGTGGCAGACATGTATGTTAGGACTCATTTTGAATAGATGCTGTGGTGGCAGACATGTATGAAAGGACTGATAGTGAATGTATGCTGTGGTGGCAGGCATGTATGTTAGGACTCATTGTGAATGTATGCTGTGGTGGCAGACATGTATGTAAGGACTGATTGTGAATGTATGCTGTGGTGGCAGACATGTATGTAAGGACTAATTGTGAATGTATGCTGTGGTGGCAGACATGTATGTTAGGACTCATTTTGAATAGATGCTGTGGTGGCAGACATGTATGAAAGGACTGATTGTGAATGTATGCTGTGGTGGCAGGCATGTATGTTAGGACTCATTGTGAATGTATGCTGTGGTGGCAGACATGTATGTAAGGACTCATTGTGAATGTATGCTGTGGTGGCAGACATGTATGTAAGGACTCATTGTGAATGTATGCTGTGGTGGCAGACATGTATGTAAGGACTCATTTTGAATAGATGCTGTGGTGGCAGACATGTATGAAAGGACTGATTGTGAATGTATGCTGTGGTGGCAGGCATGTATGTTAGTATTCATTGTGAATGTATGCTGTGGTGGCAGACATGTATGTAAGGACTGATTGTGAATGTATGCTGTGGTGGCAGACATGTATGTAAGGACTAATTGTGAATGTATGCTGTGGTGGCAGGCATGTATGTTAGGACTGATTGTGAATGTATGCTGTGGTGGCAGACATGTATGTAAGGACTGATTGTGAATGTATGCTGTGGTGGCAGACATGTATGTAAGGACTCATTGTGAATGTATGCTGTGGTGGCAGACATGTATGTAAGGACTAATTGTGAATAGATGCTGTGGTGGCAGACATGTATGTAAGGACTCATTGTGAATGTATGCTGTGGTGGCAGACATGTATGTAAGGACTCATTGTGAATGTATGCTGTGGTGGCAGGCATGTATGTTAGGACTCATTGTGAATGTATGCTGTGGTGGCAGACATGTATGTTAGGACTCATTGTGAATGTATGCTGTGGTGGCAGACATGTATGTAAGGAGTAATTGTGAATGTATGCTGTGGTGGCAGACATGTATGTAAGGACTGATTGTGAATGTATGCTGTGGTGGCAGGCATGTATGTTAGGACTCATTGTGAATGTATGCTGTGGTGGCAGACATGTATGTAAGGACTCATTGTGAATGTATGCTGTGGTAGCAGGCATGTATGTTAGGACTCATTGTGAATGTATGCTGTGGTGGCAGACATGTATGTAAGGACTAATTGTGAATGTTTGCTGTGGTGGCAGGCATGTATGTAAGGACTAATTGTGAATGTTTGCTGTGGTGGCAGGCATGTATGTTAGGACTCATTGTGAATGTATGCTGTGGTGGCAGACATGTATGTAAGGACTCATTGTGAATGTATGCCATGGTAGCAGGCATGTATGAAAGGACTGATTGTGAATGTATGCTGTGGTGGCAGACATGTATGTAAGGACTAATTGTGAATGTTTGCTGTGGTGGCAGGCATGTGTGTAAGGACTGATTGTGAATGAATGCTGTGGTGGCAGGCGTGTATGTAAGGACTCTATAGAAGATCTGCATGCAGGAGGGTATCTAGTTTTTGGCTGATTATCTCAACTGTGGCAGAATTAAAACACTATTGGAACATGTCGTGGTGTAGATGACATCAGTTCTGTTGACGTCATCTCCCTGTGAACAACGGTATCGCTGTGTTGCTCGAGGAGAGGGGTAGGGGGGGGGGGGGGGGGGGGGGCAAAGTTAACGAGGCAGAAGAGTGACATCCAAACCTCGCTTGCTCAGATTAGATGGATGTGCAGGAGCATCTATTGTGTCATAGGTTGGAAAATGTCAGATATCTAGTGGATTTGATTGGCGTCATGAAGGCTTGTCTCAGTTGATTGTGAGACATCGTACCCTGATGTTACTGATAATATCAATCAATGAGATTGTCTGGCATAGACTTTATTATTTTCATGCTGTCATAATAGAGATGGAATATTTCTTAGTACAGTGCTAATTTAAGAGGCTGTAGTCGGAACGACCTCAATACTAAAAAGTCAAAATGGCCACAAAAAAAGTCAAAATGGCCACAAACCCATAGTCAAAATGGACACCAAAAAAACCCAGCCACAACAGAAATAATAACAAACGTACTAGAGGGGGGTGGGGGTGGCGAGAATACTTCGTGTTTGTATAAGAAAAACAAGCACTTAAGTACAAGTATTAGACAGTTTATGCCTGTGAAGAAAAGATTCGGATTCACAAAATTAATTTATTAACTAAAAATCAGTTCACAAAATATAAGAAATTATTACGAATGAACGAACACAAGGGCTTGATCTAATAGACTATAGGCAGCTGACGTCGAATGTGGAAAGTTTAGAATAGTAGTTCCGCAGCAGTTACGTCCCTTTGAGTGGAAGGTAGCCATGCTGTGGGGAAGTGTTTTGACGTGTGTTTTGAGATCCAGCCGTCACGCCACAGTGAACGGGTCACCGGCGGCTGCAATGTGTAGATTGTTTACTACAACAAACAACAGTCAGTTGAAAGAAGGTAATCATTATTTTTTGTGGTTCACAGACAGAACCTCAACATACACATGCTGTTCAGATTTCGATCAGCCAAGTAACGCATTAGACTGGGATTTCATGCTGTGTATTCTAAGGAAAAAATAGAAAAATCAGTGCCATTTAGTGGTCTTTTAGTTAAAAAACCCAGCAAAAGTAAACAGAATCATTATCTGATAACAACTTAATGTACTGTTGTGTCAATCAATGAAGGGTCTCTCTCTCTCTCTCTCTCTCTCTCTCTCTCTCTCTCTCTCTCTCTCTCTCTCTCTCTCTCTCTTTCACACACACACACACACACACAAAGTATCCTGAGTATTATTTACTATTAACCCATATTATGAATTCTCACCTGTTTGCATTAGCTGCGTGGCATATCGTTTACATATAAAAGTTCCACATGTTGAGAGTTTTGAATATTCTATGGCAAGCACTAGTTTATGAAAGCACATTATTTCCAAAACTTCAGCTCTGTAACACAAGTTTGGAACGACACCACTGTCAAATATTTTAGATGCATCTTGAAAGGATAGGTATCCATTTTTCTTGAGATGGTAGCCAGGCCACCCAATCCTGTTATGTCACGGAACATGTAAGTAAGTATTTATATAGACTCTTTCCTTTGCTTCATGTTTCCTTGTCCTTTGTATTGCAGTCAGGCAAACACAGACAGAGAATGCAACTGTGGTGAGTATGTAACTGGTTGTGATCTTTTTAAACCAAAAATAATATGTCCCCAATCCTGTAACCCAATTTCTGTAAGCTAAAGGTCACGAGTTCAGGTCCAAGGGTTTTGTCTTAGTGACATGTGACCTAATGGCTGAGATCATCCTCATGATAAGTTGTGGAGCTGAATTCTAAAGATGCCTCTTATAGATATTGACAACCATCAATCTGAAGGTGTTCCTTATTGACAGCCATCAACCTGAAGGTGTTCCCTATTGACAACCATCAATCTGAAGGTGTTCCTTATTGACAACAATCAATCTGAAGGTTTTCCTTATTGACAACAATCAACCTGAAGGTGTTCCTTATTGACAGCCATCAACCTGAAGGTGTTCCCTATTGACAACAATCAATCTGAAGGTGTTCCTTATTGACAACAATCAATCTGAAGGTGTTCCTTATTGACAACAATCAATCTGAAGGTGTTCCTTATTGACAACAATCAATCTGAAGGTATTCCTTATTGACAACAATCAATCTGAAGGTATTCCTTATTGACAAACATCAGTCTGAAGGTGTTCCTTATTGACAACCATCAGTCTGAAAGTGTTCCTTATTGACAACCATCAGTCTGAAGGTGTTCCTTATTGACAGCCATCAGTCTGAAGGTATTATTTATTGACAGCCATCAGTCTGAAGGTGTTCCTTATTGACAACAATCAATCTGAAGGTCTTCCTTATTGACAACAATCAATCTGAAGGTGTTCCTTATTGACAACAATCAATCTGAAGGTATTCCTTATTGACAACCATCAGTCTGAAGGTGTTCCTTATTGACAACCATCAGTCTGAAGGTGTTCCTTATTGACAACCATCAGTCTGAAAGTGTTCCTTATTGACAACCATCAGTCTGAAGGTGTTCCTTATTGACAGCCATCAGTCTGAAGGTGTTCCTTATTGACAGCCATCAGTCTGAAGGTGTTCCTTATTGACAACCATCAGTCTGAAGGTGTTCCTTATTGACAGCCATCAGTCTGAAGGTGTTCCTTATTGACAGCCATCAGTCTGAAGGTATTCCTTATTGACAGCCATCAGTCTGAAGGTGTTCCTTATTGACAACCATCAGTCTGAAGGTGTTCCTTATTGACCGCCATCAGTCTGAAGGTGTTCCTTATTGACAGCCATCAGTCTGAAGGTTTTCCTTATTGACAGCCATCAATCTGAAGGTGTTCCTTATTGACAGCCATCAATCTGAAGGTGCTCCTTATTGACAACCATCAATCTGAAGCTGTTCTTTAAGGACAACCATCAGTCTGAAGGTGTTCCTTATTGACAGCCATCAGTCTGAAGGTGTTCCTCATTGACAACAATTAGTCTGAAGGTGTTCCTCATTGACAACAATCAGTCTGAAGGTGTTTCTTATTGACAACCATCAGTCTGAAGGTGTTCCTTATCTCCCCCGAAATATGAACCCAGGGATACTCTAGATTAAGAACTAGCATAGCTCTGCCTTCATCCTGGACAGACATGCAGCTGTATATAGGTTTATATTTTTCCAATCCAAGAACCAGGGGGGTTGTATGGCAAGAAACCTGGCAGATCCTGGAAGTCAGTACAGTGATGTCTCGGCATAAAGCTCCTCAATGTACCGCTAGCCTGATGCAGCATGGGGTAAACCTTGGCTCCCAAAACTTCAAGGAGAATTTCCCTAAAAATCATGTGAATGCAAATAAAGTGACATTTTGAACCATCGTCTACAATCAAGGTTACATAGATCTACATGTCTCATGCCACTGTGAAATAATTATGTTCCATTGACTGTCATCATTGCATAATGTGTTGATCACCAGCAAAGAATATCTGTATGACACGGTGTCGGGATCTTGGACCCTGATGGCAGCGGTATATCAAGGAATCACTGTATATGAAAGGGCTTGACCAGCTTCACCATACCAACCTCTGGCCATCAGTGAAGATCCATACACTAAATATTGATAAACGCCCTTACTGCCTCATGTTTACACACACATCAAGCCACTTGCTCATTACTGCCTGTAACTGGTGTCAGTCAGAGATATACATTACTTTCCTCTCTATACCTGAATGTTTCGTGGTTATGTTGGGAGCTTGTCATTCTCATCTTTCCAATAACCAGCCAATCAAACCCGGCTATTCTTGACAGGTGGAATATTTGTTCAGTACATTCTGGGGCAATAGGTATAAGATGGATGCTGGGTGTTACTGGAGGCAAATATAGATACTACTCAAAACAAGTTAAGGCTCATCCGATTCTTTAATATGACGACAGTTAAATCTGTCATGCCATAACATACGTATAGTTATATAAAAGAATTGGATGATCCTTAAAAATTGTTTGAGTCGTATACATAAAATGGACACCAATAATATCCAATTCAATCTAATCTTATGTGCCAATTCTGATTAGAGTTACAATCCAAGTTTGGACAGTCAGTGTCCAATTGTCTTCACTCAATCACTGTCTCAATTCAGACAAGCAATTCTCCATGATCCCCATGTCATGAAAGAGCATCTCTCTGGAACCCCCGTGTCCAGGAGTGAAACCCCAAAATATATTCTTAGAGTCCAGAAAACTCACAAACATAAAGATGAGGCAAATCCCAGTGAGTGTGTGAATCGGGTGAAGAGTGCATCTGGTACCTTGGATTATGAAGACATCCTTACAGACACTGTGACTATGTAGGAGGCCATGTCTACAGATCAGAATACTCACATTCATAGCTGAGGTTCAGATAGGAGTCTTGAGACTTGCTTTCTCCCAAACTTTGACTGTGTATCACCCCTCTTGTTTGAAATGAGCTGTGGACAAGGTAGATTCAGCTCATGGTGTCTACTGTTTGAAATGAGCTGTGGACAAGGTAGATTCAGCTCATGGTGTCTACTGTTGTTTGAAATTAGCTGTGGACAAGATAGATTCAGCTCATGGTGTCTACTGTTTGAAATGAGCTGTGGACAAGGTAGATTCAGCTCATGGTGTCTACTGTTTGAAATGAGCTGTGGACAAGGTGGATTCAGCTCATGGTGTCTAATGTTGTTTGAAATGAGCTGTGGACAAGGTAGATTCAGCTCATGGTGTCTAATGTTGTTTGAAATGATCTGTGGACAAGGTAGATTCAGCTCATGGTGTCTACTTTTGTTTGAAATGCACTGTGGACAAGGTAGATTCAGCTCATGGTGTCTACTGTTTGAAATGAGCTGTGGACAAGGTAGATTCAGCTCATGGTGTCTAATGTTGTTTGAAATGAGCTGTGGACAAGATAGATTCAGCTCATGGTGTCTAATGTTTTTTGTTTCCAGATTGAAGGGGTCAAGATTCCGTCCAGTCGAACTGATTACCTGTTGCCAGGCAACATGGAGGTCAAGTGCCCGCTATGCAGGGTTCATACAGATCTCAAATACACGGTCAGTAGGATGTGTGTGTTCTCCTGTGTAGGAAACTCAGCGTGTGATGGGGGTAGTGGGGTAGTCTAGTGGTTAAAGCGTCCGCTCGTCACGCTGAAGACCCGGGTTTGATTCCCCACATGGGTACAATGTGTGAAGCCATTTCTGGTGTCCCTCGTCGTGATATTGTTGGAATATTGCTGAAAGCAGCATAAAACCATACTCACTCACTCACTCACTCAGCTTGCGATGTTCTCATGACAAACATATGTAATGCTGACATAGCAATTCCTTGAAACACAGGACTTCATATATTGGAAGGATGTGTACACTTGAGGAAAATTAATATATTTTTAATTTAAAGTAGTAGCCAAAGTAAGTGGGACTAGTTCCTCAGTATCTCCTCCTTAGAGTTGAAATCTTAGTCGTGTTAGAAGTTTCTTTGTTAATCTGGGGGCACGGGTGGCTCAGTCGTCTAAGGCGCTGCGATTCGCTGTGCAGAATTGCGTCCCTTAGGCGAGTCACAAACCTATGATTGTGGGTTCGAATCCCGGTTCGCCCCGATTATGTTTCTAGGTTTGTCAGCACCATACCCGTGCTCGTGGGTTTCACCAAAGTGGTAAACGTCTGAGACCTGCATCAGTTCGGGCTTTCCTCCCACATTAGGCTGACACGCCGCGATATAACTGGAATACTGTTAAAAGCGGCGTTAAACCCAACTCACTCACTCACTGTGTTAATATGTCTGCTTTCATCAGTTGCCAGGTTATGACTGAACATAGTGATATTTGTTTTTATTACCTACGAGGACAAACATATCGGGGTTCATAAAAATCATATGTGTCATATCAAGACACAACAGTGTATTGTTTCTGTCATCCAGACAGCATTGTTGACGTCATTGACATCTTATTGTGACGTGAGGTCGGTATTTCCCTCACAGTTTTGTCTTCTTGTGAACTCTTTCATGAAAATATCTTTTTATCAAACAGCCAAATACTATTCTAACTTAATGTCAGTGCTTCACTTTATCATCCAAAACAGGCTTCCACAGGAGATATCGTTTGGCGGAGATATCTCCTAGGTGATCACTAATCTCTCTGCCATTGAAGCTGGTTAGCTGTACTATTGACACTGAAGACACCGGTTACTACTGATCACTAATCTTTCTGCCATTGAAGCTGGTTAGCTGTACTATTGACACTGAAGACACCAGTTACTACTGATCACTAATTTCTCTGCCATTGAAGCTGGTTAGCTGTACTATTGACACTGAAGACACTGGTTACTACTGATCACTAATCTCTCTGCCATTGAAGCAGGTTAGCTGTACTATTGACACTGAAGACACTGGTTACTACTGATTACAAACTTATAAGCCTCTGGGGTTTTATACTTCTAGGTACGTGTTGACATATCTGATGTCAGTAGACAACACGGAGATTCACTTTGTCGGGGGGTTGCATCTGTTGTTTCAGGATGTGCTCATCCTCAGTCAGTTCCTACGCCCCGATGGCTGCCTCCTCCCCCGGCGGGTGACAGGCGTGTGTAAGAAGCAGCAGGTATCTCTGGAGAAGCTGGTACACCAGGCTCAGAGGGCAGGTAGGTCACGTGGGTGATATAGCAATAGGCTATTTATAGTGTGCATGTTTCCCTGGGGAGTATACAACCAAGATGCATGAGAGATACTCGACCTCTCCTACACACTGCAGGGATGTACCAGGGTCTATCTATTGTCGAGTCCAGGGGACTCAGTGATAATGTTTTGGCGTCCAAGGCTTGTGACGTGTGGCATGCGTCACTCAGTTTCCAGGAACTGTACTTGAATCTATTATGAATGGGGATTTCACTGCAAATCAACCACAAACACTCTTAGTTTGATTGTGTTTCCTTCCGATCAGTACAGTAATAATGTACATTTAATGATTAAATTATGTGCATCTATTCTCAGTTTGTAAGCCTATAAGACACAATATTTGGCGTCGGTAAAACCCTCACATAGGCTGTGTATTCTGTATTCCAGGCCTACTGCCAACATATCGACCTGATCTGCCCGGCGGGAAGCCGAGGACTCACCTACGCTCCCAGTTCAAGTGGAAACAATACAAAATATATTACGAGGAGGATTGATGAGGATGTCCCTGGTCCAAACAATTACATAATGTGATGGCAGAAAACACAGTGCCTGACATGAACCTGTTCTGAACGCTACTACCTCCATCGTCGTGAACGGAGTGATGTCACACTGTGTGTAGCTCCCTGTTCTGAACGCTACTACCTCCATCGTCGTGAACGGAGTGATGTCACACTGTGTATAGCTCGCTGTGTGATGTCACACTGTGTGTAGCTCGCTGTGTGATGTCACACTGTGTGTAGCTTGCTGTGTGATATAGCCCCAGGTGACATCAGGACTGGCAGATAGTGTGTGTGCTGAGTTGGGGCATTGGAAGATGGTGTGTATGCAGAGTAGGGGCTAATAAAGAATCAAGATGTTGTTTGCCTGTTGTCCAGTTTGTTTTGGGTTCAGCTGGACCAGAGAGTTGTCTGCTTCAGTAAGCAACTCGACAGTTGTGTGAAGCAAAGTGAGGTCCAGGAGACCAGTCACATCTGGCGCAGACTGAAGTGGGTCACGTGACCACTGCCTCCAGATAATCCTGCTCGTTTCCAGGCATATTTATGATACACAGTGTTGAATGTTTCACTTAGCCTATGAAGACTGAGACTCATTATTCACTGAATATTTTATTAACTTTACATTTTAGTCCACAAAATATTGACAAAAAGTGATATGACTGAACTCTCCCCCTTCTTGAGGTATGTTGTCCCAATATCTTTACCATGTAGCAACTCATACCAAACTAAGTAAGGATAAGATTTATGGATGAACAACTAATTAAGAGCAAAGTTTCGGTGTAGTTTCTAACACTGTTATCAAGCAAGTGAATGGTATGACTTCTTTGATAGGCAAACTATTAAGAAAAAACTACAGTGTTTCATGAATATTGTTTTATTATATTTAACAACAGGTATTACTTGAATCTTCTACGATATATAAATTATGTGAGAGAGGCAGAGAACACAGAGATGATGTAGACAGGTGATGCTATGTACAGATGATTCCGGGCGGCCTACAACATGAACGGCAGGTCCAAGTTCTTCTCTCCAGTGCCGAAGTATACCGAGCCAAACCTGCGCTGTCCTGGGACGTTGCAGAAGATGTAGCCCTGCCACAGCAGACTCCGCAGAGTCACCAGGCCACTGCCACGCTCAAACTGTAGACTCCAGGAGCCTGCAACAAAACAACACACCATGTAGTCCCAGACACCAGAGACGGGTCTTACTTCGCTAAGTGCTTCAAATCATGTGAGCACCTTGATTAAAAACATGAAAAGATTTGGAAAATATCTGTTGAAGCTAAGTTGATGGGACACATTTTGGGCAAATCCTGCATCGAACGAAATCTGCATTGCATATCATGAGCCGGTTGTTGATTTAGTATCGTGATTTTGATTGGACTGTGCATAAACTCGTTAGTCCAGCCAAAAGATAACTTTCTAACCTTGGGTACCTCCTCCAGCATAGTAATTGTTACTGGTGTTTATTAGTGTTTTCATTTTGGCTCACCTCGGGGAATGTCCTCCTCCACCGAGTCCATGAAGTCAATGGCCTTGTCCAGACTCGCCCGCTGGAGGATGCTCTTCTCGCTGATCCGCTGGGATTCACGGAAGTGGAAGTAGTTGCACAGCTTGGCTGCCTCCGACACAGACAGACCTGCACACATTGTTCAACTTGTTGCTTACTGAGGCTCAATTTAATAGAAAGTTCACTTACTCTATAAGAAAACGTGTTGTGAAACAAGTATACACCAAGAAAAACGTTAAGCATCACCTCTTCTCTATTTTCATATATCCAGACATTCCATGTATCTTTTGGAAATATGTACATTGATCTCATCTGATAAATGACTAAACTACAACAAATATCTCTCAGGCAGTTGGTAAAAACCCTCTGTTGCTCCAGGTGGTTGCAAGTACGAGGGCACAGGATAGAAAGAAGTGATAGAATGGGTAGTTCAATAACTAGTGCAGTGGAGCAGTTACAAAATCTCATATGATAATTGATTTTGGTTCTTTATAAACAAAAATGTGTGGTTTGTTCTGAAATACGAAATGGATAGGATTTAAGAAAGTGACTTATTTTATGTGGCAATATAATGTTTTTTGTAAGCAGGGTTTCATTTTTTGCAGAATGTAGATATCACTACACCCAAAAGACTAAACATATTTAAGACAAGAAACCTGACTGTATGATCACACAAACGAATATGCAATGTGTTATCACTGAGATTGTATGTACATTGGACTATGCATTTTGTTCCTGCTAAAGTTATGGTAATCTGCTTGCTAATGTTCAGTGAGCAAGTTAAAATGTAATTTCCTGACAGCAAATATCTTTGCCGTATGACAATATGTGAACGTTGAAACCACCTGGTTTAACAATAATTCCTCATATGTACATCTTTCATGGTGTTAAATTACATGTATGCAGAAAAGATTCACAATTTATTTTAAAAAGAAATAGACCTTCAAAGCTCCTGTTAGAGATGACTTGTCCAGTTGGAGTTTTGATGAAAGCAGCACGTGGGACAATGCGGACATCTTCATCAATCTCAGTGATGACAGATGCCAGACGATCCTCCTCCTTGATTGTCAGCTAATAACAAAAATTAAACAACCTGTCTCACACTCGCCACTTCCCAGTCAACTTCATTCATTTTTTCTGACAAGATATTCTAGATATAGCAGATATTTGAGCAGCACTGACCGTTTCTTCTTCCTCTGTGGCATCGTCGCCCTCTCCTACTTTCTTGGTCTCCACATGTTCGTACTCGTATGAAGGGTCTCCAGTAAAGCGACCCTTAGCAAGCTTGCTCTGATCTCGCATCATCTGTGTTGCTGGTGGGAGGAGGCCCCAGTGGATACAGTCCTTGCTACAAGATGAGAACAGCAGCATAAGGTGTGATGCTAATCTTTGCATATAAAAAGCAGGTACATATGCATATACATATATACCTATGCACTATGTGATTTTGAATGTTCTCGTAGTGAACCTGATGCACTTTCCTCCCAGATTAAGCTGACATGCTGTGATATAACTGAAATAATCACTTATACTCACTTAAAAGAGACATGACATTATAACAAATGATTTACTTAAAAGCTTGGTAAAACCAAACTCACCAACAATATATGGTTGTGCTACTAGCTTCTGTTGGCTTACAAACACAGAATTAAATTTGATAACCGATTTCAGTAAACATCTGAAACTGATAAATACCTATTTTCAAAACCATGTGTGAGTAAAATAGAGCACAAAATATATCACGACCATATCATGAGATCAAAAGTCGTTTGAACCTTTACATCGGCAATTTGCTTGAGGTATTGAGACCCTACCCAGCCCTGGCATCCGTTTTTATTATTGTATTGGAAAAGAATGGTACATTTGAAAGGGCAGGAACCCGCATAGTACGTCTCCCAAGAAAAGGTTCTCATCGAACAAACACCTTAATGTTGCATCACGGTCGACAAGGACATAACAGTAATTTTGCAAGGGCGTTAATTAAGTATAGATCATTTTCTTCGATTTCTTACCTGTAAAATGTTTTTCTTCCGGCAAATTCATCTTTGTCGAATCCTTGGGCAACAAAATAATCTTCCTTCACTCCGACGATTTTCCCCCAGAAGTACACTTTGTGAAATTTGTTTTCATTCTGTAAAATCACTAGTGACGTTTGAAGGGCTGCTTTCTGTTCTGGACTCAGAATAACGCCACTGCTGCCAACGTAGTCAATATTCAGATGTAGGCCCTCGGATTCCATTTCGTGTTTTCTTGTGGTCACCGTTAACACAAATGTGGAGAAGGTGATCTTTGTCGAGGGTAATGGTTGTTTACGACGTTACTATGTAAGTGGAACATGCGCATACGATAACTTCCGTTGCTAAGGCACATGATAATATTTCCCTGCAACTAACGTTGTATTATTTTTGTATTATTAAAATAATCATGGCATTCATGATATTTAGAGCTAACATAAGACATGTATAATGCAAATTAAGAAATTAAAGAGATTGACAAATATCCATGCAGAAAGACTGATGATAATTGCCAAAAATAACAATCAATTTGTCGCAAACTGAGAATAGTTTTGTATACTATCTTTTCACTGGGCCACTGTCTACAAACGCTTAAAAACATTTGCGCGTACCAACAGCGGAACCAGTAAATATCCGTTTCCCAGAACACATGTGATTGACTTCCTCTGTTTACATTAATTTTTATGAACCGGGAACTGACACGTGTGTAAGATAAACTTCACCCACAATCATCCGAAAATGGCAGCTTTTGATCCTGATATTGAAATCATGTATGTGTGTCGGTCGAATTTAGTATCACGTTCTCAAGTGCGAGTGATTATGTCTGAAACGTACAACCGAACAAAACTTCCTGAAGCAATGGAAAACGATCTTGAACTTGTATGGAGTGATCGAGTGTCCAAAAACCCGAAGTTGTATAATGGTACCAAGTTCAGGATAGATTCTGTATCGTTTCATGGCGACATACTAACGTTAAATCTCGGGGTAACGTGTTACAAGGAATATATAGGGAGCAACTGGTCTCCTAGAGTAGGGCAATACCAAACTGTGGGTCGTCAGCAAAGTAACAACCCTCAGGTGCACCTGTCAGATCCTCTTGGCGTCGGGTCGTTTGTACTGACAAGTGATAATCGTGTGATCCTGCTGAGGAGAAGTGTACACTGTGGCGAGGCTCCTGGTCTGTGGGACGTCCCAGGTGGACATGCAGAGCCTGAGGTATACACACATTGATGCGCTAGCTAGCAGTAACACTCTTTTTGTACTTAAAACAAGCAATTATTGAAAATGCATTAGAACGGGTAAAGATAAAGCTTCGTATCCATCCTTGTCAATGCAAATCTAATTGTTTTATTGCAAAAGAAGTCTTCATGAAAGAAATGTACAAGGACATTGGGGAGGGTCATCCGGAAATATAACGAGTATTGTGAGATTGATGTACATCACAAGATTTGTGTGTGCAGAAAAGGCAGTGTTTCAACAGCATGACTCAGACTTGCTTGGACAGCCATTTTGTCTGCACCTTGTCCTCATGCCTTCAGTGTCTTAGACCTCCTTTACCATTTAATGTTCCACAAACTAAAAACTGTGAATTTCATTTCAAATAATGACTACAAGCTCTTTGTGAGGATGAAATAGTTCGTATTGTAACCATGGTAACTTGCAAAACATTAAATTGTGAGCGTCATTGTAGTAGCACCAAGGATAACCTCAGACACACATTGTCTCTCTGAGCCCATTGCAGACTAAAGGTGAATGGACAGTCATCTCCCTTTAAATAGCATGGTCACTCTGAGAAATCTGTCTGGACATATTTGTGTAGATTATGTTGTTGTCTGATAATGCATTTTTCACAAAACACAGTACTTGAAAATCAAACTATTGGCGTGAATATCTTATCATTTTACCATGTTATTTACAATATTTTTTGAAATGTGCAATGAAACAGGTTAAATGAATACTGGACAACCTGTACCTTGTATAGTTTGTTAGACTCTTTCACACATTGGATAACCAATACCCACATGTATCTTATTACCTGGATAACCTGTACCTACCTGTATCTAATCAACTGGATAACTCGTACCCACCTGTATTTAATCAACTTGATAACCTGTACCTACCTGTATCTAATCAACTGGATAACCTGTACCTACCTGTATCTAATCAACTAGATAACCTGTACCTACCTGTATCTTATCAACTAGATAACCTGTACCTACCTGTATCTAATCAACTGGATAACCTGTACCCACCTGTATTTAATCAACTAGATAACCTGTACCTACCTGTATCTCTAATCAACTAGATAACCTGTACCTACCTGTATTTAATCAACTGGATAACTCATACCCACCTGTATCTAATCAACTAGATAACCTGTACCCACCTGTATCTAATCAACTGGATAACCTGTGCCTACCTGTATCTTATCAACTAGATAACCTGTATCCACAGATTCGTACCTTGTATATTAGTATATTAGACTCACACACAAATGTTGGGTAACACCGTACCTAATCAACTTAATGATTCGAACCCGTGAAAGTGAACGTGGGTTGCCGTGCGACGGTGTCAGCAAAAGCTGGCACCACCGCACATTTGGACCAGCTTGTGTTGGAGGATTTCTCTGTCTAAGGGATACTCTCCATGAGGTCCGAGATGAGTGTCAGCTGCTTGTGGGGGATGCTGAATGTGTTATGTGGTGCTTCATCTAAAGGGTAATCACCATTTGTCCCAATCAGCATAGCACTCTTGGAGTTGGATTGAATGTTCAAATGTATGAGGAATGATTGTCTGTAGTTTATTGAATTAAATGTGCTCCAAATGTTTCAATGTGCTGTTAATAAATGATGTTTTTATGGTCTGTACTGGTTAACCCAGTCTGGTTTTGGACAACTTGCTTTAATACCAGCTCGTTTCAAATGCAACAAATAATGATTGAATATGAAAATATATGGGTACAATTCCTCCAAATTTGTGTACAGATCATCCAGATTTATGTATGGGTCATCCAAATTTGTGAACAAGGCAGCCACACAAAGTATGAATGCTCCAAATCTGGTAAAGCTTGGACAGAAATTAGGGGTGGAAATTAGCAGTAGCCTGCTAGCCTAAATGTGTTATCACTAGGGCTGGGACGAGTCCAAATTTACTACCCAGGTACCCACCACCCGACCCTACCCGGGTACCTGCTGTAGATATTTAGAGATAGGTACAAACTGTCTGATTTGGAAACGTTTGACCTTAGCCCTTGCAAAATGTATTTAGATATATGTGTAAAGTGATCTGGTCATGCATGCACTGAAGTTTACTTCATGAAGTTTTATCTTTATTCAAACATATAAAAGTCAGAATAAATGGGTGCATTGTCAGAAAGAAATGGGAACATTAGTGACTTATAGTGTAACCATAGAGTTTTAGATAATTTTTGTCATTAAACAATATATCACGTGACTAACCACAGGTCCGGGTAGTCCTTTGGGTACCCAGGTCCTACTCATGACCCACCCGACCCGAGTACCCGAGTTACCTGAGTTACCCGTCCCAGCCTTAGTTATCACTATCAGGGCTAGATGATATTGTGTCATGTGAACCCTGAAGAATTATTGATCACTGAATCTAAATGAAGGATGCATGGCTTTTTCAAGCCAATCAGAGGTCAGCTTCCTTTCTTTACTGCCTAGATTCTTGTCAGATCTTCACGAGGAGAGGTGTCATATCAGAGTTAAAGATTTGATTTTAATGAGATTGATTCTCTTGCATTGTTTGCTGGGTTTTGTATTCTAGAAAACGTAGGTGGGCAGCCTCCGTGTACCGTGTGTACAGTCCTGCTGACACAGTTATGGCAGTGGCAAGTGCTTACAATGTGAAATATTTACAAAAATTAAATTAATAAATTTTTAAAAAGTGTTTTAGTGTGTTCTATATGCAGTCATTCGTTATAGTTACATGATCTTTTGTTAATATACAGGTTGACCCGCCAACCAGTGCCAATATTGTCGTTGATGAGTTTGTCCGCTGTTGTTGTTTGCTTGTTACATTCCTTTACCCGCAAACACCTGGTGTCATATTAACTGATTTTCAGTGGGCATTGATTTATTGTTCACAGCCATTTTGCCATTTTCACCAAATGGAATCTGGGGATAATGCAGAGTGGTTATTCTGTTGCCATGACAGTTAATATTATATGAGGATATCTGGGTTTGATCACAATAATCAAAGTGTTTTGTACTTGAAATGTGTTATGTAGAGAATGTGGTGAAGATATTTCTTGATATCTGTTTTAGATATGTTGCTCTAGTCTGCTGGTGTTTGTGTTTGATAAACGTTATGAGGGTTTAAGAAAAATAGGTACTGCAATATGATTGCTTACATTTTAATTTCCTCTAGCTATGAACGCCCCTGCGCAACCCACCCTGTTCTTTCAGCATTGGTGTCCTGGAAGTATGACAACACAGTAAACACATTCAACGCTTAAGTAATGTTGTGTAGAGATGACGTGACCCCTCGTCTTCTGCTAGTAGATGAAATACATTGGGTGGAAGTGAAGGAGAGTTCAGTCTTAGGTTACGACACAGTTTGGAAATATGTTAATACAGAACTTATTAGTATTTGAGAAAAATGGTGTTGGAATCATAAATCTCTTTGAATTTTGGAAAGGCAAGAAAATGGCCATTTTTATCTATTAAATCGTTAATGAACCGGACCCCCGTATGTTGCATCTTTCATGACATATACTTTCCTTATCAAGTCCGATGTGGTAGTGCTAAGTCATGTGACCGAGAATGTCTTCATTGTGTACTGAAAGAATACCTTCAGCGAAGTCAAACCAAGCTAAAATAAGATAATAATAAAGTGTGAAGTCTTTGAAAAGCATTTAGGAGTGATACACATAAGGAAGAGAATTTATGGATGTCAACTTCTTTATTGTGAGGAAGTTGATATCCATCAATTCTCTTCCTTATAATAAAATGTGCGTCTTTTATTTGGGAGAATATTTGGTTTTGACTGGTTACAGTTGAATTCCTTTTCTATCGAACAAATTTGACTTTGTTATATTGTTTTCAAACAAGGCACACCATTTTGATCTTGTCTTGTAATATTGACAACTTTTGAGCTTGAATTAATCCTTTGATTTTGGGGAGTTTGAATCCTCCGTCTTTTGTGCAACAAATTATTTGGTTCCTTTTTATCTTACTGGGCTTATTTCTCCAAACAAAGTTAAAGCATTATTTTGAAAACTATTAATGACATTATCTGGTGGATTAGGTAAGATGAAAACGAGTTTTACATGATTTAGGTTTCTCACCATAGTTAATGTCGGTTATTTCATCAAGGTGTAGACTAAATTTTCTACTTAAGTACTGTTTACTGTTGTCTGTCAGGAGTTGGTTGGGAAGAAACCGTTTGAGGAAATAGATGTGTCCTCCATGGATTCTCAAGCTGTCACTGAGGAAATCTTTGACTCCATCCTGCGTGAGATTCGGGATGAGGTTAATCTGCCACAGTCATCCTTGTCCGATCCTGAAGTCCTTGGTATAGCTCGGAACACCACTAGTGCAGGCAGACCCAGCATGGAGTTTCTTGTCAGGTATGGAGATGTATAGTGTTGTCCTTGGTATAGCTCGGACCACCACTAGTGCAGGCAGACCCAGCATGGAGTTTCTTGTCAGGTATGGAGATGTATAGTGTTGTCCTTGGGTAAAGCTCGGAACACCACTAGTGCAGGCAGACCCAGCATGGAGTTTCTTGTCAGGTATGGAGATGTATAGTGTTGTCCTTGTGTAAAGCTCGGAACACCACTAGTGCAGGCAGACCCAGCATGGAGTTTCGTGTCAGGTATGGAGATGTATAGTGTTGTCCTTGTGTAAAGCTCGGAACACCACTAGTGCAGGCAGACCCAGCATGGAGTTTCTTGTCAGGTATGGAGATGTATAGTGTTGTCCTTGGGTAAAGCTACAAGTGAGTGATGATTGTATACATCTGTATCTGCTGCAGAGCTTGAGATAAGTTGCGTATTTGCGTAAAATACACATTAAATAAACTGAAATACGCTGACAAATCAAATACGCAACAAAAACTATAAATACGCTATGAAATAAAATTAATGCATATATTACAACCATTATATAAAATGGTTGCGTATATTACTACTGTTAGATAAAATGATTGTGTATCAGTTGATCGCGAAATTCACTTAACAACAGTTACATTTGGAAAAGCTTGTGTGACAACCATGCTGATAGATGCCAGTTGAAAAGCACATCGTGCCAAGTCAATGTACATGTATCTTAAACAGTCGCTGATTGGTGACTTAAAGCGCCTTTCACACAATGCTAGGTTTTGCAAACAAAAATGGATTCCTGGAGAGGGAGCCACAAGCAGATGCAGACAGGTGTACTACTATTCACATAGTTTTTTAAGATTTGAGGGGATTGTTACGAAACAGGTTTTCAAGTTAAAATACCCAAATGTCAAGAAACAGGCGGGTAAAGAATATTTGAATACCCTCTGAAAATTGTGGATACCCAATCAATATCAAACCATAGGGTAAAATACCCCAATAACCAAAGCCTATCTATCTATAGCTCTGTGTTGTACAGTGTGAAATGTGAAGAGGAAGTGAGGTCATAAGATGTCTATCTGCAGGTGCAGTCTGACGTCGGAGGAGGTGGTGTCTCGGTACCGGCAGGGCAGCCAGGCCGAGGCTGACGAGTCCACCAGCATCAAGATGCTCCCTCTAGAAGACGCTGTTGTCTTGAAAACAAAGAATCCTGACTTGTGGGGGAAACTGGCCCCTTCTGGCAAAGGGTGTTTCATTCTTTACGGGTTAACAAACAGTAGTTAGTCCAATGAGTGTCGCCCCACACGCCTCGGCTGGTGTTGTCTAGCAACAAGTTGGAATGTGCCTTCCTTCACTGCCTCAGGTCACAGACAGCTAACCTGCTGTCATAGTGTTTATTACACATGTATTTTGAACCATGCTGTAGAGATTTACATCTTGTACAGTGAGTGAGGTTGTTTAACAATGTCTGCAATGGCAGCTATACAGAATGTATGATGGGACACTGCTGCATGAGGTACTCTGCGAGGAATATCTCATGTTGGCACTTTGATGCAAGGGACTTTTCATACATATGATCATCTGATCACATTGCGGGTTGCCATTATTTCTATGTTAGTTACAATTAAGTACATTTTGCTAATATGGGTCACTTCCCGTATCGTTGAATTTAGTAATGTGGATCAAATCATATATCATTTACTTCAGTAATGAGGGTCACTTCCTGTATGGTGGAATTTAGTAATGCGGATCAAATCATATATCATATACTTTACTAATGTGGGTCACTTCCTGTATCGTGGAATTTAGTAATGTGGATCACTTCCTGTATCTTAGACTCAGTATAGAGGGTCACTTCCTGTATCGTGGAATTTAGTAATGTGGATCACTTCCTGTATCGTGGAATTTAGTAATGTGGATCACTTCCTGTATCTTGGACTCAGTAATGAGGGTCACTTCCTGTATCGTGGAATTTAGTAATGTGGATCGAATCATATATCATGTACTCTTCTAATGTGGGTCACATCCTGTATCATGGAATTTAGTGATGTGGATCAAATCATATATCATGTACTTTACTAATGTGGATCACTTCCTGTATCTTGGACTCAGTAATGTGGGTCACTTACTGTATCGTGGAATTTAGTAATGTGAATCACTTCCTGTATCTTGGACTCAGTAATGTGGGTCACTTCCTGTATCTTGGACTCAGTAATGTGGATCACTTCCTGTATCGTGGAATTTAGTAATGTGGATCACTTCCTGTATCTTGGAATTTAATCATGTGGATCAAATCATATATCGTTTTTTACTAATGTGGGTCACTTCCTGTATCGTGGACTCAGTAATGTGGGTCACTTCCTGTATCGTGGAATTTAGTAATGTGGATCGAATCATATATCATGTACTCTTCTAATGTGGGTCACATCCTGTATCATGGAATTTAGTAATGTGGATCAAATCATATATCATGTACTTTACTAATGTGGATCACTTCCTGTATCTTGGACTCAGTAATGTGGGTCACTTACTGTATCATGGAATTTAGTAATGTGAATCACTTCCTGTATCTTGGACTCAGTAATGTGGATCACTTCCTGTATCGTGGAATTTAGTAAGGTGGATCGAATCATATATCATGTACTCTTCTAATGTGGGTCACATCCTGTATCATAGAATTTAGTAATGTGGATCAAATCATATATCATGTACTTTACTAATGTGGGTCACTTCCTGTATCTTGGACTCAGTAATGTGGGTCACTTACTGTATCATGGAATTTAGTAATGTGAATCACTTCCTGTATCTTGGACTCAGTAATGTGGATCACTTCCTGTATCGTGGAATTTAATCATGTGGATCAAATCATATATCATGTTTTTTACTAATGTGGGTCACTTCCTGTATCGTGGAATTTAGTAATGTGGATCACTTCCTGTATCTTGGAATTTAATCATGTGGATCAAATCATATATCATGTTTTTTACTAATGTGGGTCACTTCCTGTATCGTGGACTCAGTAATGTGGGTCACTTCCTGTATCTTGGAATTTAATAATGTGGATCAAATCATATATCATGTTTTTTACTAATGTGGGTCACTTACTGTATCATGGAATTTAGTAATGTGAATCACTTCCTGTATCTTGGACTCAGTAATGTGGATCACTTCCTGTATCGTGGAATTTAATCATGTGGATCAAATCATATATCATGTTTTTTACTAATGTGGGTCACTTCCTGTATCGTGGAATTTAGTAATGTGGATCACTTCCTGTATCTTGGAATTTAATCATGTGGATCAAATCATATATCATGTTTTTTACTAATGTGGGTCACTTCCTGTATCGTGGACTCAGTAATGTGGGTCACTTCCTGTATCGTGGAATTTAATAATGTGGATCAAATCATATATCATGTTTTTTACTAATGTGGGTCACTTCCTGTATCATGGAATTTAATCATGTGGATCAAATCATATATCATGTTTTTTACTAATGTGGGTCACTTCCTGTATCTTGGTGTCATTCATCCCCAGGCTCCCATGACAACACTGAACCATGTTTGATATTATGAAGCCAAATTCTTCCATTGAATGTAAATATTTGTAACTCGTATATGTTTGTCTTAATGCTGTTCTTAACAGTTTTTTTAATCTGCATCTTATTTTTTCGTGCAATCAATATCAGAGAAAGCTGCACGTTATTTCCAGGCTGCTTGTTGAGAGGACAGTTCCTGACTGAATCATCAGCTGTGAATGTTGTATTCATACACCACACTTTTATACCGGTGACATCAGATTTCAACCTACAATTTCGATAAGTGAGTAATAAATAAATTATCACACACAACCACATTAGATACTGTTTATATTACAACTTGTGTATTTCAAAAGTAATCTATATATATCGCTATAAATTAATGTTTGTGTGGATCGATTTCATCATCACGTCATGGACCTAGTGGGATCATTTCATCATCACGTCATGGACCTAGTGGGATCATTTCATCATCACGTCATGGACCTTGTGGGATCATTACATCATCACGTCATGGACCTTGTGGGATCATTTCATCATCACGTCATGGACCTAGTGGGATCATTTCATCATCACGTCATGGACCTAGTGGGATCATTTCATCATCACGTCATGGACCTTGTGGGATCATTTCATCATCACGTCATGGACCTAGTGGGATCATTTCATCATCACGTCACGGACCTTGTGGGATCATTTCATCAACGTGTTTCATGGACCTTGTTAATGTTTTGGAATTATTATATATTTATTTTCTACGTGGATGTATACATATAAATAAAACGTACCATACTGACAAATTTTGTTGACAGTTTTTCAGAAATATGACACATGAGATGAAATTCCCAAAGACAGATGATTAATGTTTGTAGAAATGAGAATGTCTGAGACAGAGTGTGTGTGAGATAGTGTTTGTGTGACAGTGAGTGTGAGATAGTGTGTGTGTGTGTAAGATAGTGTGTGTGTGACTGTGTGTGAGACAGTGTGTGTGTGAGTGTGAGATAGTGTGTGTGTGTGACTGAGTGTGAGACAGTGAGTGTGAGAGAGTGTGACAGTGAGTGTGAGATAGTGTGTGTGTGTAAGATAGTGTGACAGTGAGTGTGAGATAGTGTGTGTGTGTGTAAGATAGTGTGAATGTGACTGTGTGAGATAGTGAGTGTGAGACAGTGTGTGTGAGAGAGTGTGACAGTGAGTGTGAGACAGTGTGTGATCTAGAGTAAATGGGTGAGATAGTGTGTCAGAGAGCATGTGAGAAAGAGTGTGTATGAGAAAGAATGAGTGTGAGACAGTGAGTGTGTGAGATACAGTAAGTGTGAGACAGTTAGATTGAGTTAATGTGAGATTGAATGAGTGTGAAATAGAGTGAGGAGATAAACACAAGTTACCATGGTTACGCATAGCTACCTGGCCTGTCTACAGAGCCAGCAGGAAAGTGGAAGACAAGCTACAAGCAGGAACAAAAACTGCCAAGGAAACAAGTCCCCCATGATCTGTGTGAGCTATGTGTGAATCTAAACCCCTCCAATGAGCTGCCATGACAATGCTTGGGGGTAAGAGTTGACCTTGTTCTAGTTCTGATGCAAGGTCAAGGTCATTATTACTGAGAGGTCACAGGGCATGTACTAACAGGACAACGATGACTTCCAACCTGTTTATTTGGCAATACTTGAGTCTACATATTAAGGGTAAAATTTATTACTGATTTTATCTATAGGTATATCCATATCAACAAGCTCACAGTTACTCTCCTGATTACTGTGTGATGTGGCAGTGGAGATTGTGTGAGTATTGGTAGAGAATGTCAGCATGTGACTGAAACTGACTGAGCATTGTCATGGCCAAATTGCAAGAAGTGTGAGTGAGTGAGTGAGCCAGTAGGTTTTACGCCAGCCTAGGCGATATTCCAGCAACATAACTGCACCAGAAATGGTACACATTGTGCCCATGTGGGGAATCAACTCAGGCCTTCGGCATGATGAGCGAACGCTTTAACCACTAGGCTACACCAGCGCCCTGAGGCGTGACTTAAGTGAGTGAGTGAGTGAGTTGGGTTTAACGCCGCTTTTAACAGTATTCCAGTTATATCGCGGCGTGTCAGCTTAATGTGGGAGGAAAGCCCGAAGTGATGCAGGTCTCAGACGTTTACCACTTCGTTGAAACCCACGAGCACGGGTATGGTGCTGACAAACCTAGAAACATAATTGGGGCGAACCGGGATTCGAACCCACAATCATAGGTTTCTGGCATGCCCAAGGGACACAACTCTGCACAGCGAATCGCGGGGCCTTAGACGACTGGGCCACCCGTGCCCCCCCCGTGACTTAAGAGTTGTGTATATTTGCTCAACATGCAGTGATGACAATGTCGACCCAGGTGGTATATATGCTCAACATGCAGTCATGACAATGTCGACCCATGTGGTATATATGCTCAACATGCAGTTATGTCAATGGTGACCCAGGTGGTATATATGCTCAACATGCAGTTATGACAATGGTGACCCAGGTGGTATATATGCTCAACATGCAGTGATGACAATGTCGACCCAGGTGGTATATATGCTCAACATGCAGTTATGACAATGGTGACCCAGGTGGTATATATGCTCAACATGCAGTCATGACAATGTCGACCCAGGTGGTATATATGCTCAACATGCAGTTATGTCAATGGTGACCCAGGTGGTATATATGCTCAACATGCAGTTATGACAATGGTGACCCAGGTGGTATATATGCTCAACATGCAGTGATGACAATGTCGACCCAGGTGGTATATATGCTCAACATGCAGTTATGACAATGGTTACCAAGGTGGTATATATGCTCAACATGCAGTGATGACAATGGTGACCCAGGTGGTATATATGCTCAACATGCAGTTATGACAATGTCGACCCAGGTGGTATATATGCTCAACATGCAGTTATGTCAATGGTGACCCCGGTGGTATATATGCTCAACATGCAGTTATGACAATGGTTACCAAGGTGGTATATATGCTCAACATGCAGTTATGACAATGTCGACCCAGGTGGTATATATGCTCAACATGCAGTCATGACAATTGTGACCAAGGTGGTATATATGCTCAACATGCAGTTATGACAATGTCGACCCAGGTGGTATATATGCTCAACATGCAGTTATGTCAATGGTGACCCCGGTGGTATATATGCTCAACATGCAGTTATGACAATGGTGACCCAGGTGGTATATATGCTCAACATGCAGTTATGACAATCTCGACACAGGTGGTATATATGCTCAACATGCAGTTATGACAATGGTTACCAAGGTGGTATATATGCTCAACCTGCAGTGATGACAATGGTGACCCAGGTGGTATATATGCTCAACATGCAGTTATGACAATGTCGACCCAGGTGGTATATTTGCTCAACATGCAGTTATGACAATGGTGACCCCGGTGGTATATATGCTCAACATGCAGTGATGACAATGTCGACCCAGGTGTTATAAATGCTCAACATGCAGTTATGACAATGGTGACCCAGGTGGTATATATGCTCAACATGCAGTTATGACAATGTCGACACAGGTGGTATAAATGCTCAACATGCAGTTATGACAATGTCGACCCAGGTGGTATATATGCTCAACATGCAGTTATGACAATGTTGACCCAGGTGGTATATATGCTCAACATGCAGTTATGACAATGTCGACCCAGGTGGTATATATGCTCAACATGCAGTCATGACAATGGTGACCCAGGTGGTATATATGCTTAACATGCAGTTATGACAATGTCGACCCAGGTGGTATATATGCTCAACATGCAGTTATGACAATGTCGACCCAGGTGGTATATATGCTCAACATGCAGTCATGACAATGGTGACCCAGGTGGTATATATGCTCAACATGCAGTTATGACAATATCGACCCAGGTGGTATATATGCTCAACATGCAGTTATGACAATGTCGACCCAGGTGGTATATATGCTCAACATGCAGTTATGACAATGGTGACCCAGGTGGTATATATGCTCAACATGCAGTTATAACAATGTCGACCAAGGTGGTATATATGCTCAACATGCAGTTATGACAATGTCGACCCAGGTGGTATATGTGCTCAAATGGCATGATTAATGACGATGGCAACGGGTTCTCTTGATCAACATCTATTTTCGCTTTCTTCCCATTTTACCCTTAAAACCCCCTTTGGACTTTGGGCTTGCTTTCTTTGCGCCTTTTTTGGCAGATTTGGGGCTGGGTTTTTTCTTAGGACTGTCTTTGCTCTTTTTTTTATTTTTTCCATCCTTATTCTTATCTGATTTCTGCTTCTCTTTGCCTTTGGATTTTTGGTCTTTTTTCTTCTTCTCAGACGAGCCCGCTCCATCATCCTCACCACCGGCTCCAGGTCCTCCCCCTTCCCCGGCCCCTCCTGCACCACCCCCGGCGCCTCCTGCACCACCTTCGCCGCTCGTGTCATAGTCCTCAGCCAGCTCTGTGGACACAGAAAAGCATCATCAGCATTATCAGAGAAACAGTATGACTACCTGATACGGGTGAATATTTGGCGTCAATCCCTCAAACCCTGATTGCCTTGTTAGGGACCCTGGTACCAGCTTAGCCTAAGTTTGCCATTCTAGGGACCATGCCTTTCATCTTAGGAATCCTTTACTTGGTTACCCCACACCTGCCACACCAGGGACCATGGTACCAGTTATCCAGTGCCTGCCAGTGTTAGGGACTGTGGACTGCAGTATTTCATTGGTTGATCCTGACCAGGTTCATAGGCTAAACTAATGTAAGGGTCAGCAGCAGATTAGTCCAGGCAATCTAGACCATTTTTTCACTTGGAACAAATTGCAACAGTATTTATTTCACCACAATGCATTTCTGCAAGGTCCCAAAAACAACATACTAAAATTCCTAAGCCATCCCAGTTTGGGAAATATGTCTAATTTGCATAATCCAATATGGCAACCAATTATCAATATATCTTCCACATTTCAGATGAGGTTCAAAGTTTTTATGAAAAAAAACGTGTTCTGAGAAATCATATTGTGTTTCTACTGAACGTTTTCGACTATCGACATAACAAACCTGGGGTCAGCAGATAGCCATGGACTTACAGAAAATTCATATGAACACATAGATCCATACTATCAAGACAAACCAGCAGATCCTGGCATGTCTTAGGCACGCAACTCTACACATATAATTTTGACACCTTAGACGACTGGGGCTCCCAATGGTCTATAGGTGACATATCTGAAGGTACTAATGGCCCCACCTGGGTGCCCAGTTGTCACCCTTAGATTATCCTGTCTTTACCAACTTCGTAAAAGTTCCAATTCCTCTCCCCAGTTTCATCTTGTGTGTTGGTCAGTCTAATGAGCTGACCAAATGGAGACATGTAAGTTAAGCTCACCTGCATCTCTGTCCCGTTTTCTGAGGTATCTGTTGGGGTCAGATCCATCACAACACAGCAAGGAACAGCCATCCATACAGAAGGCATCCCCCGGGCCCGCATCATCCCCCTCCTCCCACGCACTGATGATGGAGGTCTGCAGGTACCGGAACAGGATGATGACCAACACCTGTCAATATACACAGGTGTCATGTCAATATATTCAGGTGTTTCGTCATTATAGCTAAAATGGATAGAATTATCATTAAACCACCCGCATGTTATCAGAAATCAGCGGGCCACTGCAGTTGATAATGCCCTCATATTGCTTGACGACGGGCCATTATCACGCCCGTTTTTAGGTGAGTCATAGGGTAGGGAAACACTCTCCTACCCAGAGTTCCATGCGGCCGGCAGCCAGCTAGCATAGTACCTCTGCCACAGGCCAGCGCCATGTGACGATTCGTCACATCTTTCACAGTCCATTCAAGATATTGCATATGCTTTTCATCCGTTTCATGTTTGACAAGTCTACACATTTTCATAAACAAATGTCAAAGAATGGTTAACTTTCATTGAGAAAGTATGCAAATACGTAAAAATCTACTTGTTTTTGCGTAGTTATCCTATGTTTACATTGGTTGTACGGCTCCACGTGCTGTCATCGAAGCCCAACGGAGAGCTAGCGACACGGTCACTTTGATGCATAAATATATATTGTCATGCACTGTCGCAGTTGTAGTAGCATATCTATATACATGTAGTTATGCAAAATAATATGTAAAGCGCCCCCAAATACTTGCATTAGTCCATTCTATACTGATTTCTGAAAAAGCGCGTTTGTTTACAAACAAGAGAAAAGTCCGGTCACGTGATATGCAAATTAGCCTGTGGCAGTGGTGTTATGCTGAGTCACCAGTGCGACGGTGTGTGGTAGGGAAAGTGACGTCACGTTTAATAGTGACGTCATCTGGTTTGTTCTATGACGTTTCCATGTTTGTAAAAGTGGGTCAGTAACATTCGTGTCGATTGCAGTAAATGTTTCAAAACCGATATTGTTGTTTCTTTTTATTTGATAACAAATTCCATCAATTTTAGCTATAATAACGGTAACGCTATTTTTCAGGGCATTATCATTTGCAGAAGCCCTCGGTCTTTTCAACTGCCTTCCTTCGTCGGGCAGTTAATGGAAGACCTCGGGCTCCTGCAAATGAAAATGCCCTGAAAAATAGCGTTACCGTTATATGAGCGGGCCACTGTAACTTGATAATGCCCTCATATTACTTGACGACAGGCCATTATCACGCCCGTCGTTAGGTGACGTCATGGGATAGGATCGGTGACGTCACGTTCAATAGTGACGTCATCTGGTTTGTTCTATGTTTGTTCTATTTGTAAAAGTGGGTCAGTGACATTCGTGTTGATTGCAGTAAATGTTTCAAACCCGATATTGTTGTTACTTTTTATTTGATAAAAAAATCTTTCCATTTTAGCAATAATAACGGTAACGCTATTTTTCAGGGCATTATCATTTGCAGAAGCCCTCGCTCTTTTCAATTGCCGTCCTTCGTCGGACAGTTAATGGAAGACCTCGGGCTACTGCAAATGATAATGCCCTGAAAAACAGCGTTACCCTTATAACATACACAGGTGTCCCATCAATATACACAGGTGTTGCGACAATATACACACAGGTGTCCTGTCAATATACACGTATCTCGTGACTATACACAGTTGTCTCGCCAATATAAACAGGTGTCTCGTCAATATATATACGTGTCTCGTCAATATACACAGGTGTTTTGTCAATAGACACGGGTGGCTCGTCAATATACACAGTTTTTTCGTCAATATAAATATGTGTTTCGTAAATATATACACGTGTCTCGTCAATATAGACAGGTGTCTCGTCAATATATACTGGACAACAAAAGTTCCTGTGACATTGAATAAGATTTAATGCAAAGTTATGTTTTTTACCAAATCTGAAACAATTTCGGTTTGCAACAGATAATAGACTTCTGTAAGTGTTTAAATGGTTTAATATGCCATACTGACTTCAGAAAATGCGTGTTTTCATATAAAAACATCAACATGCCAATATGTCAATTTACAAATCAATAGCGTGTGTGTCCACCTCTGGTTGCAATGCAAGCAACACATCTTCGTCTCATGGAATGGACCAGGCGTCGCAAAATGTCCTGTGGGATATCGGTCCATATCTGCTGGAGCATGTTTCGAAGTTCCTGGAGTGTCTGTGGAACACGTGGTTGACGTCGAAGGCGCCGATCCATCTCACCCCACATGTGCTCGATTGGTGAAATATCAGGGGAGCTAGACGGCCAGGGGATGACATTCACGTTGTTTTGTTGAAGAGAATCCTGAACACGTCGAGCAATATGAGGCCGGGCGTTGTCATGTTGAAAGGTAATGCATGGGCCATGACGAAGCAAACACGGTAGAACAACAGGTCCATTGAGATCTCCCTCTACCACTATCAAACGGGTCCTCTGTCTTGCTGTAATCCCACCCCATACCATAACGCTGCCGCCCCCGAACTGATCTTCTTCCATGACACAAGGATTGCCGTAACGTTCGCCTCGACGTCGGTACACTCGAATCCGTCGATCGCTGTGGCTGAGGTGAACACGATACGAAACTCGTCAGTGAATAGAACTTGTCCCCACTTCATGGCCGTCCAGCGCGCTTGACGGGGGTTTCCTGTCAAAATAATTGCGTAATTTTGTTGTTTTTCTGAGTGGTTGTTGTCAGTACGATGCTAAACAATGCATATGGAATCCCGTTAACGCACATGTTTTTATACCCATTCTTGGGTAGTGAAACGCATGGGGATTGCATAAAAGTCAACTTTTGCATGGAATGCATGCTTTTCTGTAGCAGTTGCGTTTTTGTGACTTGATTCCATACATGTACTACTATATTGAAAACCAAACTTTATTTGTTCGAAGAATACACCAAAATATTGGTGTCACAGAAACTTTTGTTGTTGAGTATAGATACAAATATGAAATTGTAGGAGCTCGATAAAAAAACCTCAGAAAAACAACAAAATTACGCAATTATTCAACATTACGAAATGCCACGCCTGTCCGAAAATGAGCGTCTGCGAGCCATTAGTATGCTTGAAGCAGAATCGAGTCAACGTGATGTTGCAAGACAAATTAACGTCCACAGAAACACCATTTGGTGTTTAGGGCAACGTTGGCAACAGACGAATGCAGTCAGAGACCATCCTCGGAGTGGCAGGCCACGCATAAGCAATAATCGACAAGACAACTTGATTCGAACAACCCACGAAATCGATAGCAGGCAAATGTGATTGCAAGAAGCATCCCTGGCCTTCGACGAATATCTTCACAAACCGTACGTCGTCGCCTCAGATGTGCAGGGATTGTCGCCAAAAGACCCGCCAGGCGTCCCATTTTGACAGGAAACCACCGTCAATCACGTCTACAGTGGTGCAGACAGCGTCTACTCTGGACGGCCATGCAGTTGGGACAAGTTCTCGTTTTCACCTCAGCCACAGTGATGGACGGATTCGAGTGTACCGACGTCGAGGTGAACGTTACGTCAATCATTGTGTCATGGAAGAAGATCAGTTCGGGGGCGGCAGTGTTATGGTATGGGGTGGGATTACAGCAAGACATAGGACCCGTTTGATAGTGGTATTCTCTTCAGGATTCTCTTCAACAAAACAACGTCATCCCCTGGCCGCCTCGCTCCCCTGATCTCTCACCAATCAAGCACATGTGGGATGAGATGGATCGGCGCCTTCGACGTCAACCACGTGTTCCACAGACACTCCAGGAACTTCGAAACATGCTCCAGCAGATATGGACCGATACCCCACAGGACTTTTTGCGACGCCTGGTCCATTCCATGAGACGTAGATGTGTTGCTTGCATCGCACACACACACGCTATTGATTTGTAAATTGACATTTTGGCATGTTGATGTGTTTTTTTTTATGAAAACACGCATTTTCTGAAGTCAGTATGGCAAATTAAACCATTTAAACACTTACAGTAGTCTTTTATCTGTTGCAAACCGAAATTGTTTCAGATTTGGTAAAAAACATAACTTTTCATTAAATCTTATTCAATGTCACAGGAACTTTTGTTGTTCAGTATATGATATTAAATTAAATATATAGACTTTATTAGGTACAATGAATTTACGAAAAATCTACCTGTGCGTTTCTTTTTTAAAAGAGTGTATATATTCATGTCATTAAGGAGCGGAAATAACGTCAAAACACGCCACCTGGTATTCATGTCAATACATGCAGGGAATAAGGTCAAAAACACGCCACCTGGTATTCATGTCAATACATGCCGGGAATAACGTCAAAACACGCCACCTGGTATTCATGTCAATACATGCCGGGAATAACGTCAAAACACGCCACCTGGTATTCATGTCAATACATGCAGGGAATAAGGTCAAAAACACGCCACCTGGTATTCATGTCAATACATGCCGGGTATAACGTCAAAACACGCCACCTGGTATTCATGTCAATACATGCAGGGAATAACGTCAAAACACGCCACCTGGTGTTCATGTCAATACATGTCGGGAATAACGTCAAAACACGTCACCTGGTATTCATGTCAATACATGTCGGGAATAACGTCAAAACACGTCACCTGGTATTCATGTCAATACAGGTCGGGAATAACGTCAAAACACGTCACCTGGTATTCATGTCAATACATGTCGGGAATAACGTCAAAAACACGCCACCTGGTATTCATGTCAATACAGGTCGGGAATAACGTGAAAACACACTGGTTTTCATGTCAATACCGGGCGGAAATCAAGTAAATAGACACGGGATTGGCTGTTAATTGCGTGTTAATTGCGTGTTTGAAGCAGTGACCGAATTATATGGAGGCCCTTGACAGAACATTAAATAGTGTGTCTTTTACCCACCTCAACACCAAATGCGACAAAAACTGTATTGGCCGCCGGCGTCAGCACTGTGTCGGAGAAATAACGCCCGAGGACACCCGTGCATCCGTCTTTGTAGAGTGTGACGTCACTATAGTGGTTGTTGGCCTTGCTGTCGTTGACGTGATTGTGTATGCACGGGCGAGGCGACATCACGCTACAACAGCTGAAGGGGACACTGTCCGTGATGAGCTCGCCGTCTCGCATATTCCTGCAACCAAGTCTCTGGCATCAAGTATCATCATATTGAATATGAGTGGCAGGTACACTAAATTGCCGGGCAAACGAAAATATACACTTGAAAATTCGATTTGCACCAAAAAAATGCAAACGTTTTCAAAACGTTACAAGGCGTAACAGTTGCCGTAACACTGAAAATTTGGTGTCCAAAACACAGCTATGTCAGGTTAGCTTCAGATTTAGCCAACATACACAAGTCTGTATGCTTTATATTTCCCATGCATCAATTTAATTCATACGTAGGAGTGCAGAAAAATGAATAATTATATAGGTGGTGCGCAAGTAAATATCCTAATAAGCATATGCCACAGAGCCTGTCACACTGCTATGACGGAATACGTCGAAAGGAAGATTCGTCAATTAAGACTGGTCCCTTTCAGTTGTATATATACACTGAACCGCAAAAGAAACGTCACCATGGATAGATATATTTATGAGAGACCTTATTTGTCCAAACACTGTAAACTTAATTTGAGATATATTTAAAAAGATGAAACTTGACAAAACTGATCAAGGTTGAAATTAAAGTGTCAAATGTTCTTAAAGTGAAACACAACACTAGTCTCTGAGACAATGGCATCACAAGTCAGTATCTCGCGTGTCCGCCATGTGCATTGATGACTGCCGTGCAACGTCGATACATGGAATAGATGAGGCGGTTGATGAAGGCCATAGGCACTTGAGCCCACACTCTGAGGAACGCCTGACGCAGTTCAGCTGCAGTTGTCGGCCTTGGTCGGACGTCATTCAGCCGTCTTCGAATCTCGTCCCACAGGTGCTCAGTGGGATTTAAATCGGGACTGAGGGCCGGCCACTGCATGGTTCTGATGCCATTCTGCTGGAGGAAGTCTCTTGTTGCTCTCGCAGTGTGGGCACGGGCGTTATCCTGCTGGTTGCGGCGACGTGCCAAATGAGGTGTGGCGTGTGGTCTCAAGACTTGATCAATGTACCGAGCTGCTGTGACACCAATGCCTCTCCCTGGACCGATGTTCTGGAAGAGAACAGGGCCGATCCTCTGTGCAAGACCAATTCCTACCCACACCATGATGCTCGGACCACCCCATGAGCCTCTCTCAACAACACAAGCATTCGAATAACGTTCCCCGCGGCGTCGCCAGACTCTCTGCCATCCGCTGTTGAGATACAGTAACGGCTCTCGTCTGAGAAGAGGACTCTTCTACACTGCTGGTGGCGCCAATGCTGGTGCTGTGTTGCCCACTGAAGACGGTCCCGGCGATGACGTAGTGTCAGAATGGGTCCTCGGTGTGGCCTGTGACAGTGGAGGTGTCTGCTCGTCAATCGTCGACGCACGGTGTCCGCACTAATGTGTCGCTGGTGTGTCCCCTTGGTCTGTCGAGCAGTTTCCGCAGCAGTAACAAAGCGATCTTGAAGATGCTGTCGCACAATCTGACGATCCTGAGGTCGGGTGGTGACCCTTTGTCTTCCACTACGTGATCGGTCATCTGTAGTGTTGGTGGTCTGGTACCATTGCTGGAGCCTGTATATGGTCCTTACGTGGACTTGAAATGCATTGGCTACTTGCCGGGCGGTTTGTCCAGTTTTTAATCGTCCAAGGGCTTGGTGTCGCTGATTTCTTGTCAGTCTTGGCATGTGGTAGCAATTCAATAACGAACAAATGTGGCTATATCCCCCGCCCCTGTTACAGAATTTATGACATAATTAAATCTAAACAAACCCTTACCTTTTTTAACCGAGGTGGAACTTGTCATGGAAATTGTACAAAAAAGAAGAGTTTGGAACCTAAGTCCATCTTGCTGCCATGGAAACGTAAAAATATATAAATTTCTAATATTTCTAAGTAGCAAAAGGCACCAGTTCAGCATGTACCTGACAAACCTGCAAAGTTTCATGAAAAAATATTGAACGGTTTCTGAGTTATGCTCCGGAAACGAAACGTGACGGACGGACGGACGGACGGAGCCCGTTTCTATATCCCCCGCCAACTTTGTTGGGCGGGGGATAATGAATGTTATCCGATCTGGGTGGATTTTTATAGGGCAAGAAATGGGGGAACGCATGTGCATTTCAATTTGCACGGAACTCACGTGCATTGGGTAACCATGGCCGTTGCCGTGAGGCGATCGGTTTTATTGTCACCTGCTTTTGTTTTTTTATCATCAAATTTCATTTTTCCGGACAAGGTAATGTTAAATTTTAGAAAACTTTTTAGACAACACTTACTCAGATATTTAAATAACAACTTTTCATGCAATGTTACTTTGGGTGGCGTTTCTTTTGCGGTTCAGTATATATGACGAAGTGATGCAGGTCTCTGATGTTTACCATTCGGTGAAACCCACGAGCACGGGTATGGTGCTGACAAACCTAGAAACATAATCGAGGAGAACCGGGATTCGAACAGAGCATAGGTTTCTGGCGTGCCCTGTAAAGACAGGGGACCCGCTCTGATAAGTGAATTGCGGCGCCTTTAATGGGCATTCACGCGGTACAACTAGCTAGGTACAATTTGTTGCATACAACACATTGCATCGTGGGAACAGGCATGTCGGGCCAACTTTTGACGTATGCAACTTGTTGGACGCGAGTTGTATGAAATATAGGACATGCTCTATTCACATTCAGTTTTCACAACTTTGCGTCTGAAAATTAAATCGTCTACCATGATTCCAATGGGAATGTAGTGAATCATAAGCTTTTGGTGAGAGATCTCGCGAGATCCGAGTTGTATGCAACTCGCCGCCCTGTGAATGTCGAGTTGTATACTTCAGTTCGTACAATTAATTGCAGACAACTAGTTGTACCCGATGTAATGGACATTATGATGTGGAATCATCAATCTCCGACTAAGGTAGTAATGTCTTTACGCTACTAATAATTTGTGACTGAGCTCAGTACGTCGCCGCGCGGTCATGTAATCGATGCAGAGTACCTACCAGAATATATTTGATTATCTTCCCGAGGCAAGAGAGTTAACTGACTATAAAAGTCCAGTGGCCTACCTTTAGAATACAGTACCACAAACATTTCAAACACGTGACAATACCCTATGACGTAATTTGTAGTATTTTGTTGCAAGTTACACCGGCAAAACAATGCCATGTGACGTCAGGGGTCATCGAGTGTGCATAAGCTCCTCCCAGTGATCTATCATCTCTACACGCAATGTCTTTGAATACGCCCAGCGGTGTTTAGAGTTTTGAATATTTCTTTACTAAATATAGCCTGCGCTGGCGCATTTTATAGCCAGCCCTAGTTTACGAAAGCACTTTTTTAAATAATTATATATTTTATTTCGTTTTTCTCTTAATTCAAGTGGCTATAATGGTTATAAATGAGAACTAATATACATATATTATTTTTTCGGTTAATTATTTTTCATTATTATGCACAAGAATGCAATTTATTAGGGATATTATATTGGCGCTGAACACATCAATGTCGCCAGTGTTAGCGTAGGTTACCCCGAACTCTATCAGCCCTTGGATCCCCTTTACGATTAATCACCCCTTTTCGATCATTAGGGTAAGGTACCCGTTTAGTGGCTATTAGATTACCCGAACTCTGTCCTTAGCCCTTGGATCCCCTTTACGATAATTAGGGTTCGGTAAATCTACCCGTTTAGTGGCTATCATAAATTCTATAGCGGCTCCTAATATTCTTCACACAAAAACGTCGAGTAAAAAGGATGAAATGGTTTTGTGTCGAATACTTTGGCTACTGGAAACTGTCCTGGAACATTCACACAAGCCACTTTCACCGGCTACATTTTTTTCAGTACTGATTCAAAAGCGAACACACCGTTGTGTTGTCACTAGCCATGCACATGTCTCCCTCGTTCCTTACTATTATCCACATCATCCTTTTCCCTACCACACTTTTCTGTCACAAAATCCACCCGACGATTTATTAAATACCATGTCATTCATGCGTGCTCGCGAGTTCGACGTCTGACGTCTGACGCCTGGAGCCGTTTTCAGTTCGCACAATATCGGATCATTCTTCGCCACTCGGTTTCTTGAAGATTACGGAATGGGACGAGTGTGCCAAATGGCATCGGGATCATTCGTAAGTGTCCGTAGACTAAAGTCACGAGACACCATGCCTACCCGTAACCTTCGTAAGTGTCCGTCACCTATTCCACCCTTTTCGTTCAGTTCCGTAACGTCGTATGCATGACTAGGTAAATTTGCACTTTGTTTCACAGTGTGGACGTAGCTCAGTCGGTTAGGTCGCGTCCGACGGATTCTCACTAAAACTGGTTGCTTGTCTTAGAGACATGTGACCTACGGCAGAGATCGTCCTCACGAGAAGTTGTGGTACTGTATTCTAAAGGGAGTCCAGTTTCCACCCTTGCCGAACTAGCCTGAAATTATGGAGTTACATTTTGGCTGGACTAACGAGTCTATGCATGGTCAAATCAAAATCGCGCAACAAATCGAAATCCGGTTCGTAAACTGTCGTGCAGATCTCGGTCGATTGTAGGATTTGCAAAGGATGTGTGCACCGCCAACTCGTTGTCAACAGATATTTTCCAAATCTTTTCATGTTTTTGGGTAGACTTAAGTATTTGGGTCCCCAAACCGGAAGTTGTCAAGTGAAAAACGTTCCACGCATGCGCAGTTCGTTATATTTACGGTCGAAGCCCGAGGATTTGAAGGCCGCCATTGTTTCTACCGAACGCTGTCTGCAGTTCAGTATTTTCTTACACAGACTACACGCGGGGGGTTTAATCTAGATGCTCACGTGATTTGATGCACTTCGCGATGTAAGAACCATTTTATCACAATATAGATCTTGATTATCTATTAGATCGTCTTGACTGGGTGAAACCATTATGTTTCAAGTGATATGAGCGGTGGAATCTGATTGGTCCATAGGAGAGGCTTAAAAGGGGCATAACTCGTAATAGCCACTGGTGGTGCTACGATCGAGCCCAGGACTTCCAGCCCAGCTCGGCAAGGGTGGAAACTGGACTTTTAAAGTCAGTTAACTCTCTTGCCTCGGAAAGATGATAACTTATTTGATTTGACCCAGAGCATCCTAGTCTTGTAGACCTACCTACCGAGCTGTGCATGAATTCACTTGAACATTTGTAGTAAACGTCTTTAAACTATAGTCTCACTTTTTAATATCTTCATGTTCCGTGTTGATGTATTTGTTGCTGATCCAGCTGACATGGAACCAGTCTCTGTAAGTTTTGCTGGCGCAACACCGGAAGTCAAGCTGTAGTCTGTCCACCGCCTCTTTGATCCCCTGGTCGCTTTTGTACATCTTCAGTGCCGTGTACAGTCCTTGGTGGAGAGAGTCTTGGATGATACCCATGTGAGCGAAGCACATGCATCCTGCCGCCATCACAATCAGGCTGAGAACACAGAGGGTGACAAAGAAACAGACAAACACATTCCGGAAGCGTCCACGGGTTTCCACTGAACTGCAGTCGAAAGATATCTTGGCGCCGAACGAATGAATGACAAACATTAAACAGCCGACAGAAATGAGAAAATACGGGAGCGTGCCCGAACTGTAACTCTCCAACAACAGCATCTTGCTTTCAATCCGAACCTTCATATAGATGGAGAAACAAATCAGTGTCAGGCCGAACAAAGCCAGCAATAGCTGCAGGATTCCGGTGAGGATGGAGATACGCTCACGTACAGTCTCGCTAAACTTGAACCTCACACACATGGTAGCACCGCAAATCTTACTTCAAGCATAACACTAACATAACGAACGGAAACAAATAATTTCCGCCATTTATGACGTCGCCGTGACAACACCCGAACGATGACGTCATAATGCTACCAATGACACAATAATACACTATGATGTCACAATCAGCCTAACGCGAAGCAGACGTTGTTGTTGAGATCGGGTGAGTCACAATATGTCACGTTGAAGATCTACAAGTAGATCTACATACGCATACATGTATAGGGGTTTTCACGCGAATGTGTTTTGGGTGGTAAATATCATGCATTAGGAATAAACATTGTATTTAGCGAGCCTCCAAAACACACAAGCGTGACAACCTCGCCGAAAAACCTGTTCTCATCTCTCACAAACGTTACCTAAACTTTGCATGTTTTCCTGGAATGTGAGCATTAATATATATTACTTCAGAAGGTAAGTGATTTGTCAGTCGGACAGTGACAACAGTCACTATGGATCTAACAGAAACCTGTTTCAGTGGCATAACTACAAATGAGCACAATAACAATAACTATTGCCGAAACATATTGTTTCTACTTGCCTTTCGCGGCAATCCATCGGTGCGCCCGCTAGAGTAACTGCCCTTTGTCGAAGGGAAGCTACTCTAACCATATTCTATGAGACGTCACGTTTGTTTAGAGTCTCTCTGTCCAGGCAAAACGTTACGAAGACCAGAGTCAAATTTACAGACAGCGACAAAATGAAACAAGTAATACATGGGACATTTCGGCCAAATCCAACAGTTGTTAATTGGAGAAAAAGGCCCGAACCGCAGAGGTCTACAGTCTACAAGCACAGATATGGAAACTGATTCCGCTGGGCTAGTGACCTCTCTTAATATTGTTTCGCAATTTATATATCCAAAGTTGCCAAAACTTGTGAAATGCCTCAGCTCTGTCCCAGCTAGACACTGATTTTTGGCTTCTTAGACTTGTTTTGATCATCCCAGTAGTTTCTCCAGATTCCCGAAGCCGATGGTTAATTCTGACTCGGTAAGTATAGTGCCGGTTGTATGTATTTGTTGTTTTGTTTTGTTTGTTGTTTAACGCCGCACTCAGCAATATTCCAGCTATATGACGGCGGTCTGTAAATAATCGAGTCTGGACCAGACAATCCAGTGATTGATGTCATGAGCATGGATCCACGCAAATGGAATCGATCAACCAAGTCAGCGATCCTGACCACCCGATCCCGTTAGTCGCCTCTTACAACAAACATAATCGCCTTTTACGGCAAGCATGGGTTGCTGAAGACCTATTCTACCCCGGATCTTCACGGGTAGGTTGTATGTATGAGGCCCACAATTGTCTGTGATATACGAATTGAGCCGATAGATATTTCTCAAACAAGGCAGAAGTCTCAAATCAAGTAACCTGTTCATTGAAAGTCAATCAGTTGATGGGATTGTAACATTAGTCTTTAACAATATATCTTTCAGTATTCAAAAACTATTTATGCCGTCTTTCTAATATATTTACAAACTTGTCCCCCGTTTGGCATAATGAGACCTACTTATTAATGACATGGCGTTGACTGATATCTGGAACGGCCTGGGAGTCTGCACGCCATGGGAACTGGACATGGCAATAGCTGCCTTACTCAGGCAAAGTTTCTTTTGATTCTGACGAAGTTTAAATGTTGACAGACATTAGGCGAGACAATTGATCTCGTGATGTATTGGCGAGATAGCAAAGTGGTCTATAAATGTGATCTTGTGGGGAAAGATAATCCCATGTGATCAAACTGCGACACTCAATATGCAGGTAATGACGGCGGCTTCATTGTTCTGAGCTTGTGTCCGGGTTAACGGGACGATAATGAACATATATACAGGAAATCACGTCTTTATCTCCCAGGCAGAGTCTTGTTGATACTATAAACACGTGAACCTGTATTAAACAGCCACAAACCCCAACCATAGGTCGACATACACTTCTGCACCTGTACATAACTCATTACAACAAAACATTCAAGGTGCTAGGAATGTAGAGTTTGGTGACAGACAGGCATCATGCCTTGGTGGGTTCACCGTCCCGGGACACAAGGGCATGGTAATCCCCATGCTGGGGTCTCCCTCGACTGTTCGCGTCTCATAACGCCTTTATCTGCACAGAGACAACGGAAGCAGTCGTTTTATTAAGCCCGTGTGATTTATTCTAAGCAATTGTATTGATTCACTGATACGCGACAGTTCATATGCGGCGTTGTAACAAGACTTCAGGTAGTACTGTGTCTCCCTCTGGGTATGTCAGCTTGTGTCTGACGTTCTGCATCCACTATGTTTCAGCTACGGCCGTTCCGTCGGCGTTCTCCCATGGGCACAGCCACCACCTCGCTCAGAACACCTAAATCAAAGTCGACAAAGAAAGCCAGAGTTACCATAGAATCGCCAATACCGGATGAAAACGACGAAACAGAAAGCAGAAACGTCGAGCAACACGTGGTTCTGACACGCCCTCAGATGCTCCTGGATGACAGACGGGATTCAGCGGCAGGAACATCACGTGCTACACCTACTACAGACAGGGACAAACCAAATCACCATGGAAACAAGCCCACGTCTCTAGTGAGGAAGTCTAGCGCCTCCCTCACCCGAGTGGTCCGACTGTAGAATACCACCACACAGACCATGTGAGGTAGAGCTCCTGCTGGTTTCAGAGAACCTGGGAATGATGTGGATGTTTTGTGACTGTACATGGATAGCTACCCACAACTCATCTGAATATATTGTGTATTGGAATACAGACAATGTGATAAGAGCTCAGGACTAACATAAGATTAAACCCTATCATTGCTTCCGCAATATCCAGCTTTGTGTATGTACCGTTACAAGACTGGTCAACACATACGAGTGTCCTGCGTGCATACACACGGACTTTAAACTCTTCACATATTGACCAACATAGTTCACAAATAAACCTACTTAAATGCGACTGAGTTTGTAGCAGTGGTGTGTCATGACTATTTTACTGTGCCTGTTGTCATCAACTTGTGTTGTGCATCAATATTTCATCATGCAACTTGTGTTGTTGAGGACACGTGGATGCAAAATTCCTGCCATATCACAGATTGTAAATAATTGATTAGGGAGCACGTAAACTAGTGTATGATAGGCTGCCAGGGTCTTCCATGTAACAGATTGTAAGTAATCGATTAGGGAGCACGTAAACCAGTGTATGATAGACTGCCAGGGTCTTCCATGTAACAGATTGTAAGTAATCAATTAGGGAGCACGTAAACCAGTGTATGATAGGCTGCCAGGGTCTTCCATGTAACAGATTGTAAGTAATCGATTAGGGAGCACGTAAACCAGTGTATGATAGGCTGCCAGGTTCTTCCATGTAACAGATTGTAAGTAATCGATTAGGGAGCACGTAAACCAGTGTATGATAGGCTGCCAGGGTCTTCCATGTAACAGATTGTAAGTAATCGATTAGGGAGCACATAAACCAGTGTATGATAGGCTGCCAGGGTCTTCCATGTAACAGATTGTAAGTAATCGATTAGGGAGCACTAAACCAGTGTATGGTAGGCTGTCAGGGTCTTCAAGGTAACAGATTGTAAGTAATCGATTAGGGAGCATGTAAACCAGTGTATGATAGGCTGCCAGGGTCTTCAAGGTAACAGATTGTAAGTAATCAATAAGGGAGCACGTAAACCAGTGTATGATAGGCTGTCAGGGTCTTCCATGTAACAGATTGTAAGTAATCGATTAGGGAGCACGTAAACCAGTGTATGATAGGCTGCCAGGGTCTTCAAGGTAACAGATTGTAAGTAATCGATTAGGGAGCACGTAAACCAGTGTATGATAGGCTGCCAGGGTCTTCCATGTAACAGATTGTAAGTAATCGATTAGGGAGCACGTAAACCAGTGTATGATAGGCTGTCAGGGTCTTCCATGTAACAGATTGTAAGTAATCGATTAGGGAGCACGTAAACCAGTGTATGATAGGCTGCCAGGGTCTTCCATGTAACAGATTGTAAGTAATCGATTAGGGAGCACGTAAACCAGTGTATGATAGGCTGTCAGGGTCTTCCATGTAACAGATTGTAAGTAATCGATTAGGGAGCACGTAAACCAGTGTATGATAGGCTGTCAGGGTCTTCCATGTAACAGATTGTAAGTAATCGATTAGGGAGCACGTAAACCAGTGTATGATAGGCTGTCAGGGTCTTCCATGTAACAGATTGTAAGTTATCGATTAGGGAGCATGTAAACCAGTGTATGATAGGCTGTCAGGGTCTTCCATGTAACAGATTGTAAGTAATCGATTAGGGAGCACATAAACCAGTGTATGATAGGCTGTCAGGGTCTTCCATGTAACAGATTATAAGTAATCGATTAGGGAGGACTAAACCAGTGTATGATAGGCTGCCAGGGTCTTCCATGTAACAGATTGTAAGTAATCGATTAGGGAGCACGTAAACCAGTGTATGATAGGCTGCCAGGGTCTTCCATGTAACCGATTGTAAGTAATCGATTAGGGAGCATGTAAACCAGTGTATGATAGGCTGTCAGGGTCTTCCATGTAACAGATTGTAAGTAATCGATTAGGGAGCACATAAACCAGTGTATGATAGGCTGCCAGGGTCTTCCATGTAACAGATTGTAAGTAATCGATTAGGGAGCACGTAAACCAGTGTATGATAGGCTGCCAGGGTCTTCCATGTAACAGATTGTAAGTAATCAATTAGGGAGCATGTAAACCAGTGTATGATAGGCTGTCAGGGTCTTCCATGTAACAGATTGTAAGTAATCGATTAGGGAGTATGTAAACCAGTGTATGATAGGCCGCCAGGGTCTTCCATGTAACAGATTGTAAGTAATCGATTAGGGAGCACATAAACCAGTGTATGATAGGCTGTCAGGGTCTTCCATGTAACAGATTGTAAGTAATCGATTAGGGAGCACGTAAACCAGTGTATGATAGGCTGTCAGGGTCTTCCATGTAACAGATTGTAAGTAATCGATTAGGGAGCACGTAAACCAGTGTATGATAGGCTGTCAGGGTCTTCCATGTAACAGATTGTAAGTAATCGATTAGGGAGCACGTAAACCAGTGTATGATAGGTTGTCAGGGTCTTCTATGTAACAGATTGTAAGTAATCGATTAGGAATCGACATAGGAAACTGTTGCACATTTCCAGAAAGTTAATCTACCCAATATTTCTTCAATAGTCACTGAAGCGAACATAAAATATCTTTAGGAAGAAAAAGATGTTCATTCTTGTTGCAAGAGTTGGCCACAAGGCACAACACCAAGATGCTCTTTCTAACACCCCTACCTTACATCATAAGACTATTCATTTAGTTAGTAATTGCTTTTCAAAGCCTATGCTTTTGTCATATGGTGAGAAAGAACAGGCTTTACAAGTTGACAGGAAGCATAGGGTGATTGAAATGATCAGTGTATGCAGACGTACTATCCACCATGACATGGCCGATACATGACATGGCTGATACAGAATGGCAGCTTACACAAGCCAGCCTATGTGCAAGGCTACGAATCAAGGGAGAGTCATATATCATGTCCCTCTCACTACTGTAGTGAAGTGATTCAAACAAATGCAGGACTTGAGGCAGGGCTACGAATCAAGGGAGAGTCATATATTATGTCCCTCTCACTACTGTAGTGAAGTGATTCAAACAAATGCAGTACTTGAGGAAGGGCTACGAATCAAGGGAGAGTTATATATCATGTCCCTCTCACTACTGTAGTGAAGTGATTCAAACAAATGCAGGACTTGAGGCAGGGCTACGAATCAAGTGAGAGTCATATATCATGTCCCTCTCACTACTGTAGTGAAGTGATTCAAACAAATGCAGGACTTGAGGCAGGGCTACGAATCAAGGGAGAGTCATATATCATGTCCCTCTCACTACTGTAGTGAAGTGATTCAAACAAATGCAGGACTTGAGGCAGGGCTACGAATCAAGGGAGAGTCATATATCATGCCCCTCTCACTACTGTAGTGAAGTGATTCAAACAAATGCAGGACTTGAGGCAGGGCAACGAATCAAGGGGACAGTTATATATCATGTCCCTCTCACTACTGTAGTGAAGTGATTCAAACAAATGCAGGACTTGAGGCGCCTTGTATAATACATTTGAGAGCTTTTATAATACATGTAATACTATTTCAGAGATAGAAGCTAACTTTTTTAGTCAACTAGTGCTTATAACATATAGCAAAACCCCTTAAAAAGGCAAATTTCTACTAGTCCTTATGATTACTTAACTACTGGGCAGTTTGGCAAGGACTATAGGACCAGTGCTAATTTCTATCACTGTATATATATATATTTATATACATGGTATTCAGCACATTCCATGTTAAACCAAAAGATTACCAGTAATTTGACGAGTAGGTTTCCTTTTCACTAACCCCCCAAGCCCCCATGGACTTCCACAAAGGTGTTACATACAGATGGCTCTGCACAATATCAAGCGACAAACAAGCACATGTGAGACTTCACTAAACAGTCTTTCAACATCAGTATCACGATACATAGGTCACGATACGATATATATTGCAATACACATACTAACAAGATCGGATGGTCAGGCTTGCAGACTTGGTTGATGCATGTCATTGTTGTATCCCAATTGCGTTGATCGATGCTCATGATGTCAATCACTGTCTGGTCCAGACTTGATTAGGGATCGCCGTTATATAGCTGGAATATTGCTGAGTGCGGCGTTAAACAACAAACAAACCAATGTCAAATCACATGGAAACATCTTGACCATAAATATTTCAGAGCAGGACACAAGTTCGTAGCAGCTCTGTTTAGCATGTTTAGTAGTGGACTTGGAAAGCTAATTACAATACATTTTGCAATATTTGACTGACAAAAACGCTGGGGTGGAGGTCATTAAACAAGTAGTAAGCAATTTATTTTAGGAAGTGTATCGTCTTGTAATGATACAGAAAAATATGTATCATGTATCGTCTTGTCACGTTTGATTTTTGCTAAAAGCCGCACTCAGCAATATTCCAGCTATATGACGGGAGTCTGTAAATAATCAAGTCTGGACCAGACAATCCAGTGAATGATGTCATGAGCATCGATTCACGCAATTGGGATACGATGACATGCAACAACCAAGTCAGCAAGGCTGACCACCGATCCTGTTAGTCGTTAGTCGCCTCTTACGACAAGCATAGTTGCCTTTTATGGCAAGCATGGGTTGCTGAAGACGTCACATGAAAAGTTACGATGCACCCCTATACCAATGTATCATTTCACCCCTAACTCAGACCTTCACAAAACAAAGTCCATTTAAGTCATAACTAGTTAATAATCCAGACAGACAGACAGACAGACAATTTATTCAGTAAGAGACAACCAGCTCATAATACATTATTATTGCATGATAAATCATGCATGCTGGAGTAAAGTATATAATAATTTAATTCATGGCAAATATAGGTATTGTGTTAATGATATATTTTCATATAACAGGAGCATGTCCTCCTCCCATATAAGTAATAGTTCTTACAAAATCACGTAGCATACAACATGAGAGCAAGTATAATCATGATATTGACCATGTACGTCATCTATCATTGGCAAATCATGAGTGTTCCTTGTCTGCTAAATTTCCACTCTGAAGCAAAGTGGTGGATAAACATGATAGATTAGATATCAACATAATAATATGTATATTTTTCAGTGATTTTGTTGGAGACAAATGGCAATTGACATTTTAAATTTCTTTCACTCGCTGACAGGACATTCTTCAATATCATTAGCAAAATTGAAAAATATCTTGAGGACATTTTGGATGACGATCAGTCAATGTCCAAGAAAATGAAACGACCTGAAAACCTGTTTTGGTTCATCAAATTCAACACAAACAATGTTGGTTAATTACAGCATATATCATAGCAACGAGTGTGTAATAGTGTCAATCACTGTCAATATCAATCATAATTGAAAGTTGAGTGGATATTGTCACTTGTAACAACACAGGCATGAACAAAGGCACTAAACATCCCAATGTTGATGTCGGTCTGCTTCAGCTATCACTGACCAGTTAGGTGAATGATCATTGGCAGCCAACCAATTGAAGTCATCAACGTCATCCCAGTTGTTCCTTGTCCTGTCAAGACCTGCAACCAGGTAATGTTCTTCAAGTTCAGGATACTTCCAGTTATAAGGGGCAAACCGAGTCTTGTTGCTGTCCTCAATGATAGCTTTACTGGTGACATGAATGTAAAAATCAGTATCTCGAGTAGTATGGATCCTCAGTTGCTGACATGGTAAAACAAACGTACAGCCAACACACTCCCTGATAAACACTGAACCAGACACAGGCCCACTGAATACCCTACAGTTGCGTAGTTTATTGATATGAATAGCTGACGGTGCGCCCAGCAGTTTGACTGTGCAGTCAGTAAGGTCTGCCAGGGCAACATCCTTCTGGGTTAGTTCTTCGGATGTTTTCTCAAGCACTTTAGAAACATCACCAACAAACTTACACTCTGCCAACTCCACCTCAAGATTGGTCTGTGTGTTAGCTGCATGGTCAACTACTATTTTAGGTGCTTTAGCTTTTTCAGTCTTCTTTGACTTGAAAGCAAACTTTTTCTTTGGAATCATGACATCTCGCTTTTCCTGGATAGACGCATGCAGTTGACTCATCGTCTGCTGGGCTTTGGTGACTTCATACGAGGAGAGAAACATTGTGGACTCGGACACGTACTTCTGCAACTTTGACAGTTGCGACGACACACTGTCAAAATGTTCCACAAGTCCATTCTTCGGTATCTGTTCGCTTTTAGAAAGTTGTGATTCGATATTCTGTCTCTCCTTGGAAAAAGTATCTAAGAAGCAGCCAGTGCTCTCCTGAGCAGCTTCAGTTAATGACTTCTCCTCTTGCCGTCTTTCAACCTCCGCTTGTCTTTCATCGTTTCTCTTTTGAAGTCGTTTTTCAACTTCACGCTTTTTCTTGTTGTCCTGCAGGTCGGATTCAACCGGCACTTCGCCTACTGTCGCCATTTCACGTGAGGACTGAGATAATATGTGACCGTTGCTATTTCACATTGACCCCGATGCCCCATGTAAACAAGATAAAAATACAATAATTCCTCACTCGGATCTGTGGTTTTGGCCATTTAAACCAGTTCACAGGTTATCTCGCTTAACGACCACGATATTAAATGATCTAATATTATACCGTATTCTTTGAACGTTGAAAAATACTAACTGACATTGCTGTAAGCGATAATTACAACCAGGGGCGGGTAACTCCATGACCCTTTACTGCCGGCGTGTCAGAATGTTGACGCATATGCTAAATTTAGATGGAATTGTATCATGCCTGAAAGAGTTTTAGTTTATGTCATTGATCGGCTATGTTTGCTCGAACCCATATCATGACACTTTTTAGAATATGTTTACATGTAGATCTATGATGATATATATATCTATATGTTTCTTTTTTTAAACGTAATGATTAATCAAGTTCTGTACCTACATGTTGACATTAGCAACGGACTTTCACGTAGTCTGGAAGGTAATTTAAGGTACCGACGTTTACTACAATATCTGAAAAACTATCGGACCTTCTCCAGTCAAAGTTGGTATGAGATTATTAAACAGTCATACATAACTGGATATTACATTAAAAGACAATTGGTGCATGAATAAAAAATCTGTCTATTTAGCTATCACTATATTTCATCAACAACCAGACCGCCTCCAAGGTCTAGTGGTAGAGTGTCCGCCCGGAGAGCGGAAGGTCCTGGGTTCGATCCCCGGCCGCGTCATACCAAAAGACGTTAAAAGATGGTACATGTTGTTACCCTGTCTGGCGCTCGGCATTAAGGGGCTGAAACAAGGACTGGTCGGCTCAGAGTCAGTATACTGTGTCTGAGTGGGATATTCATGTTAAACTGCGGCATGGTATCTCAGTGAGCTAGCCTTATAAATCGGCATCAGTCCGGACTAGTACAAGCAGCCACACGTACATGCACGTCGCTATATAAGTGCAATAATCTTGGACGCGACATTAAACCCCATTTCACCTCACCTCATCAACAACCAGACCTGTTCGTCACGGGTGGAACGAGCATTCATTGAAACAGCCATCTACATAATGCTACCCCTGCGTCACAGGGCCATATGACACAGTTGAACCAATCAACTCAACTCGAAAGGGTGCACAGGATACAGTGTTAGCGTTGGGCGTCTCAACGTGGGTGATTCCCGTGGACCTTCCGCTCTCCGGGCGGACACTCTACCACTAGACCTTGGAGGCGGTCTGGTTGTTGATGAAATATAGTGATAGCTAAATAGACAGATTTTTTATTCATGCACCGATTGTCTTTTAATGTAATATCCAGTTATGTATGACTGTTTAATAATCTCATACCAACTTTGACTGGAGTAGGTCCAATAGTTTTTCAGATATTGTAGTAAACGTTGGTACCTTAAATTACCTTCCAGACTATACCTGATAATGACTTTATAGGATACTGGTACTAAAGGTCCGTATAAAATGCTGGATTTCATTTCCATGCCTGAATTGGGTTTGTGAAGTTAGTCTCAAGTTTCTCTCAACTGCAGTGATTTTGCTGGAGTCAGGACAATTTCTTGATTTTATCAGTTCTTTCAGGACTTTTTAAAGGACGAAATTAAATAAATTGAATTGTTTGACCTGAGAAAACAATATTAGCAACGTCATTGGAATTATAACCAAGCAGAAACACATGTGGGATTGGGATTAATAAAGTAGTGTAGCTGTTACCTCTGTTGCTTTGTCGTCCAGGCCGGTCGTTACAGTGGTGCTATGGTTGTGTTCACATTATGGTGGATGGCGGTCAGTTACAATCAGCTTGTCATGTGTATAAGAACCAAACTTGTACTTCTTATAGTTCTTGCAGCTTGTCAGGTAGGTAGTTTGTTAGATAGGCCTACATCACACCGATTTTACTTCAGATTTTGACTTCATCTTCTGGGTACAAGAGTTTTACAATCATAGATTTGGCTGCCTAAACACAGCCAAGCATGTAGAACAGGACCCTTGTACTCATACATGGGGCTTTTGTCACTTTACACTTGGAGACAGTTGTCAGCAGCAGAAGCACACAGAAGTGGTAAAATCCCCCACAGTGTACATATCACCAACTGTCACATGATCAGTGGTGGTCACAGACTGGGAATATCCAACAAGGAGAAAAGACCGCCTCCTAGTCTGCTCAAGAAACACTGTCCATTACAAAAATGCCCAGTACCTCGCCCGCCTTCTTGCCCCCCTGGGGAAAACAGCCAAATCATTCATCACTGACTCCACAGAATTCTGCAGAAAGATAAGCACCATCACCAAACCAGGCACACTCGTCAGCTATGATGTGGTAGATCTCTTCACAAATGTACCCAGAGACGAAGCCCTATCCATCCTCAGAAGAAGAATAGAAGCAGTTTACCCGGACCTTGACACCCATCTATCTACAGACAGCATCATCAAACTTATAACCTCTTGCATTACCTCCACCTACTTCACCTGGCAAGACAAGATCTACCAACAGACACATGGACTTCCCATGGGATCCCCGCTGTCTCCTATCATCACAGAAATCTACATGACGGACCTAGAAGAAACCGCCCTCCATACATCACCTATCACCCCCCTCTGCTGGTTTAGGAAAGTCGACGACACTTTTGTCATTCTCCAACCTGACCATGACCCCAAGACCCTCCTCAACCACCTGAATGCCCAACACCCCAGGATGCAGTTCACTATGGAAGAAGAAGCTGAGACAACTACCATTCCTAGATGTAAGAGTACAGAAAGACCCCGATAACAAACTCCACACCAGTGTCTACCGTAAACCCACCCATACGGATCAGTATCTGCACAATTCCTCTAACCACCCACCACAAATCAAGAGAGGAATTATCGCCACCTTAGCCCGACGTGCTGTCAACATCTGTTCCACGCCACAACAGCTACAAACTGAACTCAACCACCTCCGCCATGTCTTCACTAACTTCAACAATTACCCTACCAGCCTAGTTGAACAAACAATCAACAGCATCCTCAGCCCTAGAGAGCGGCCTCCACGACAACAGACAGCCCCGTTTGTCATCAGTCTTCCCTACATAGGAACAGCCAGCCACCAGATCCGCAGACTGCTCAAACACCACGCCAACATTGATACAGTATTCCAGAGAGGCAGGACAATCCAGAACATCCTCAGTGCCAATGGCAAGCCCCCTACATCAAAGAAAGAAGACCCAGCTGAACCGTATATCACATACAATGTGACTGTGGCGACTCCTATGTAGGAGATCATCCAGGCCCCTACCCATTAGAATAAAAGAACACAAGACCTCAGTACAAAAAAATGACTCAAATTCAGCCATCTCCGACCACACCCAAACCCACCCCCTACCACAACATCCAGTGGAACAACATCAAGATCCTGGCCAACAACCAATCAGACTACAAAATCAGGAAACTCCTAGAAGCCATCCACATCAAAAGGATCCAGCCAGCAATGAACAGAGACCAAGGCTATTACATCCCGCCTGCTTACCATCACCTAATTGCTAAATCACTTTGTCCATCAAATTAATCCAGTGGCTTCCATCATCTCTATCAGTCTGCTTGTTTACTCTGTGTTCATTAGTCATCGACTGGCTTCCAATTATCTTAATCAGCTCTCTGTGTCCATCAACTAGTCACTGTATAAACTTAGATTTTAATAAGTATATATTCCTATGTTGTTTGGCACTATCCATCACTTGCTTGACAAAGATGTTAGGATCTACACCGAAACGTTGCACTAATTGTAATAAAGAAGTTGTTCATCCATAGAACTCATCTTACTTCAAGGAGCAAAGAGACTAAAGGAGAGAGCAAAGCAGTTAATATACAAAGGGAGCTCAGTATATAATGTTGGTTCTACAACTTCATACAATGCGTGAAGCCCATTGCTGGTGTCCGCCTCCGTGATATTTCTGGAATATTGATAAAGTGGCATAAAACAATACTTACTTACTCAGTGTGAGATGTGCATATAGTAATGGATTATTGGAGGTACTTTAACACTTGCCTGTCTACCATGGTGAAGTATCTCAGAATGGCAATTACTGCATGTTATTACATTTAATGTGTTTGTGTTGCAAGAGTATTTGTTGGTTTATTTATTGATTAGAATGTGTGTCATAACCAGGATAACTAAACATTATATACAATTTCAAGAATTAATAAGTTACGAAAAAACAAATATTTGAACATTTGAATGATTAATTTTTAAAGAAATTTAAAGGCTAAACATGGCACTTGTAGCTTATTTGGAAAATTCGAGTGGGAACTTTCACACATACACGGTCAGTTCCTTTTATTTAATAATCTTTTTCCCCACTCAAAATACTCCCCATTTTCTAGATTGCCCCATCAAGAAAAGCCCTCTTTTAGGCAGTATAGTATAGCAGGAAGTTCCACCATGGAGGAACAAACATGGGGAAATGGAGTTGCACTTGACATACAAGTGCTAGCACATAATTTGGGAAACATTTTGTTAACCAAAATGTAGTCAGCTATATGTTACTTTGTTGAAAACGTCTTCAAATGAATAAGTTCTGTTTTCTATAGGTCAACATGGTTGGTAGGCTTTCACGTGTAATGTCTATATTATAGGGACTGTCTCCTGGTCTAGTGTATAGGTTGTCTGCCCTGAGAGCAGAAGGTTGAGGGGTTAATCCCCTCCTAACCCTATTTGCTGCTTGGCGCTCAGCATTAAAGGGATAAAATAAGGACTGGTCAGCTAGAAGTCAGTATACTGTGTCTGAGTAGGGTATTCATGTTAAACTGCAGCATGATATCTTAGTGGGTTGGCACCATAAAACCGGCATTTGTGCGGTCTAGGACAAGCAAGCAGGCGCACAAGCTTTAGCACGCACGCACGCACTCACACACACACACACACACACACACACACACACACACTGTTTATCTATATATATCAGGGCAATAAACCCAATTTCACCTCACCCACTTGTAATAGGCTATGATAGGCCAAGTATTATAACAGACAATGCGATGTGTACATCTGTATGATAGTCAACATATGTCTACTTGATGGGAAATGTGTCAATGTGATAGGCCATGGTTGTGCACATTGAAGACTGCTCAATCATAACACTTTAAGCAACCAGCTAAAGGTCTCTCATTTGTCCCCTGTCTCAATTGGTTTTCTCAATCACTATCCTTACTAGTACTTTGTCAGCACATACCCATACTCATGGGTGATACTTTGTCAGGACCATACTTGTAGGTGTTCCCTGGTTTGTCAGGACCACACTTGTGGGTGTTCCCTGGTTTGTCAGGATGTACTCGTGGGTGTTCCCTGGTTTGTCAGCACATACCCATACTCATGGGTGATACTTTGTCAGGACCATACTCGTGGGTGTTCCCTGGTTTGTCAGAACCATACTTGTGGGTGTTCCCTGGTTTGTCAGGACCATACTTGTGGGTGTTCCCTGGTTTGTCAGAACCATACTTGTGGGTGTTCCCTGGTTTGTCAGGACCATACTTGTGGGTGTTCCCTGGTTTGTCAGGATGTACTCGTGGGTGTTCCCTGGTTTGTCTGGATGTACTCGTGGGTGTTCCCTGGTTTGTCAGGATGTACTCGTGGGTGTTCCCTGGTTTGTCTGGATGTACTCGTGGGTGTTCCCTGGTTTGTCAGGATGTACTCACGGGTGTTGCCTGGTTTGTCAGGATGTACTCATGGGTGTTCCCTGGTTTGTCTGGACCATACTCGTGGGTGTTCCCTGGTTTGTCTGGATGTACTCGTGGGTGTTCCCTGGTTTGTCAGGATGTACTCGTTGGTGTTCCCTGGTTTGTCAGGATGTACTTGTGGGTGTTCCCTGGTTTGTCAGGACCCTACTCGTGGGTGTTCCATGGTTTGTCAGGATGTACTCGTGGGTGTTCCCTGGTTTGTTTGGACCATACTCGTGGGTGTTCCCTGGTTTGTCTGGATGTACTCGTGGGTGTTCCCTGGTTTGTCTGGATGTACTCGTGGGTGTTCCCTGGTTTGTCAGGATGTACCCATGGGTGTTCCCTTCTTTGTCAGGATGTATTCGTGGGTGTTCCCTGGTTTGTCAGGGTGTACTCGTGGGTGTTCCCTTCTTTGTCAGGATGTATTCGTGGGTGTTCCCTGGTTTGTCAGGATGTACCCATCGGTGTTGCCTGGTTTGTCAGGATGTACCCATGGGTGTTCCCTGGTTTGTCAGGATGTACCCATGGGTGTTCCCTGGTTTGTCAGGATGTACCCATGGGTGTTCCCTTCTTTGTCAGGATGTATTCGTGGGTGTTCCCTGGTTTGTCAGGATGTACCCATCGGTGTTGCCTGGTTTGTCAGGATGTACCCATGGGTGTTCCCTGGTTTGTCAGGATGTACCCATGGGTGTTCCCTGGTTTGTCAGGATGTACCCATGGGTGTTCCCTTCTTTGTCAGGATGTATTCGTGGGTGTTCCCTGGTTTGTCCGGATGTATTCGTGGGTGTTCCCTGGTTTGTCAGGATGTACTCGTGGGTGTTCCCTGGTTTGTCAGGATGTACCCATCGGTGTTGCCTGGTTTGTCAGGATGTACCCATCGGTGTTCCCTGGTTTGTCAGGATGTACCCATGGGTGTTCCCTGGTTTGTCAGGATGTACTCGTTGATGTTCCCTGGTTTGTCAGGATGTACTCATGGGTGTTGCCTGGTTTGTCTGGACCATACTCGTGGGTGTTCCCTGGTTTGTCTGGACCGTACCCATGGGTGTTCCCTGGTTTGTCCGGATGTACTTGTGGATGTTCCCTGGTTTGTCAGGACTGTACTTGTTGGAGATCCTTGGTTTATCTGGATTGTACTCGTGGGTTTTGCCTGGTTTGTCAGGATGTACCCATGGGTGTTCCCTGGTTTAAACAAGGGCTTGCCTCACATTCAGCCACAGTACGCTCATACCAACTTCCTCATCCACTCCATGTGCAAGTCCAGTGACACACACCAAAAACTGTCTTTGTTATAGAATTACTTTATTGATACAGGTAGCAAAATAGGTGATAATTGTTGGCTAAACCGCTGATGATGTGAAAACTGGGTTTTGTACAAAATGATAGCATAACATTATTGACAGTCATCAGAGTATATATGTACATATTTCAGATCAGTTTCCATGGTTACAGTAGACTACGGAGTAGTGGTGATGCCTACAAGCTTTGTGTGAGTAGACACACTCGGATGCCTGTAAGATATATGACCAGCTACAAGGCACGACTATCACAGACTTGTCAAGCATAGAAAGACATCTAGAAATACAATATTAGATAATGAAGTGTATAAGGCATGGCAGTTGATAACAACTTTAAAACAAAAGAAATATTATGTACACTATTATGAATATATTTCATTGTGAATTCCGTATTATGTGAAACAGTATTATGTCATATTATGGTCCCTGCTTTGAGACAGTCTCCCAGTCACACGGCCTGTACATTCTGTGACGCCATCTCATCATGGTAGGTCCTCTATTGTGCGACCAACACTGCTGCCTTAGAGAGATTATATCACAGAAGACAGACGGAGCTGTATGAGTCCAACATGGACCTCACATACACACTATTTCCCATGGTGTCCGGACACACACTATTTCCCTTGGTTTCCGGATGCACACTATTTCCCGGATTTTCAGAAATACATTATTTTCAAAGGTATCAGACTAACAATATTTCCAATGTGTCCATTTGTCACTCAAGTCCACATAATCCATCTAAGAAGTCACACATGTCACAGATTCAAACAGTAGCCATGGCAACCATGTGACTCTGGGTTCCTGGCAGCAGGTTTTGTGTATAACTTGAAGGATCAAATGTTAGCAACACGTGAGGGACATATGATTCCGTGTCCTGTGAAGATGCTGACTGCAGCAACCTACATTGGCGGAGGCCCCTGTGTGTAGCGCAACATCGGCGACAGCGACTGCTGCAGGTTGTTGGCCAGGACGCAGCTGTACTCATCCTCACAGATTGGGACCAGACAGGCCATGCCCAGCAGCAGCAGTAACAACAGCTGGAGCGGCAACGCTGTCCGCAACACTCGCGCAAACAGCGGCGGACGCCGACGCCGGAGAGACACTATATCACGTGCGGTATTTAAACTGGAAGAAAGTAGAAAGAAGAGTGTTAAATGGTATCCATGGCAACATACATAATTGATGACTGAATGATGTGATGATGACTGAACAGGGATATGCTACGATGTGATAAATGATGAAGTAATTAGAAAAGAAAATTCACATTTACATGATTCAAGAGTATTTGAGGTGAGCTACTGAAGTATTATAACAGCAATGTGAAAGTTTAAAAAGGAGAAATCGTGAAGAATCCTAACTGACTGACCATTGTTTCAAAGAAGGCATCTAAAACTAATAGGCAAGCTTTTTTTTAAAGCATGAGTGCAGCATGTCAGTATGTGAGAGGTTAGAAGTGGAATGATTGATGATTAGACGGGAGCCATGGTGACATCAGTCATCTGCCCCAGTGTCAGCATGGTGATATTGTCTGCCTGTGATTGGCACCTCTACTGCTCCTGTATTAGACCAGCTCCAGAAGCACATAATATGTATATATGTATATATATATATATATATTCTTCTATGTTATATTGCTTATATATACAACAGCAAGCTTAATACACCCCAGGCAGCTGGTAAGTTTAGCTCTGGAGAGTGAAATCCGTTTTACACTGCTCTGAACAGTATTTCCACTAGTGCCACTCCTTCCACAGAGAGCTGATACTGGTGATGTTTTAATATTCTCATAAAAAATAAAGTTAATCCTTTTACGAAAATTATTGAAAAGCTTTTATGAATCTATTGGCAAGTGTGCTTTTGTTACATAGAACACTGGTGCTCATGCACTCACAGGCGTCACACACACGTACGTGATACACTCACAAATGTCACACACATGTGATACACTCACAGGTGACACACACACTCATGCACTCACAGGTGTCACACACACGATACACTCACAGGTATCACACGTGATACACACACAGGTGTCACACACACATACACAGGCATCACACACATGTGGCACTCGCACACACCTTATACCCATACATGACAATCACATGTGATGTGATATTTATACACATGACACTCAGGGGCAGTCACATGTGAAAATCACTCACATGATACACTACCTTGTACACATGTGATACACACAAGTGACACTTCTACACACCTGATCCACACGTGATACACTCGCACACACATGATACACACAAGTGACACTTGCACACACGTGATACACACATGTGATACACTCGCACACACGTGATACACACAAGTGACACTCGCACACACGTGATACACACAAGTTACACTTGCACACATGTGATACACACAAGTGACACTCGCACACATGTGATACACTCGCACACACGTGATACACACAAGTGACACTTCTACACACATGATACACTCGCACACACGTGATACACTCGCACACACGTGATACACACAAGTTACACTTGCACACACGTGATACACACAAGTGACACACGTGATACACTCGCACACACGTGATACACACAAGTGACACTTCTACACACATGATACACTCGCACACACGTGATACACACAAGTTACACTTGCACACACGTGATACACACAAGTGACACACGTGATACACTCGCACACACGTGATACACACAAGTGACACTTCTACACACATGATACACACGTGATACACTCGCACACACGTGATACACTCGCACATAACTCACACACAGTGGTAAAGTGTGTCCACGATATCACGCCTACACTAGTGAACATTTTGCATGGTGTCTAAACAAGAAAAGTGTCATGCAAAGCAATATGTTGACAAATGACATTGTAGGAACTGACAACTCATTTCTGAAAGTTGAACTAAAACGATAAAAGAACAACAAAAGAAGATGCGTGAATCTCAGTTGAAGTTCTCCGAAGTTGTTCAGGTGTCTGGGATCAAACACCAGGTGTCAACACCAGGAACGCAGAGGAAGGAGGAAGACTGAACAACAAATGACGGACGTGTCGAGGTTGAAGCAAACATAAAATCAGAGTGAAACCACTGTTGAGAGGCCGTCTGCCACAGGCTGTGCACCACGGCACCATGGCAACAGACCGGAACAACTCTCAGAGAACTGGTCAAGGTCAAGGTCAAATAGGCAAGCAACGGTGAGTGTCTAGCTACAGATAGTCTGCATATGTAGGAGCTGTAGACCAATGGCTGCTAAGTTAGGTTCTGCTTGATGCTGTCATCAACTACACCTACACCAGATGCATGCTGACTATCGCACATCATTCGGGGGACGTGTGGACCGATGCAAGGGGCGGACATGGGTGTGTTAGGGGCATCGTCGTTTGGTATGGACATGTGCGCATTAGTGATGGAGTTAGACATGCATACCTTGCTGTGTGGTTTTAGGGTAGTGCCTGTGGAGGATAGTGCCCATGAGTGGTGGATAGTGTCTGTGTGAGGAGGATGGTGTCTTGTAGGATAGTGCCTGTGTGTGGAGGATAGTGCCTGTGTGTGGAGGATAGTGTCTGTGTGTGGAGGATAGTGTCTGTGTGTGGAGGATAGTGTCTGTGTGTGGAGGATAGTGCCTGTGTGTGAAGGAAAGTGTCTGTGTGTGGAGGATAGTGTCTGTGTGTGGAGGATAGTGTCTGTGTGGAGGATAGTGTCTGTGTGTGAAGGATAGTGTCTGTGTGTAGAGGATAGTGTCTGTGTGTGGAGGATAGTGTCTGTGTGTAGAGGATAGTGTCTGTGTGAGGAGGATAGTGTCTATGTTTGTAGGATAATGCCTGTGAGTGGTGGATAGTGTCTATGTGTGGAGGATAGTGCCTGTGAGTGGTGGATATTGCCTGTATGTGGAGGATAGTGTCTTTGTTTGTAGGATAGTGCCTGTGAGTGGTGGATAGTGTCTATGTGTGGAGGATAGTGCCTGTGAGTGGTGGATAGTGCCTGTGTGTGGAGGATAGTGTCTCTGTTTGTAGGATAGTGCCTGTGAATGGTGGATAGTGCCTGTGTGTGGAGGATAGTGCCTGTGAGTTGTGGATAGTGCCTGTGTGTAGTGGATAGTGTATATGTGTGGTGGATAGTGTCTATGTGTGGAGGATAGTGCCTGTGTATGGAGGATAGTATCTATTTTTTTTGGGATAGTGTCTTTTATGGAGGATAGTGCCTGTGTATGGAGGATAGTATCTATGTGTTTAGGATAGTGTCTATGTATGGAGGATAGTGCAAGTGTGTGGAGGATAGTGCAAGTGTGTGGAGGATAGTGTCTGTGTATGGAGGATAGTGCCTATGTTTGTAGGATAGTGTCTGTGTATGGAGGATAGTGCCTGTGTGTTGAGAATAGAGTGTGTGTGGAGCATAGTGTCTGTGTGTGGAGGATAGTGCCTATGTTTTTAGGATAGTGTCTGTGTATGGAGGATAGTGTCTGTGTGTGGAGGATAGTGCCTATGTTTTTAGGATAGTGTCTGTGTATGGAGGATAGTGTCTGTGTGTGGAGGATAGTATCTGTGTATGGAGGATAGTGCCTATGTTTTTAGGATAGTGTCTGTGTATGGAGGATAGTGTCTGTGTGTTGAGGATAGTGTCTGTGTATGGAGGATAGTGCAAGTGTGTGGAGGATAGTGTCTGTGGTTGATGGTGCCTGTGTGATAAGGATAGTGTCTGTGTATGGAGGTTAGTGTCTATGTTTTAGGATAGTGCCTGTGTGTAGGGGATAGTGCCTGTGTGAGGAGGATAGTGTCTGTGTGTGGAGGATAGTGCAAGTGTGTGGAGGATAGTGTCTGTGGTAGATGGTGCCTGTGTGATAAGGATAGTGTCTGTGTATGGAGGTTAGTGTCTATGTTTTAGGATAGTGCCTGTGTGTAGGGGATAGTGCCTGTGTGAGGAGGATAGTGTCTGTGTGTGGAGGATAGTGCCTGTGTGTATGATTGCTGGTACCTGCAGAAAAGTGCCTTTTTGGTGTAATATGGGGAGGGTTTCATTTCACACCAGTTCAATATGAGCCCAGTAGCCCAGTCGTTGTCGATGTTCTATACTAATGTTGTTACCAACACCCATGCAATGCTGTACTTCCCAGTGTGAGAGACTGTGCTATGTCATGCATTGCCCCTGCACACTGATCTATCTAAACCCAGTCCGCTTTGGCGGCCATGTTGGAGTGTCAGAGGCAGCACAAAGGTAGTAACGATGCACCAAAGCAAACATTGAACATGCTGAGAATCGTGACCCAGAAGTCTGGGTCCCCTCCCCTCCCCCTCCAAGGCTGGGGGAAGGTGTGGGTGGGGAATGGTATTTACTTGTCAGTTTCATCCGCTGGCTGGAGCAGGGGTCGAGTGTCTCCAAACAGAAGCTGTAGAAAGCAACACAATCATATTTATAGGGGAGATAACTGATATTTATAGGGGAGACAACTGAAGTAGGATGGTTATGGACTAGCGTTACAAGGTTTACAACTACAAGTTACCCACAGAAAGTTGGCGGTATTGTATGTTCAGTACAAGGACATGTCTACAGTATGGAGGAGCTCCCTGCGCACAACAAATACTTAGTGCTTCTGGCCAGAGTGCTGCTCGCTGTCTAGGCTGCTCAGCATACAACATTTAACTTGACATCAAATAAACTTGAATGCCCTTGATTTTGATTCTTGCAAATTTTCCATGACTCCGATTTCCTGCATACCTGTTGTGAGAGGGCAAAGGGTGATCGATTCCTCACTCTCAAGGAGGACCCTGGTCTCAGTAAGGATGACCTTGGACTACTTGACCTTGAACCTCGCGACGCCACTGATGATACGTCCGATACATCTAAATTTGCTGGCTGGAATACCCAAAATAAAACACAAGATTACCTAAAATAAATCCTCAACAATATCAAAACATATTTCTGTCTCATGTTTCTTCAAATTGAACCTTTAGTTATCAAGTGTTCCTCAGCCAGCGACTTACCGATGCCCGGGCAGAGATGTGAAGCTTGTCCTCCAGACTAGAGATGTAGGACGATGTCAGACGAAGTAATGCCCTCACACGGTTGGCGATGATGTGCATTTTGTCTTTGGCATTAACCATCTCCTGTGAGTCGGTGTTCATGTACAGCTGGTCTGTGGTGTCCTTGATGGCAAGGATCTTCGGCTGGTTCCGCTCCAGCTCGCCATGCAGCTCCTGAAACAGCCAGACGCATTATACAGGGTACCATCATACAGGTACCATCATACAGGGTACAGTCATACAGGTAGCATCATACAGCTACAGTCAAACAGGTACCATCATACAGGGTACCATCATACAGGTACAGTCATACAGGGTACCATCATACAGGGTACCATCATACAGGTACAGTCAAACAGGTAGCATCATAAAGGTAGAGTCAAACAGGTACAGTCATACAGGGTACAGTCATACAGGGTACCATCATACAGGGTACCATCATACAGGTACAGTCATACAGGGTACCATCATACAGGGTACCATCATACAGGTACAGTCAAACAGGTAGCATCATAAAGGTAGAGTCAAACAGGTACAGTCATACAGGTAGCATAAAAAAAGTAGAGTCAAACAGGAAACATCATACAGGTACCATCATACAGGGTACAGTCATACAGGTAGCATCATACAGCTACAGTCAAACAGGTACCATCATACAGGGTACCATCATACAGGGTACCATCATACAGGTAGCATCATACAGGTACCATCATGCAGGGGACCATCATACAGGGTACAATCATACAGGGTAGCATCATACAGGTAGCATCATACAGCTACAGTCAAACAGGTACCATCATACAGGTACAGTCATACAGGTACAGTCAAACAGGTAGCATCATACAGGTACAGTCATACAGGGTACCATCATACAGGTACAGTCAAACAGGTACCATCATACAGGGTAGCATCATACAGGTACAGTCAAACAGGTACCATCATACAGGTACAGTCAAACAGGTAGCATCATACAGGGTACCATCATACAGGTACAGTCAAACAGGTAGCATCATACAGGGTACCATCATACAGGTACAGTCATACAGGTAGCATCATACATCTACAGTCAAACAGGTACCATCATACAGGTACAGTCAAACAGGTACCACCATACAGGGTACCAGCATACAGGATACCATCATACAGGTACAGTGAAACAGGTAGCATCATACAGGTACAGTCAAACAGGTAGCATCATACAGGGTAGCATCATACAGGGTACCATCATACAGGTACAGTCAAACAGGTAGCATCATACAGCTACAGTCAAACAGGTACCACCATACAGGGTAGCATCATACAGGTACCATCATACAGGGTACCATCATACAGGGTACCATCATACAGGTACAGTCAAACAGGTAGCATCATAAAGGTAGAGTCAAACAGGTACAGTCATACAGGTAGCATAAAAAAAGTAGAGTCAAACAGGAAACATCATACAGTTAGCATCATAAAGGTACAGTCAAACAGGAAACATCATACAGGTAGCATCATACAGGTACAGTCAAACAGGAAACACCATACAGGTACAGTCAAACAGGAAACATCATACAGGTAGCATCATATAGGTACAGTCAAACAGGAAACATCATACAGGTAGCATCATACAAGTCAGTCAAACAGGTACCATCGTTCAGGGTACCGCGAAGTGGGGATACCATCATATAGTCATATACTGATTCACCATCAATCAGTTGTAATGTTTGTTTCTTTCTTTCTTTCTTCGTTGTTAAAAGCTGCACTCAGCAATATTCCAGCTACATGACAGTGGTCTGTAAATAATCAAGTCTGGATCAGACAATCCAGTGATTGACATCATGAGTACAATGACATGCATCATCCATATCAGCGAGCCTGACCACCCGATCTCGTTTGTCGCCTCTTTAATACGACAAGCAAAGTCGCCTATTACGTCAAGAAAGGGTTGCTCAAGATCTTTTCTACCCCAGATCTTCACGGGTCTGGGTTGTAATGACTCACCATCAGTCGGTTGTACTGCAGCCACAGCTGGGTCTCGTCAGCATTCAGGTTGATGGGCTCACACTTTTGCATCCTGTTCTCGATGCTCTCCAGCCACATGTAGCGGTCGTGGATCTCGTGATGGAACTCCTGGCTTTGCAGCAACGCCACCTGCAGGCCACGGTGGACACTATCAGCACGGGAATTGACTGCCTCCCATCGTTCATTCATCTGTCGGAGTTTCTCCTGCATGTCACGGCCATCTGCTGTGGAGAGGTTGATGAAGTTCTTGCTGATGAGGTTGATTGACAACACCCTAGCTTTCTTGGACTCCAGTTGCACGAGGAAGTCCTGAAACACACGGCACGTTCATGTTCATCTACAGATCTGGCGTCAACATCACTCAGTTCACTAAGACTCCTGCACGTCAACTCACCTTGTACTGCCTGATGACACTTTCCAGTTCTGCCATGTCTCCCGGCAATGGTTGCTGGGCCGACTGCAGAGCCTCTGCTTCATCTAGCCAGGCCAGCATGTTGTCCAGGTCGACCCGGAACTGGGTCTGGTCCTGGCGCTCAGTCACCACCTTGTACTCGCGCTCTGTGATACGCAGCTGGAGGATCTCCCAACGCTGCACAACACCTGAAGACAGACATGACAGTCAGTGGAAGTACGTGACAGTCGGAGAACGTAGGTGACAGTCAGTGGTCGTACGTGACAGACAGTGGAAGTACGTGACAGACAGTGGATGTACGTGACAGACAGTGGAAGTACGTGACAGTCGGAGAACGTAGGTGACAGTCAGTGGTCGTACGTGACAGACAGTGGAAGTACGTGACAGACAGTGGATGTACGTGACAGTCGGAGAACGTACGTGACAGTGGGAGAACGTAGGTGACAGTCAGTGGTCGTACGTGACAGTCAGTGGATGTACGTGACAGACAGTGGATGTACGTGACAGACAGTGGATGTACGTGACAGACAGTGGATGTACGTGACAGTCGGAGAACGTAGGTAACAGTCAGTGGTCGTACGTGACAGACAGTGGATGTCCGTGACAGACAGTGGATGTACGTGACAGACAGTGGATGTACGTGACAGTCGGAGAACGTAGGTGACAGTCAGTGGTCGTACGTGACAGACAGTGGATGTACGTGACAGACAGTGGATGTACGAGACAGACAGTGGATGTACGTGACAGTCTGAGAACGTAGGTGACAGTCAGTGGTCGTATGTGACAGACAGTGGATGTACATGACAGACAGTGGATGTACGTGACAGACAGTGGAAGTATGTGACAGTCGGAGAACGTAGGTGACAGTCAGTGGTCGTACGTGACAGACAGTGGATGTACGTGACAGACAGTGGATGTACGTGACAGTCGGAGAACGTACGTGACAGTCAGTGGATGTACGTGACAGACAGTGGTCGTACGTGACAGACAGTGGATGTACGTGACAGTCGGAGAACGTACGTGACAGTCAGTGGATGTACGTGACAGACAGTGGATGTACGTGACAGTCGGAGAACGTACGTGACAGTCGGTGGATGTACGTGACAGACAGTGGATGTACGTGACAGTCGGAGAACGTATGTGACAGTCAGTGGATGTACGTGACAGACAGTGGTCGTACGTGACAGACAGTGGTCGTACGTGACAGACAGTGGATGTACGTGACAGACAGTGGTCGTACGTGACAGACAGTGGATGTACGTGACAGTCGGAGAACGTAGGTGACAGTCAGTGGTCGTACGTGACAGACAGTGGATGTACGTGACATACAGTGGAAGTACGTGACAGACAGTGGATGTACGTGACAGTCGGAGAACGTACGTGACAGTCAGTGGATGTACGTGACAGTCAGTGGTCGTACGTGACAGTCAGTGGTCGTACGTGACAGTCAGTGGATGTACGTGACAGTCAGTGGATGTACGTGACAGTCAGTGGATGTACCTGACAGTCAGTGGTCGTACGTGACAGACAGTGGATGTACGTGACAGTCAGTGGATGTACGTGACAGTCAGTGGTCGTACGTGACAGTCAGTGGTCGAACGTGACAGTCGGAGAACGTACGTGACAGTCAGTGGATGTACGTGACAGTCAGTGGATGTACGTGACAGTCAGTGGATGTACGTGACAGTCAGGGATGTACGTGACAGACAGTGGATGTACGTGACAGTCAGTGGATGTACGTGACAGTCAGTGGATGTACGTGACAGTCAGTGGAAGTACGTGACAGACAGTGGATGTACGTGACAGTCAGTGGCTGTGGACATATCCCACACTTACATGACATTCAGTGGACATATGTACATGTGAAACTGGAAGAGGGACACTTACTTCTGACTTGAGTGTCAAGATAGTTCATCCGTGTCTTGCCTGTCTCGGACTTTAGGCGCTGCTCCAGGCGTTGAACTGTCTCAATCGCCCGCTCACAGTCGGACCGATAGCCATGCTGCAAAAGGGACATAGAGGTGAACATTGGGAAGAGTGCTGTTTGTGTGAGCTGGGCCCTGTTCGACAAAGCAAGATTTTTGTACTTTGACATAGGCTTACGGCAGTCGCAACGCTTTGATCGCTTTGTGGAACGAGGCCCTGGCCACTGCCTTCAAAAGATTAAGTGAAACACTAAGTAAATGAGTGATACAATGAAGGCAAGACAGGTACCCTGGACAAAAGAGAGGTACCCTGGACAAAAGAGAGGTATCCTGGACAAGATAGAGGTACCCTTGACAAGAGAGGTACCGTGGACAAAAAAGAGAGGTACACTGGACAAGAGAGAGGTACCCTGTACCCTGGACAAAAGAGAGGTAACCTGAACAAAAGAGAGGTACCCTGGACAAGAGAGAGGTACCCTGGACAAAAGAGAGGTACCCTGGACAAGAGAGAGGTACTCTGGACAAGAGAGAGGTACCCTGGACAAGAGAGAGGTACCCTGGACAAAAGAGAGGTACCCTGGACAAAAGAGAGGTACACTGGACAAGAGAGAGGTACCCTGTACCCTGGACAAAAGAGAGGTATCCTGGACAAGAGAGAGGTATCCTGGACAAAACGGAGGTACACTGGACAAAAGAGAGGTACCCTGGACAAGAGAGAGTACCCGGGACAAGAGAGAGGTACCCTGGACAAGAGAGAGGTACCCTGGACAAAAGAGAGGTACCCTGGACAAAAGAGAGGTACCCTGGACAAGAAAGAAGTACACTGAACATTCTTGAGATACAACTGACTACAGGGACAAGCATGGCAGAAGTATGAAGGACATACCAGACTACTGCTGTCTGCTCCGGAGGAAATCTGCCGCTCGGCCACAAGGAGTTTCCCTGCTGCATCCTCAATGGCATCCCCGAGCTTGTTGAGGAGGGCGTCATACTTCGCCGTCTTCCCCTTCCGACCCAACTCTGACTTCATCTTCTGTCTCTGCTCAACTCGCCTGCTGGCATCTGTAACACAAAACATATGTAAGCATATTTCTCTTCTTGCATCCTGTCAATCCAGAAAAACCCCCACCATTTTCTGCCCCTATTTCAGTGTACAGCGTGAAAGTCACTGAGTGACACAGTAAGTAATATGAGCACATTATGCATCACCTGTGTCCACAGTGGGTGCGGGTGATCGCAGCACTGTGCGACGTTTCTGTGGGGGGCTGTCGGGCGGGGAACTTGCCAGGTAGGACTCCAGCTCGGGGACGTCCCAGTCTAGGGTGGCAGACGTATCTCGCATCTCTCTCCGCCGCACATCAGTGGATGTGAAGCTCACCTCCTGCAGATGAAGATAGCAAGAAGTAAGGAGAGGTGAGGAGGTGTCAATGTCATACAGGCTTTTAATCTAAATATTATCTTTCAGTAACTTGAAATGAAACAAACAAATTGGAAGCGATGAATTCAGTAAGGTCTCTCACATACAATGGCATGAGGTGTTCCCGAAGAGTTTGGACCTACTCCTACCACTATCCCTGAACAATTCTATTACAAGCCAAGAGCAGAAGGCAGAACTTCTTTGAAAGAAGACCTTGGTAGCAGCAGCTGCAGTGTGGGTACCTACCTCTTCCTCACGACTCCTCTGTTCAAACAGCCGGGTCTCCTCCATCTGAAAACAGCCAGAAGACTCCCAACTATCCGGCACAATACAGTTTCTTCTGATTGTCAATCATGTTCCTGTCCTTACCAACACTGAATCACACAGCTACTGCCTGTCAGCAGCCTAGATTATTGTTATCATTAGGTATTATCAATATTATTCCATCCTACCTCTACATTAATGAATAGTGCATGAACTGTGGTGAATACTTTAATGGTTGTAACTGCTGTAGGCACCCTTCTACCCACCTGTGTTGTACCCAGTGCCCCACCCTTCTACCCACCTAGTTTGTACCCAGTGCCCCACCCTTCTACCCACCTGTGTTCTACCCAGTGCCACACCCTTCTACCCACCTGTGTTGTACCCAGTGCCCCACCCTTCTACCCACCTGTGTTGTACCCAGTGCCCCACCCTTCGAACCCACCTGTGTTGTACCCAGTGTCCCGGCCTCTACCCACCTGTGTTGTACCCAGTGCCCCACCCTTCTACCCACCTGTGTTGTACCTAGTGTCCCGGCCTCTACCCACCTGTGTTGTACCCAGTGCCCCACACTTCTAACCACCTGTGTTGTACCCAGTGTCCCGGCCTCTACCCACCTGTGTTGTACCCAGTGTCCCGGCCTCTACCCACCTGTGTTGTACCCAGTGCCCCACCCTTCTACCCACCTGTGTTGTACCCAGTGCCCCACCCTTCTACCCACCTGTGTTGTACCCAGTGCCCCACCCTTCGAACCCACCTGTGTTGTACCCAGTGTCCCGGCCTCTACCCACCTGTGTTGTACCCAGTGCCCCACCCTTCAACCCACCTGTGTTGTACCTAGTGTCCCGGCCTCTACCCACCTGTGTTGTACCCAGTGTCCCGGCATCTACCCACCTGTGTTGTACCTAGTGTCCCGGCCTCTACCTACCTGTGTTGTACCCAGTGCCCCACACTTCTACCCACCTGTGTTGTACCCAGTGCCCCACCCTTCTACCCACCTGTGTTGTACCTAGTGTCCCGGCCTCTACCCACCTGTGTTGTACCCAGTGCCCCACCCTTCTACCCACCTGTGTTGTACCCAGTGTCCCGGCCTCTACCCACCTGTGTTGTACCTAGTGTCCCGGCCTCTACCTACCTGTGTTGTACCCAGTGCCCCACCCTTCTACCCACCTGTGTTGTACCCAGTGTCCCGGCCTCTACCCACCTGTGTTGTACCCAGTGCCCCACCTTTCTACCCACCTGTGTTGTACCTAGTGTCCCGGCCTCTACCCACCTGTGTTGTACCCAGTGCCCCACCTTTCTACCCACCTGTGTTGTACCCAGTGCCCCACCCTTCAACCCACCTGTGTTGTACCCAGTGCCCCACCTTTCTACCCACCTGTGTTGTACCTAGTGTCCCGGCCTCTACCCACCTGTGTTGTACCCAGTGCCCCACCCTTCTACCCACCTGTGTTGTACCCAGTGTCCCGGCCTCTACCCACCTGTGTTGTACCTAGTGTCCCGGCCTCTACCCACCTGTGTTGTACCCAGTGCCCCACCCTTCTACCCACCTGTGTTGTACCCAGTGTCCCGGCCTCTACCCACCTGTGTTGTACCTAGTGTCCCGGCCTCTACCCACCTGTGTTGTACCCAGTGTCCCGGCCTCTACCCACCTGTGTTGTACCTAGTGTCCCGGCCTCTACCCACCTGTGTTGTACCTAGTGTCCCACCCTTCTAACCACCTGTGTTGTACCCAGTGCCCCACCCTTCTACCCACCTGTGTTGTACCCAGTGCCCCACCCTTCAACCCACCTGTGTTGTACCTAGTGTCCCACCCTTCTAACCACCTGTGTTGTACCCAGTGCCCCACCCTTCGAACCCACCTGTGTTGTACCTAGTGTCCCGGCCTCTACCCACCTGTGTTGTACCTAGTGCCCCACCCTTCTACCCACCTGTGTTGTACCTAGTGTCCCGGCCTCTACCCACCTGTGTTGTACCTAGTGTCCCACCCTTCTACCCACCTGTGTTGTACCTAGTGTCCCACCCTTCTACCCACCTGTGTTGTACCTAGTGCCCCACCCTTCAACCCACCTGTGTTGTACCTAGTGTCCCACCCTTCTAACCACCTGTGTTGTACCCAATGCCACAACCTTCTACCCACCTGTGTTGTACCTAGTGTCCCGGCCTCTACCCACCTGTGTTGTACCTAGTGTCCCGGCCTCTACCCACCTGTGTTGTACCTAGTGTCCCGGCCTCTACCCACCTGTGTTGTACCCAGTGTCCCGGCCTCTACCCACCTGTGTTGTACCTAGTGTCCCGGCCTCTACCCACCTGTGTTGTACCTAGTGTCCCGGCATCTACCCACCTGTGTTGTACCCAGTGCCCCACCCTTCTACCCACCTGTGTTGTACCTAGTGTCCCGGCCTCTACCCACCTGTGTTGTACCCAGTGTCCCCGCCTCTACCCACCTGTGTTGTACCCAATGCCACAACCTTCTACCCACCTGTGTTGTACCTAGTGTCCCGGCCTCTACCCACCTGTGTTGTACCTAGTGTCCCGGCCTCTACCCACCTGTGTTGTACCTAGTGTCCCGGCCTCTACCCACCTGTGTTGTACCCAGTGTCCCGGCCTCTACCCACCTGTGTTGTACCTAGTGTCCCGGCCTCTACCCACCTGTGTTGTACCTAGTGTCCCGGCATCTACCCACCTGTGTTGTACCCAGTGCCCCACCCTTCTACCCACCTGTGTTGTACCTAGTGTCCCGGCCTCTACCCACCTGTGTTGTACCCAGTGTCCCCGCCTCTACCCACCTGTGTTGTACCCAGTGTCCCCGCCTCTACCCACCTGTGTTGTACCCAGTGTCCCCGCCTCTACCCACCTGTGTTGTACCTAGTGTCCCGGCCTCTACCTACCTGTGTTGTACCTAGTGTCCCGGCCTCTACCCACCTGTGTTGTACCCAGTGCCCCACCCTTCTACCCACCTGTGTTGTACCTAGTGTCCCGGCCTCTACCCACCTGTGTTGTACCCAGTGTCCCGGCCTCTACCCACCTGTGTTGTACCCAGTGTCCCGGCCTCTACCCACCTGTGTTGTACCTAGTGTCCCGGCCTCTACCTACCTGTGTTGTACCTAGTGTCCCGGCCTCTACCCACCTGTGTTGTACCTAGTGTCCCGGCCTCTACCCACCTGTGTTGTACCTAGTGTCCCGGCCTCTACCTACCTGTGTTGTACCTAGTGTCCCGGCCTCTACCCACCTGTGTTGTACCTAGTGTCCCGGCCTCTACCCACCTGTGTTGTACCTAGTGTCCCGGCCTCTACCCACCTGTGTTGTACCTAGTGTCCCGGCCTCTACCCACCTGTGTTGTACCTAGTGTCCCGGCATCTACCCACCTGTGTTGTACCTAGTGTCCCGGCATCTACCCACCTGTGTTGTACCCAGTGTCCCGGCCTCTACCCACCTGTGTTGTACCTAGTGTCCCGGCATCTACCCACCTGTGTTGTACCTAGTGTCCCGGCATCTACCCACCTGTGTTGTACCTAGTGTCCCGGCATCTACCCACCTGTGTTGTACCTAGTGTCCCGGCCTCTACCCACCTGTGTTGTACCTAGTGTCCCGGCATCTACCCACCTGTGTTGTACCTAGTGTCCCGGCCTCTACCCACCTGTGTTGTACCTAGTGTCCCGGCCTCTACCTACCTGTGTTGTACCTAGTGTCCCGGCCTCTACCTACCTGTGTTGTGGATGACACCTGCACATTGTACACGGTCGCCCGCTCCAGCACCTGTTTCCAGCGTCGCCGCACCTCCTCCAACTCCCCCTGCACCTGCACAACCTCGTCAGCATCGCCCTTCTGCATGAGGTACACCGCAGACTGGTCCAGGTACTCGAACCTGCTCCGCCTAGAGTTGATCTCCTCCACCAGTCTCTGAAGACAGAAAGCACAAAGTTGTGTACCATGATACATCAATATCTGTACCAGTGTCTATATCATGGCAAACCAAAACATTTCTACTATCTACCATTGTTAATTTCTACTATAGCCTGGAGTGGTGATGCCACACGTCCTGACAGGGCAGTTCCTATATAGCTGATACTGTTCCCTCACTCACCCTGTCTGTGACACAACCGTACCCACCAGCCACAAACAACAATTGTTGTATCTCTTTTGTTTGTTTGTTTGTTGTTTAACGCTACACGCAGTAATATTCAAGCTATGTGACAGTGGTCTGTAAATAATCAAGTCTGGAACAGATAATCCATTGATTGACAACATGAGCATCCATCTATGCAATTGGGATACAATGGCATGCATCAATTAAGTCAGCGAGCCTGACCATCCGATCATGTTAGTCGCCTCTTACGACAAACATAATCACCTTTTACGGCAAGCATGGGTTGCTGGAGACTTATTCTGCCCCAGATCTTCACAGATAGTTGTATCTCTTACATTGATCTGATCCCGCTGTGCGACCAAGTCAGCACTGGAGAGACGCTGGGTGGTGTTCAGCTGAGTCTCCATCTCTGTCAGCCAGGTCATCAGGGACGTCCGTGTGGTGGTGAAGTCGGTGCGGATGCTGGTGGAGTTGCGGAGGCATTTCATGATGGAGGTGACACGTTGCTGCAGATGGTCCCAGCGGTCATTAACCTCCTGCATGCTCCCCCGGAGACTCCCGTTGGTGTCTGTGCGTCCCTCCCGGGCCAGACGCCGGTACTGCTTGTTGATGTGCTCCAGCTCACCCAGGTGGTTGTGGACGTTGCGCTGGAGGGTCTGTGAGTGATTGGAAGAGGGTAACATAAATCTTGGAATTTATCATACCAATCATGTCTGTGAAGGTTACATACTGAAGACCACATCAGTTGGAGGGACGTGATCCCCTTTTGAACAAAAAAAACTAAATGTCTGCCTTGAATAAACACCAGGTATCAGGAGTTTCCAAAACAAACAAACACCGGGCGTTTATGGTAACTGTGTTGAAGGGAGGGATATTTTAGCTGTAATGAAGTGGACTGACCTCATATTTCCTTATCTCCTCCTTGGTTAGCTCCACCGACACATCTTCTACACTGTAGGTGCCAACCTCCGTCTCCACATCAACCAGCCATTCACTGAAGGTCTTACAGTCTTGCTTGAACACCACCCACAGCTGCCAACTCTCCTCAATCCTACAACACCCATACAGATAAGTGACCTCAATCCTACAACACCCAATACAGATCAGTGACCTCAATCCTACAACACCCCATACAGATCAGTGACCTCAATCCTAAAACACCCAATACAGATCAGTGACCTCAATCCTACAACACCCCATACAGATCAGTGACCTCAATCCTACAACACCCCATACAGATCAGTGACCTCAATCCTACAACACCCCATACAGATCAGTGACCTCAATCCTACAACACCCCATACAGATCAGTGACCTCAATCCTAAAACACCCAATACAGATCAGTGACCTCAATCCTACAACACCCCATACAGATCAGTGACCTCAATCCTAAAACACCCAATACAGATCAGTGACCTCAATCCTACAACACCCCGTACAGATCAGTGACCTCAATCCTACAACACCCATACAGATCAGTGACCTCAATCCTACAACACCCTATACAGATCAGTGACCTCAATCCTACAACACCCCATACAGATCAGTGACCTCAATCCTACAACACCCCATACAGATCAGTGACCTCAATCCTACAACACCCATACAGATCAGTGACCTCAATCCTACAACACCCCATACAGATCAGTGACCTCAATCCTACAACACCCCATACAGATCAGTGACCTCAAGCCTACAACACCCCATACAGATCAGTGACCTCAATCCGACAACACCCCATACAGATCAGTGACCTCTATCCTACAACACCCAATACAGATCAGTGACCTCAATCCTACAACACCCAATACAGATCAGTGACCTCAATCCGACAACACCCCATACAGATCAGTGACCTCAATCCTACAACACCCATACAGATCAGTGACCTCAATCCTACAACACCCCATACAGATCAGTGACCTCAATCCTACAACACCCCATACAGATCAGTGACCTCAATCCTACAACACCCCATACAGATCAGTGACCTCAATCCTACAACACCCCATACAGATCAGTGACCTCAATCCTACAACACCCCATACAGATCAGTGACCTCAAGCCTACAACACCCCATACAGATCAGTGACCTCAATCCTACAACACCCCATACAGATCAGTGACCTCAATCCTACAACACCCCATACAGATCAGTGACCTCAATCCTACAACACCCACACAGATCAGTGACCTCAATCCTACAAAACCCCATACAGATCAGTGACCTCAATCCTACAACACCCATACAGATCAGTGACCTCAATCCTACAACACCCCATACAGATCAGTGACCTCAATCCTATAATACCCACACAGATCAGTGACCTCAATCCTACAAAACCCCATACAGATCAGTGACCTCAATCCCAAAACACCCCATACAGATCAGTGACCTCAATCCTACAACACCCCGTACAGATCAGTGACCTCAATCCTACAACACCCCGTACAGATCAGTGACCTCAATCCTACAACACCCCGTACAGATCAGTGACCTCAATCCTACAACACCCCATACAGATCAGTGACCTCAATCCTACAACACCCTATACAGATGCGTGACCTCAATCCTACAACACCCCGTACAGATCAGTGACCTCAATCCTACAACACCCATACAGATCAGTGACTTACTCTATGTTTATATACCCAGCTACAAAAGCAACGTGAATAGCATACATGTTGGTTAATACATGAAGAATTACTCATATTCAAGTGATGTTGGATTGGTTTGATGCACAGATGAACATACTGGTATGTTGTGTGAACTGATGCTCATGAAGTGATCTATGACACGAGATGTCAAGTTTGGAATCCATTGCAGCATATCGTGATAAGAATAAAGACACTCTGGTAACACTTGACTGATTGTTATTTTTGTCATTAAAATGCTACACATTGAGTAAGTTGGTGAGTATGGTTTTACGTTGCTTTTAGCAATATTCCAGCAATATCACGGCGGGGGACACCAGAAATGGGCTTCACACATTGTACCCACGTCGGTAATCAAACCAGGGTCTTTGGCTGATGAGTGAACGCTTTAACCACCATGGTACACATTGGAAACACATCTTCTTAACGTACATACTTCTCTATATGTTTCTATGATTTGCGTTTCTTTTAGCAATCAGAATATATTGTATGCCCACTGGTCCAAATTTATGTATGTCTTTGTTGTATGCTACAAATTCTAAAATGTCCTCAACCCTGTTTCAAACAACACAATCTGCAGTGTTTGCCCTGATATTCTGCAAATGTGTGACATCTCTCTCACCTCGCTCGCCTCTCCGGGGACAGTTGACAGATGGACCGCCAGCGCTGGTCCAGGGTTTTGCGAGCATGCTGTAGAGCATTGTACTCAATGTCTGTTGGGCAGGCGTCGGAGTCATGGAGCAGCACTTCACACAAGTTGAGGACCGACGCCACACCGGCGCTGTGCTGCTCAATGTCCTTCTGAAGCTCCTGGAGGTACAAGCGGAACATCAGACATCACACACATCACACATCACATCACACATCACACACCACATCACACACATCACATCACACACATCACATCACACACATCACACATCACACACATCACATCACACATCACATCACACACATCACATCACACATCACACACATCACACACATCACACACATCACACACCATCACCCACACCCCATCCACCAAAAGGTCTATTGTTAATGACTCGGTGTATCATGGTGCAAGGAGACTGTATGAAGCAGCAGCATGCCTACCTGTTGTTGGTGAATCTTGGTCTGTATCTCTTGCCAGTCACAGTCACTGTAGACAACAGCGCCACCTACATCCTTTTCCATGTCTGACAACCATCGGCTCAGGTTGCGCATACTGATGTCTAGTTGTCTCACAGCCAGCACCGTCTCGTGCAGCTTCCTCTTCCTGTAACATGGGCAGAGCACATTAGCCATCACCATGGTAACACTTGAAGATGACAATTGAAGAGAGAGAGAGAGAGAGAGAGAGAGAGAGAGAGAGAGAGAGAGAGAGAGAGAGATCTTCTCCTTATGACTAATATAGAAATGTCTCACCTGAAACTGACAATTGACTGCAAGTGCTGCCATCTATCTTCAAGTTTCTCCATGCGGTGTTCAATGTCCGTGGCTCGGATGTCACTGCTGACCTTCATCAACCGATGACCTTGATCCATCAGCTGGTTCTTCTCTCGTTCCTTTGCCATTAGCTCGTCGTGAACCTCCTGGAGATGAGAAAAGATGACATTACATTCTTACCGACTGAGGAGAATATGACCAGTGGTAAAACTAGAAAACAGCTGACATAAACCTGCAGAGGGACATTGACAGTGGACAATACTGGACTTTGTCAACACAGAGAGACAGCTGACATTAGCCTTCCTAGGGAGACTGTGGACATTACTAGACTTTGTCAACACAGGAAGACAGCTGACATTAGCCTTCCTAGGGAGACTGTGGACATAACTAGACTTTGTCAACACAGGAAGACAGCTGACATTAGCCTTCCTAGGGAGACAGTGGACATTACTAGACTTTGTCAACACAGGAAGACAGCTGACATTAGGCTTCCTAGGGTGACTGTGGACAATACTAGACTTTGTCAACACAGGAAGACAGCTGACATTAGCCTTCCTAGGGAGACAGTGGACAATACTAGACTTTGTCAACACAGGAAGACAGCTGACATATGCCTTCCTAGGGAGACTGTAGACAATACTAGAATTGTCAACACAGGAAGACAGCTGACATATGCCTTCCTAGTGAGACAGTGGACATTACTAGACTTTGTCAACACAGGAAGACAGCTGACATTAGCCTTCCTAGGGAGACAGTGGACATTACTAGACTTTGTCAACACAGGAAGACAGCTGACATATGCCTTCCTAGGGAGACAGTGGACATTACTAGACTTTGTCAACACAGGAAGACAGCTGACATTAGCCTTCCTAGGGAGACTGTGGACAGGAATAGACTTTGTCAACACAGAAAGACAGCTGACATATGCCTTCCTAGTGAGACAGTGGACATTACTAGACTTTGTCAACACAGGAAGACAGCTGACATTAGCCTTCCTAGGGAGACTGTGGACAATACTAGACTTTGTCAACACAGGAAGACAGCTGAAATTAGCCTTCCTAGGGAGACTGTGGACAGGAATAGACTTTGTCAACACAGGAAGACAGTTGACATCAGCCTTCCTAGGGAGACTGTGGACAATACTAGACTTTGTCAACACAGGAAGACAGCTGACATTAGCCTTCCTAGGGAGACTGTGGACATTACTAGACTTTGTCAACACAGGAAGACAGCTGACATATGCCTTCCTAGGGAGACTGTGGACAATACTAGACTTTGTCAATACAGGAAGACAGCTGACATTAGCCTTCCTAGGGAGACTGTGGACAGGAATAGACTTTGTCAACACAGGAAGACAGTTGACATTAGCCTTCCTAGGGAGACTGTGGACAATACTAGACTTTGTCAACACAGGAAGACAGCTGACATTAGCCTTCCTAGGGAGACAGTGGACAGGAATAGACTTTGTCAATACAGGAAGACAGCTGACATAAGCCTTCCTAGGGAGACTGTAGACAATACTAGACTTTGTCAATACACGAAGACAGCTGACAATTCCATGTGAGGAGAGTGATTTCAGTCTCTTAGTCTGATCCATCTTGACAGCCAGTGTACACGATTGACAAAATTTGTGGCAATATTATTCATAATTAGTACATTCATCTAGACTAGTATGAAATTCTACTTGCACACATCTTCAATACTCTGACACTTCCACACAATGATCGACCCGCCTACCTGTGGGCAGGGACGTTTTCTGCATTACTTTGTTCTGTGAGAGCAACAGTGACCACCAGAGGGCGCCTCCCCTGCTGCCCCCTCCCTGTATACAGCACTACACTACCACAACACAGGTGGGCAGGAAGTGTCGGACAATTCCATCACCTTAATACTGTTTCACAAGATCAGAAATCTTACTCCTTGTCACTTCAGAAGTTGTAACCATCTGGCTACTCAGATGTTGCTGTATAGAGAGGCAGGGCTGACCCACTACCATTTAGATGAAGGCAGCCATATGGTGCCCACATGGGCTGGCTTCACCTCCAGCTGCCACACCCATGGGGGAGCACAGGCGGCTACACATAGACCCTTCTACTGTGGACACTGACATAACTCAACACTGTTTAAAGTGGATATTGGAATATCTAGATATAATGTAAATGGTACATTGAGATTACTGAACACTTTGTTAAGTGGACATAGTGACAGCTAAATATTTTCATATTGTGATAGCTGAACATTTGGTAAAGTTGCCACTGTGATACCTGGACACTTCATTTGGTAAAGTTGCCACTGTGACACCTGGACACTTCATAAAATGGACACTTTCATAACTTGACACTTTATAAAGTTGCCACTGTGATACCTGGTCACTTCATTAAATGGACACTGTGATACCTGGACATTTGGTAAAATGGACATTGTGATACCTAAACACTTCATAAAATTGACACTGTGGTATCTGAACATTTGGTAAAGTGGACATTGTGATACCTGGACACTTCATACAGTGGATACTGTGATACCTGGACACTTCATAAAGCGGACACCATGATACCTGGACACTTCATACAGTGGAAACTGTGATTCATGGACACTTCATGTCATGAAGTTGATAGAAGAACTGACACGGACTGACACTTAAAGTGTCTGAAACAGAGCCCCTACAGCCCTGGGACACAGCCCCCACAGCCCTGGGACACAGCCCCTACAGCCCCAGGACACAGCCCCTACAGCCATGTGATAGCCCCTACAGCCATGGGACACAGCCCCTACAACCCCCGGACACAGCCCCTATAGCCATGCGACAGCCCCTGCAGCCATTGAACACAGCCCCTACAGCCCCGGGACACAGCTCCTACAGCCATTGAACACAGCCCCTACAACCCCAGGACACAGCCCCTACAGCCCCGGGAAACAGCTCCTACAGCCATGGGACACAGCCCCTACAACCCCCGGACACAGCCCCTACAGCCCCGGGACACAGCTCCTGCAGCCATTGAACACAGCCCCTACAACCCCAGGACACAGCCCCAGCACACAGCCCCTACTGCCATGGGAAACGGCCCCTACAGCCATGGGACACAGCCCCTACAACCCCCGGACACAGCCCCTATAGCCATGGGACAGCTCCTGCAGCCATTGAACACAGCCCCTACAGCCATGGGACACAGCCCCTACAACCCCAGGAAACAGCCCCTACAGCCATGGGACAGCTCCTGCAGCCATTGAACACAGCCCCTACAGCCATGGGACACAGCCCCTACAGCCCCAGGAAACAGCCCCTACAGCCATGGGACACAACCCCTACAGCCCCAGGACACGGCCCCTACAGCCATGGGACACAGCCCTTACAGCCATGGGACACAGCCCTTACAGCCATGGGACACAGCCCCTACAACCATGGGACACAGCCCTTACAGCCATGGGACACGGCCCCTACAGCCATGGGACACAGCCCTTACAGCCATGGGACACGGCCCCTACAGCCATGGGACACAGCCCTTACAGCCATGGGACACAGCCCTTACAGCCATGGGACACAGCCCTTACAGCCATGGGACACAGCCCTTACAGCCATGGGACACAGCCCCTACAACCATGGGACACAGCCCTTACAGCCATGGGACACGGCCCCTACAGCCATGGGACACAGCCCTTACAGCCATGGGACACGGCCCCTACAGCCATGGGACACGGCCCCTACAGCCATGGGACACAGCCCCTACAGACACGAGCCACAGCTCTTACAGCCATGGGACACAGCCCTTACAGCCATGGGACACGGCCCCTACAGCCATGGGACACAGCCCCTACAGCCATGGGACACAGCCCCTACAGCCATGGGACACAGCCCCTACAGACACGAGCCACAGCTCTTACAGCCCCGGGACACAGCCCCTACAGACACGGGTCACAGCCCCTAAAACCAAGGATACAGCCCCTACAGCCATGGGACACAGCCCTTACAGCCATGGGACACAGCCCCTACAGCCCCAGGAAACAGCCCCTACAGCCATGGGACACAGCCCCTACAGCCCCAGGACACGGCCCCTACAGCCATGGGACACAGCCCTTACAGCCATGGGACACAGCCCCTACAGCCATGGGACACAGCCCCTACAGCCCCAGGAAACAGCCCCTACAGCCATGGGACACAACCCCTACAGCCCCAGGACACGGCCCCTACAGCCATGGGACACAGCCCTTACAGCCATGGGACACAGCCCCTACAGACACGAGCCACAGCTCTTACAGCCCCGGGACACAGCCCCTACAGACACGGGTCACAGCCCCTAAAACCAAGGATACAGCCCCTACAGCGCCGGGACACATCCCCTACAGACACGAGCCACAGCTCTTACAGCCCAGGGACACATCCCCTACAGCCCCTACAGACACGGGTCACAGCCCCTAAAACCAAGGACACAGCCCCTACAGCCCCGGATCTGCCAGTGCATGTCTAGTATGTGTAATATTTCTGTATACGTCTTTATTTGGAGACAAGGTACAGTATGTGTGACAGGGTACAGTGTAATGGTACAGTGTGAGGGTACAGTATCAGGATACAGTTGTACTCACAGTTTCGAGCCTGTTGAGGAGGTCCTCAACATGCACCTCGCGACTCGAGGTCACAGTGACCTCCATGTCCTTTATCCAGTCCAGGAACTTCTGGACCCGGTCTGAGAAGCCGGACCAGCGACACATGGCATCCCGGAGCCGCTGTTCCCGGACCCGGGCCTGGCTGGCCAGCTCGTCCCACTGTTTGTTGAGGAGGCGGATCCGCTGGGCCAAGATGTTCATGTCCTCCGAGTGGATCCTTCGGGACAGATTCCTCTCACGGGATAACAGCTGTTGGCGGCGGTCCTCCGAGTTGGCGAATGATGTTGTTATATCCTGTAGAAGTAGGTACACTACTCATAAGTGACATGTTGATGGCAGCAAGTTGGGTGGGGTGGCGGGTGGGTGGGTTTTTTCTTAATCGTAGTGAGCAATATCATAGTTAACTCACATGGACACTGGACATGGAAACTGGTAGAAGAGAAAGGGGACTATGACTAGTATGTATGGGCTGCTGGGGATCTAGTCTCCTAGCAACCCCCAGTGACTGAGTGTGTGAGTGTGTGAGAATGTGAGTTGGGTTTTCGCCCTTTTTAGCAATATTCCAGCAATATCATGGCGGAGGACACCAGAAATGGGCTTCACACCTTGTGCTCATGTTTGGAATGATACAGCAACCCCCAGATGATTATGATGACGATGAAGATGATGTTTATCCTTAGTGCTTAAGGATCACAGAGCTGATTCTCACTCAGCAACCCCTTGAAACCAGTGGATGACAAGGGTCATATGTATGGTGGAGATGGGTATGAAGGGTTAGATGTGTATTTTACCTTGGTGTTGTTCAGGTCGGCCTGGAGACTGTCGTACTCTGTGGGCAGATCGGATGCCAGGATCTGCCGTGTTTCCCGGAGCCATGCCAGGATGTCGTCAATGTCCCCCTCACACTCCTGCCACTCCTGCAAGAGCTCCTCCAGATGCGTGCGGTGGTGCTCGAGGCTGCTGTAGCTGTCACACCAGCTTTGCTCCAGCTGGTCCATGTTGACCTTCAGCTGGTCCCTAGCTGCTGGGTCAGCCCGCTGTTGGAGGTCGCGGCCGATCTCATGGATCTGCTTAAAGCTGTGCTCCTGGAGGCGGAACTCTTGCTGGGTTGTCTGCCACAGTGTACCAAGGATTTCATAATGCATCTCATTGATATCAATGATATGGTGAACTTGTATCTTTCATTAATGATATAGTAAGTGAGTGAGTAAAATCGTTAGGGACATCAATAATCGGGGACACTTAAACTTAACAGCGGAATCCAAGTCTGGTCTTCATCTTGCCACATTATCCCTAAACTACCTCACCACCAGAACATCTGAAAGTATGAATATTTATCTCTACTTTATCGGTAACCTATGTAGTAAATTCCCCTGACCTTGACCTTCTGTAGCATGCTGTTGATCTGCTGAAGTGAGGCTGCCTCAAACTCGGACTCCTTCATAGCCTTGTTCTTCTCCTGCAGCCACACTCGGAGTTGCTGACTCAGGTTGTTGTAGGTGTCCCACTGCTGGACGCTGCTGTCGATGATGGCTTTACGTTGGTTGGCCCTGCGCACGACACTCCTCCACTGCTCAGACAGGAGGTGAAGCTTCTGCTGAAACTCTGCAGGGTCATCAACGTCTCCTACCTGCAACATCTTCCCACCATCGCTGACAATGGCATGGAGCACCTGCTGCCGACTGTACATCTCCGACTCAAACTTCTGAAATGGCAGGAAATCTCGTCATAAGACAACCACATATATATGTGAAACAAGATTCTTCCAGTAGCCACAAACGTTTATTTTTTATTTCCTACAGTATGCACAGACATTATCACACATATTTCTCTTTATTAGCAGATTTTCTTTACCTGGCACATCCTCTGTTGATCCCGGAGGTCCAATAGATTCCCGGCTATGTCTACTGCCAGATCCTGCTCAGTCTGGGCCAGGAATGTCATCCAGGAATCACATTTGGAACTGAAGTCCTGCTGCACCAACACGTTGGCCTGTAGACTCTTGCTTCTCTCCCCACAGCTGCTGTGGAGGCGGTGCCAGCGATGGTTCAACTCACTCAACTGGTTGGCATCCCGGTCACCTAGAGCCAGCTTGTAGCCCATGATGTTCAGACTGTCAAGTTTGACATAGTTGTTGGTGAACTGAGACTGTAGGTCCTTCAACTGGTTCAGACGGTCTCTCAGATCAATCTCATCTGATGACTTGTTTGGATCGGCCTGTTCCAGGACAGTCTCAGCATGATTCAGGAAGATGCGGAGGACTTCAAAAGCATCCCGGAACTGGTCCAGTGAAGTCAGGTCATCTTGGAGGGCTGCAATGTTCTGTGCTAGGATCTGGCGAAGTCCAAGGAGTCGTTGCTCAAGTCCGGAGTGTCTGGATGTCATCATCAAGATCGTGGATGGCTCCATACTTTTGGCAAGATCATCACTCAGACGACACAGCTGAGAAACACGACTCTGGATGTTGTCAAACTCTGCCTGAAGGTTCTACAACAAAGGATGATTATTAGTTCATAAACATCAGTTTGGATATTTTGTGAGGTTGTGTACACATTCAATGACATCCATAGCCTGATCCCTACCTTGCTCTGCTCCAGACACTGACTGCGTGAGGCTGGGTCATCGGGGCGGGTGGTCAGACCGTGGCACACCTTCTCCTTATCATCTAGCCAGCGCCTGATACTGTCATACTCAGACTCGTAATTCTGCCATCGCTGCAAGCACTGCTCAAACTGCTTACGCCGCGTTGACAGATCAGCAGAAAGTCGGCGCCATCTGGGGTCAGAAGCAGTCAAATGTTTGAGGAATACTTCTTATCCATCTGTGTAAACTATGTAACATTGGAATGATACAAGGCAGACCCACACACAGCTGAGGCTGAGGTATAGAGGAATGAAGCGTGAACAACACTTTTACATACCTGTTTTGGACATCTGCCGCAGTCTTCTGGATGTCAGCAGAGATGGGGGCGTCACTGACGGTGGTGAGCTGCTGACCCAAGGCAAGGAAGGCGTCCCTCTGGTTCTCGTGGTGATGGAGCTCGGCCTCCAGGGTCTGCAAGGTCAGTCAACCAATAACAACTGTCCTAAATGATTTCATGATTACTATATCTTCAACTGTCCAAAATGATCATTACATCTTCATCCAATAATTCTTTCCAGTAACTCAATGGTATTGCAGATTATTTATTGTCACAATTGACTCACTCAACCATTGCCCCCAACTACTTGCTGACACTCAGCCTGACACTACAGACATGACTCACCCTGAGTTTCTTGACCTGCTCAGTGAGCGTGGAGATGTCACCGCCCACTAGGGTGTAGCTGTTGAGGCAGTAGTCGATGTTGGTGAGCACCTGCATGAGAGCCTGGAGCTGTGTGGAGTAGTGACCCCACTCTCCAAGCATGCCCTCCAGGGTGGTCTCCAGCTGGCTCAGCTGCTCCTCAAGATGGAGCCACTGTCTGTTGAGTCCGTCCAAGCTGTCCTGGACTCCACGCCGGCACCCGGGAGAGTCCACACTCAAGTCCATCAGGTTTCCGGCCAGAGACTTGACAGCCAATATGTCAGATTCCTTGGCCTTCAACTGACGCTGTAGTTCCTGCATAAAATATATCAGCACAGCTATAGCAACTGCAACAACAGTTCATTTCACATGGGCACTGTACAAGCAAACATCTTACTGTCATAAACAAATCAGAGCAGGTAGACTGGTCTGCACACCACGTAGATTTATGCACCGTTGGTTATGTTTATACCTTTATAAACGCAAAGTAATATGATGACAATTCTTATAAATATCTAAGTTAAAAATAATAAATACACAGGCTGTTTCTTTAATCATTAATTTAAAAAATGTTAGCCAATGATACGAAACCAGTGACATCGATCAGCGCAATAATGTAACCAAAGTCCCACCCACTTCAGTCTCAACCAATCAGGAAACAGTAGTCTGTTAGTGATGAAAACATAAACACAAACAAAGTGCTTGGTTAGCCAATCAAATACCATGGAATTACAATCCCATCTGCTTGACTGGAAATAAAAGAAGCCCCACCAACCTCCCATTGATCACCCCAACCCACCCTGCATTCATTGAGTGTCTGCCGGACGCCAGACGCGGGACCAACAAGTCCATAGCTCTTTATCTTGTCCTCCTGTTCTCTGAACCAGACCTGGAGCTGAGACATAAACGTCTCATAGTCCTCAAACTTGGACGATAGTCTCTCCAGCGTCTTTAGCCTGTCATTCACATCTCCCGTGAATATCTTCCATTGATGGTTGAACTCGCCCAGCTTCTCCGCAAAGTCCAGTTTCTCCGTGTCCTCCTCCGGGATGTGTGGCTGTAGAACCTGCTGGTTGACAAAGTCCACAGTTAGCTGCTTGCTGCTCAACTCAATCTTGTAGCCCTTGTACTTCTTCAGCAGGACCTCCATGTCAGCCAGGCTGTGGATTGGTTTGTTCTTGTCCTCCCGGAGCTGTGTCCGGATGATGTCCAGCCACTCGGCCAGCTCATGCAGGGCCTGTCGGGATGGCATCAGGTCCATCTGGGCCTGGTGCAACGTCTCCTCGGTGCGGACGATGTCATGCTGGAGCTGGGCCCACTCTGTCTCGTACCCCTGGAGGCGCTCACCGAGACCGGTGGTGTTGTACGATGAGCTCATCATCAACTGACGACCAACATTTAACACCTTAGAACGAAGAGGCAACTGGTTCTCAACCTCTTTCTGGAACTCCTGAAAAATAAAACAAATCCGTTTCAAGTGTTGGGGTGTCATTGGATGAGGGTTTTATAGGATGGGATGTCACAGGTTGGGGGTATTATGGATTGGGTGTCATAGATTGGGGCAATAAGGATTTGATGTCATGAAAATAGGAAATTAAAGAATATTATGTAACCTTGTAATTTGCAATGTTTCTATGCAGACATGATCCAGGGCTAATGGACGGAACTTTCATTAGTTTTTTTCTTGATTGTCAGTTTAAGAGGATTTGACATTGAGCACCAGCTTTTCTTAGCTGGTTGACAGAGATGGCCACAAAGATGAAGCAGGACCTACCAGCAACTTCTCCACCTTGGCTCGGATGGCAGCCATACTTTGTAGATCCTGCTCACTCAGCTGCTTCAAACTTGACAACTTCATAGTTGCTGTCGTCAGCCAGGAGTTCAAGATGGCCGCCTCTGCTTCAAATGTCTGCAGTTGGTCACCCAGTATTTCAGTTCTGAAGGAAGGCAAAACAGTGATGGTCTTTGCAGAGTGACTTTATTACATTGGAGTAGGATCAAGGTGTTTATGGGTGCCATTTGCTACCAAAAGTATATCTGTTGTAATAGGTCTCCAGTAAGCAATACTAGTCAAATGATACGACCAAAGTATTGAATGTTACTAATAAAGGTTGTTATTTGAATGATAAAACTATATTGCAGTGCCATGTTGCATTCTTATTGTGAATGTTCTCACAAAGGACTCCCTACTATCAGTTTATCGGTAGGGTAACTACAAGTAAGTGTATGGATGACAACATCTTCGGTGCACACGTTAACATTGCTATAAATACAGTGTATAAATGATACAGGCGATAAGACAGCTGTAACAAACTTTACCTTTTGAGATCCTGAGTCAGGGAAGTACTGAGGTCTACCCATCTATCTGCGAGTCGTGCGACGGAGTTCTCCAGTTCGGGGCAAGTAAGGCTGTGCAGAATCTGCTTTCCCTTGTCGACCACCTCAAACACCCAGCCTTTCTCCTCGGCCAGCTCACGTTGTAGCTGTTGATATTTTTCCAGCTTGGTCTGGATGGTTGCCATGGAGTCTCCACTAGCGATGGCTCCTGGAATCTGTTGCTCGATGCTGGCCAGGGAGCCCTGGAGCCGTGTCAGCTTCACGTCCAGGTCCTCCCACTGCCGCACCAGTCGCTCCAGCCGCTGGCCGTGCAGGCTCGCCTTGTCCACCAACACGTGGGTCTGGCTGCTTAGGTGGTTGTGCTTGGTCTGGTGTTGGTCTCGCACGGACACTGGGCACTGAGACGCAAGCGAGTCCAGCATGGCCTTGTGGACCTCAAGGTCACTGAAGAAATCCTGGCAACAACAATGACAGATGTTGAGAGTGGATGTTAGGAAGAGTGGATATTAGGGAGAGTCGATGTTAGGAGAGTCGATGTTAGGGAGAGGCGATGTTAGGGAGAGTCGATGTTAGGGAAAGTCAATGTTAGGAGAGTCGATGTTAGGAGAGATGATGTTAGGGAGAGTTGATGTTAGGAGAGACGATGTTAGGGAGAGTTGATGTTAGGTAGCGTCAATGTTAGGAGAGTTGATGTTAGGAGAGACGATGTTAGGGAGAGTGGATATTAGGGAGAGTCGAAATTAGGGAGAGTCGATGTTAGGGAGAGTCGATGTTAGGAGAGGCAATGTTAGGGAGAGGCGATGTTAGAGAGAGGCGATATTAGGGAGAGTCGATGTTAGGGAAAGTCAATGTTAGGAGAGTCGATGTTAGGAGAGACAATGTTAGGGAGAGTTGATGTTAGGAGAGACGATGTTAGGGAGAGTCAATGTTAGGAAGCATCAATGTTAGGAGAGTTGATGTTAGAAGAGACGATGTTAGGGAGAGTCGATATTAGGGAGAGTCAACATTAGGGAGAGTCGATGTTAGGGAGAGTCGATGTTAGGGAGAGTTGATGTTAGGGAGAGTCGATGTTAGAGAGAGTCAACGTTAGGGAGAGTCGATGTTAGGAGAGACGATGTTAGGGAGAGTCGATATTAGGGAGAGTCGATGTTAGGGAGAGTCGATGTTAGGGAGAGTTGATGTTAGGGAGAGTCAATGTTAGGAGAGTCGATGTTAGGAGAGTCGATGTTAGGGAGAGACGATGTTAGGGAGAGTCGATATTAGGGAGAGTCAACGTTAGGGAGAGTCAACGTTTGGGAGAGTCAACGTTTGGGAGAGGCGATGTTTGGGAGAGTCAACATTAGGGAGAGTTGATGTTAGGGAGAGTCGATGTTAGGGAGAGTCAACGTTTGGGAGAGTCAACGTTAGGGAGCATACTGAACATCATTACCATGATAAGGCCTTTTATTTCCTATTAGTTCTTTAGCACAAAATTGGCCTAAAATTCAATGTAGGTAGTAGAAAAAGAAAAGAAAAGGTAATTTCAACTTCCAGAGAAGTACTGAATGAAGATTTTTATTAATGTAGTATTCACCATTTGTTAAGAATACCAGTGATAAAATGTTGTGTTTCTTTTTCATTTCATCTAATTGTTAAATAGGCGTAGGCCCCAAAAATGAATCATCAAAAGTCTTTTATTTCATTTCTAATTTAAGTTTTTTTTGTAGGGCTGTCTTGTACACCAATTGAAACAAATATAATACCTAATTTGTAGCAAAACTACAAGGGATTATTTTATGTTATTATTTCATCACCAGATTCGTACCTTATGTGCGTTGAGTTGATGCCGTAGGTGGATCAGGTCACTGGAGGCGACCTCCTCCGACCTCAGTTTGCCCTCAGATGTCTCGATGAACTGAGCATAGTCCTGGAGGAGCTTCTCGTACTGCTCCTGGCCTGATGCTAGCTGCAGCACACCGGCCCTCCTCTCCGACACCTGCACATCACATCACATCACGTCACATCACATCACCACACATCACATCACATCACATCACCACACATCACCACACGTCCCGTCCCGTCCCGTCCCGTCCCGTCCCGTCCCGTCCCGTCACGTCACGTCACATCACATCACATCACATCACATCACATCACATCACATCACATCACGTCACATCACATCACCACACATCACATCACATCACATCACCACACATCACCACCCGTCCCGTCCCGTCCCGTCACATCACATCACCACACGTCACGTCACATCACATCACATCACATCACATCACATCACATCACATCACATCACATCACATCACATCACATCACATCACATCACATCACATCACATCACATCACCACACATCACCACACGTCACGTCCCGTCACGTCACGTCACATCACATCACATCACATCACATCACATCACATCACATCACCACACATCACGTCACATCACATCACATCACCACACGTCACGTCACGTCACGTCACGTCACGTCACGTCACGTCACATCACATCACCACACGTCACGTCACATCACATCACGTCACGTCACCACACATCACATCACATCACGACACATCACGTCACGTCACGTCACGTCACGTCACGTCACGTCACGTCACATCACATCACCACACGTCACGTCACATCACATCACGTCACGTCACCACACATCACATCACATCACGACACATCACGTCACGTCACGTCACGTCACGTCACGTCACGTCACGTCACATCACATCACGTCACCACACGTCACGTCACGTCACATCACATCACGTCACCACACGTCACGTCACGTCACATCACATCAGATCACCACACATCACGTCACGTCACGTCACGTCACGTCACGTCACATCACATCACATCACATCACATCACATCACATCACATCATATCACCACACGTCACGTCACATCACATCACCACACGTCACGTCACGTCACGTCATTTTACATCACATCAGATCACCACACATCACGTCACGTCACGTCACGTCACGTCACGTCACGTCACGTCACGTCACGTCACGTCACATCACATCACATCACATCACATCCCCACACGTCACGTCACGTCACGTCACATCACATCACCACACATCACATCACATCACATCACATCACCACACATCACATCACATCACATCACATCACATCACGTCACATCACATCACATCACATCACATCACATCACATCACATCACCACACTAACTTTATTTTATAAACAAATTATTACTCTTGACATTGTCAATATGCGAAAACAAGGACCCCTGGACCTGACACCTAGGGTGGTCTGATCAGACCAAGGTCGCATACTGACCACATTAGAAATAATCATTCATTTTGTTGTACATGAAATTTACTAAAAAATGTATGAAGCCTTTAAACTGTCTTCTGTTTCATTACAGTAACCTATGTACTACCAGACGCCATGTTGTTTTCTAGCAGACAAGAGTCAATATTCATCACGTGACAGGTTATGTTCATCACATGTAATATTGATTGTCAAATGTTACGAAAAGACGTCATAAGAAAAGAAAGAACAATGTTAACGTTTACGTTTACGAATAAACAATAAACAACGCCAGATGGCGCTGCAATTTGTAAAACATTCCGAGTTTAATCGGCTTGTTCTGCCGTGTATATGATAACTGCATGCTTGCTTACACGAACACTGAAGCAAACTTTCCGCCATATTGGATTGTGTTTACAAAGTCACGTTTCACGTATGCCAAGTTATTTTTCCTAATGTATGTGTAACGTTATACATATGCATACAAATCTATTTGATATATATTATTGACGTTCAGATATTAGGCAGCATTTTGTTCGCACGCAGTTTCCGAAAAACTGTTAAATAAAACAAATTATTGCACAACATTCACTTTTCAGATGTTATGAAAATGTGCATCTGAGACAAAACTCAGCATAATAGCACCCCCGTGTTGCACCAAGCATGAACAGTTATTGGATCATTGTAGATTAATCCTAGTTTAGTGTTAAATGAATGTTTATTGAAGGTTGTTATACAAAATACATGTACTAGTTACACAGTATACTGTATTTATGAAAAGGTGGTGACGATGCTTAAACGCAACCAACATGTATATACACAATGTGTGTGTGTGTGTGTGTGTGTGTGTGTGTTTGTGTGTGTGTGTGTGAGAGAGAGACGTCAGACGGTAAGTGCACGAGGAATGACGTAATACATTGTGCACCTCGGCATGCATGCAGTTCTCATATACATGGCGGAACAAGCTGATTAAACTCTGAATGTTTCATAAAATCGTACTTTATTGTCAACACCTTTTCACGCTCACTGACATTCTTTATGGTAAACGTCCGTTCGTGCTCAATGACGTTCTTTCGTATTAATTGTTCTTTCTTTTCTTATGACGTCTTTTCGTAACATTTGACTATTAATATTGCATACTTTTGACCTTTATTTCAACTTTGTATTTTTTTACTGGCGTCTCATTGCTTTGTATTTTGACCTTTATTTGTAACATTTAGTTCTTTATTCGTAATATCTGACCTTTATTGCGTATATTTGTCTTCTTTTTTTTTCAGCTTTGCATTTTTTTACCGAATGGCTGCCCATACTCACTCCCCCTGTGCTGTAGATCCATGTTGTGTACTGACCATATTATCAGGTCATATTGAATGAGTGTGGTATAACCAACTTTTACAATCTGTAATAATGCTCTGTTCAGAGGACACTCACCCTGCGCTGTAGATCCATGTTGTGTACTGACCATATTATCAGGTCATATTGAATGAGTGTGGTATAACCAACTTTTACAATCTGTAATAATGCTCTGTTCAGAGGACACTCACCCTGCGCTGTAGATCCATGTTGTGTACTGACCATATTATCAGGTCATATTGAATGAGTGTGGTATAACCAACTTTTACAATCTGTAATAATGCTCTGTTCAGAGGACACTCACCCTGCGCTGTAGATCCATGTTGTGTACTGACCATATTATCAGGTCATATTGAATGAGTGTGGTATAACCAAATTTTACAATCTGTAATAATGCTCTGTTCAGAGGACACTCACCCTGCGCTGTAGATCCATGTAGTTGGTCTGTAGTGTTCGCAGCTCAGAGGGAAAGACACCTTGTGGATAAAGGGCAGACAACTCTGTCTCCTTCTTCTTGAGGCTGTCGAGCTTGCCTTCACATTGGTGGAGGTGTGTTTCCATCTCCTGGAGCAAGAGACAGGGGATAACACGTGACACACTGTGTATTAGTGTACATCCAACTCTCAATGTCTAGTAAATACATCTGTTTATCACATCCCCCTGTCCCCTACACAAACTACAGAACACATCATAGGCAACTTGATGTTGGACGCTTACAGAGTTCTGTCAAGGCATGTCATGTGACCTGGGTCGCACAGAATGGCCAGCGTCACATTGCAACATGCAAACGTTACCTAAACGTACCCCTGCTGCTGCCTAATGGTGTGTCCATCACGAAGGTTGAGCAGAATCCTAGTGATGGGTATTGCCCTGACCTTCATATTTCAGTTTATTGCCATATTGATCAACGCACTGGGATATATACCACAATATATTGCCTGTGTGCTTTCATCTGTGTTTTTGTTAACAACGTGAATGAAAGTGGACCCATACATCATACTTATTTGACAACTTTGTCCGCCATGTTGTTGACTGTTGCTATGGTCACAAAGCCTGTGTGACACACATTTTTACAGTAAGCTGGTCGCAAATAGTTTTGCTTTTTCGATCCCAGGAATCAAGTTGCTAACATCTGAATTTCATTTCATTTCATTTGTCATTTATATCAACTTTGCCAGATGAAAATATCCATGCTTTTGAAAAACACAATCTACTGGTATTTTCCAAATATAGTGTGACACGCGTTCATTAGCTTTTCAAATCATGGTAGAATGCGAACATCTACAGAATATCAATACCTCCTGGTGTTCCCCTTGCACAGGTTGAGCAGAGAACATGGCTGAGACATGTTTGAAGTGACCAGTCAGTAACATCAACACCATCACCATTCTACCTCATCTACATCTACATCTACATCTACATCTACATCAACGGAAGCTAACTATAGAACATGCTGCACGTAGCAAACCCCCGCGATGTCCGCACTGCCCTTCTCAAGATGTGTCCATGTACCAACATGACTTACGACAATAGTGGCTGCACTGCCCTTCTCAAGATGTGTCCATGTACCAACATGACTTACGACAATAGTGGCTGCACTGCCCTTCTCAAGATGTGTCCATGTACCAACATGACTTACGACAATAGTGGCTGCACTGCCCTTCTCAAGATGTGTCCATGTACCAACATGACTTACGACAATAGTGGCTGCACTGCCTTTCTCAAGATGTGTCCATGTACCAACATGACTTTACGACAATAGTGTCCCAGCTGCAAAGCGTGAGCTTAAAGCATGATGAAAGTTTCTACAAGAAAGTGTGTCGTGTGTAGAATACCACAGTTTACCGATTTTCAGGACAGTTTGTATGATTTATGAAGCATGCATTGACTTGAGCGCTCCTGGGATATGTCTCCAACTCTAGAGGTGAGACTCAAGCATGCCGTCAACAGTGATGGCGAGTGGAGGAGATGGGATCGGAGACTGCAGGACAATGATTTCATGTGACCTTCACCTTATACAATAATTCTCTTACCTCCTTGGTCTCACATCGGTCAGTCGCCTGGTCGGCAAACAAACATGACTACAGCATACATAGACTTAAGTTGAATACAGCACTAAGTACAATAACATTACGAACCAAACAGTAAAACTTGTATTATCAGGTCCCTGTTCCACAAAGTGCTACGACTGTTGTAAGTAAATGTTAAAGTATGGGAGTTACGATCATCTTAGCGCTACGATCGCTTTGTGGAACAGGGTCCAGATATAGAATCGGAGATGACTTGAGACAAGCAAGAAGATCGTTACCTGGACAGTGCCCACCAGGTCATCGCTGGTTGCGGACGATGGGGGTCGGGAGTGAATGAGGCGTTGCGTGTCTTGCAGCTGTTTCTGTAGACTGTCCACCTCGTTCTGCACAAAGGAAACATGACAAGATTTGTGTGTTGTCACACGCTCACGGTAAACTGCTTCCTATGAAGAACTGTCTTCTGTAATGTTAGGCAGTTACTAACCTGATACTGTTGCCAATGAGAGTCGACCACCCTGAGTTCCTCACCGCGGTGCTGGGCCTGGCTTTCTAACATGGAGACTCGGTCATTGAGGTTGGAGAGACTCTGCTGGATGAGCTCGCGACTCTCTCCGCTGGTCGTGGACAGAAGGTTCTGTGCTTGGGCCTTCATCGTGGTTATCTCCCCTTGCAAACCTTGGATTTCTCGTTGAAAAGTCTGAATATATCACAAGTGACATGAAATAAAGGCTATCATAACAAGGCTGAGGTGACATTAAATAAAGGCTATCATAACAAGGCTGAGGTGACATGAAATAAAGGCTATCATAACAAGGCTGAGGTGACATGAAATAAAGGCTATCATAACAAGGCTGAGGTGACATGAAATAAAGGCTATCATAACAAGGCTGAGGTGACATGAAATAAAGGCTATCAGAATAAAACAGGTCATGTATGACAACTCAGATGGATATCTTGTAGTAAGTTTATATGTTATCATTTTGAAAAGTTTCAAAGATGTTTCAATCTGAAAATCCCTTTCTTTATAATGTCTAACAGATACCTGAAGGTTAGTATTTATCATTTACGCAATGCAAACAAATCTTTCTGAGTGTTATCTGTGATGCATTCCCATGTTTCTGAGTGTTATCTGTGATGCATTCCCATGTTTCTGACTTATCTGTGATGCATTCCTATGTTTCTGAGTGTTATATGTGATGCATCCCCATGTTTCTGACTGTTATATGTGATCAATTCCCATGTTTCTGACTTATCTGTGATGCATTCCTATGTTTCTGAGTGTTATATGTGATGCATCCCCATGTTTCTGAGTGTTATCTGTGATGCATTCCCATGTTTCTGACTTATCTGTGATGCATTCCTATGTTTCTGAGTGTTATATGTGATGCATTCCTATGTTTCTGAGTTATCTGTGATGCGTTTCTATGTTTCTGAGTGTTATCTGTGATGCATTCCTATGTTTCTGAGTGTTATATGTGATGCATCCCATGTTTCTGAGTGTTATATGTGATGCATTCCCATGTTTCTGACTTATCTGTGATGCATTCCTATGTTTCTGAGTGTTATCTGTGATGCATTCCCATGTTTCTGAGTGTTATTTGTGATCCTTTCCCATGTTTCTTAGTGTTATCTGTGATGCATTCCTATGTTTCTGAGTGTTATATGTGATGCATTCCCATGTTTCTGAGTGTTATATGTGATGCATTCCTATGTTTCTGAGTGTTATATGTGATGCATTCCCATGTTTCTGAGTGTTATCTGTGATGCATTCCCATGTTTCTGAGTGTTATTTGTGATGCATTCCCATGTTTATGAGTGTTATCTGTGATGCATTCCCATGTTTCTGACTGTTATATCTGATGCATGTTTCTGAGTGTTATATGTGATGCATTCCCATGTTTCTGAGTGTTTTTTGTGATCCATTCCTATGTTTCTGAGTGTTATCTGTGATGCATTCCCATGTTTCTGAGTGTTATATGTGATGCATTCCCATGTTTCTGAGTGTTATCTGTGATGCATTCCTATGTTTCTGAGTGTTATATCTGATGCATGTTTCTGAGTGTTATTTGTGATCCATTCCCATGTTTCTGAGTGTTATCTGTGATGCATTCCCATGTTTCTGAGTGTTATCTGTGATGCATCCCCATGTTTCTGAGTGTTATATGTGATGCATTCCCATGTTTATGACTTATCTGTGATGCATTCCTATGTTTCTGAGTGTTATATGTGATGCATTCCCATGTTTCTGAGTGTTATCTGTGATGCATTCCTATGTTTCTGAGTGTTATATGTGATGCATGTTTCTGAGTGTTATATGTGATGCATTCCCATGTTTCTGATTGTTATATGTGATGCATTCCTATGTTTCTGACTGTTATATCTGATGCATGTTTCTGAGTGTTATTTGTGATCCATTCCCATGTTTCTGAGTGTTATCTGTGATGCATTCCCATGTTTCTGAGTGTTATCTGTGATGCATTCCTATGTTTCTGACTGTTATATGTAATGCATTCCCATGTTTCTGACTTATGTGTGATGTATTCCTGTTTCTGAGTGTTATATGTGATGCATTCCCATGTTTCTGAGTGTTATCTGTGATGCATTCCCATGTTTCTGAGTGTTATCTGTGATGCATCCCCATGTTTCTGAGTGTTATATGTAATGCATTCCCATGTTTCTGACTTATGTGTGATGTATTCCTGTTTCTGAGTGTTATATGTGATGCATTCCCATGTTTATGAGTGTTATCTGTGATGCATTCCCATGTTTCTGAGTGTTATTTGTGATGCATTCCCATGTTTCTGAGTGTTATCTGTGATGCATTCCTATGTTTCTGACTGTTATATCTGATGCATTCCCATGTTTCTGAGTGTTATCTGTGATGCATTCCCATGTTTCTGACTGTTATATGTGATCAATTCCCATGTTTCTGAGTGTTATATGTGATGCATTCCCATGTTTCTGAGTGTTTTGTTTGATAGGCATTACTTAGATGGTGACGGATGAGAAAGTAGACCCAATTTATGGATAACAACTTCTTTAATACTGTAAAGGCCTTTACAGTAGTAAAGAAGTTGTTATCCATAAATTCTACTTTGTTTCTGAGTGTTATCTGTGATGCATATCTATGCTGTCATCCGATGACTGACCTCGTTTTCGTGCAGCTGTTGTTGCGTGGTGCGCCCTATGTCGGGGGTGAGGAGGCGGTGTTGGGCGGAGTCGAGCCAGGAGGAGATGGTGAGAAGGGCCTGCTGGTACTGGTGCTGGAAGGAGAGCGCCTGCTCCACCCGGACCTGCCTGTCCTCCACCTGTCCCTGGAGCTGCTCCCAGCACTCACCCAGCTCACCCACAATCTGCCGGATCTCCTCCAGGTTCCTGCTCGGATCCACCCCGGGGGACAGGCTCTGACACCGGAAACTTGTCACTGGCAGCTCCTGGGGTGAGAGATTTACATTAATTGGGAAATTTGGCAGTCACAAGGACACAAACCTGTGCTCTGCATGACAATGAATGCAGGAACAACTCGGCTACTCTATATCAGTCTCTCTCCAGGGTTCACTTCTTACCACAAACAACCTGCCACATAGGCCTAGTGTGTCTGACACCAGTGTACGTGGTGTTGTACTCACCCCAGGTTTTCTCGTCTTCACAAAGTCCTCCAGGGTCTGTTTCTTCTGAGCTAGATCCTTCTGCAGTTCCTCCCATCTCAGGTGAAGCTCAGCTTCTCCTACAGCGGGAACAACCCGCTCAGACGTATCGGACATCAAGGCCATGTCTCGGGACCGCTGACCAGTCACTGAGATCTGCTGGACAAGCTGGCGATGTTCCACTAGTCCAGATGTCAAGTCCTGGGTAAATAAAGTCATAGCTCATCAGAACACACAAGAAGGAACCCACAGATGATGTATCAAAAGGACCTGAGAGTCTATCTGAAGGACCTGAGAGTCTATCTGAAGGACCTGAGGGTCTATCTGAAGGACCTGACAGTCTATCTGAAGGACCTGACAGTCTATCTGAAGTACCTGAGGGTCTATCTGAAGGACCTGAGGGTCTATCTGAAGTACCTAAGGGTCTATCTGATGGACCTGAGAGTCTATCTGAAGGACTTGAGAGTCTATCTGAAGGACCTGACAGTCTATCTGAAGTACCTGAGGGTCTATCTGAAGTACCTGAGGGTCTATCTGAAGTACCTGAGGGTCTATCTGATGGACCTGAGAGTCTATCTGAAGGACTTGATAGTCTATCTGAAGGACCTGAGGGTCTATCTGATGGACCTGAGAGTCTATCTGAAGTACCTGAGGGTCTATCTGAAGGACTTGAGAGTCTATCTGAAGGACCTGAGGGTCTATCTGAAGTACCTGAGGGTCTATCTGATGGACCTGAGAGTCTATCTGAAGTACTTGAGAGTCTATCTGAAGGACCTGACAGTCTATCTGAAGGACCTGAGAGTCTATCTGAAGGACCTGACAGTCTATCTGACAGTTTTTCCCAAAATAAATGAACATTTTTAGATTTAAAAAAATGAAATAATGTTTTAGATGTATATAACTGTTCGAAATATATAGGTTTGACTTGGAAAGCAAATTAGCTTGTAATTATGTCTTGGAAATTAGCTGCTTTGTCTGCATGCTGAAAAAGCTTTATTAGGTATTCACGCGTGTTGTTATTATACATTTGAGTTTTTCATTTAATGCATGCGTTTCTGTATGCAAGTTAATTGAAGTCAATTTGAAAGTAATTGAGTTTTGAATATTTTTGGGGGATATTTTACGCAAATACGCTGCTTATCTGCGGCTCTACCCATGTATCAAGGAATGAGCTTTTCCATTAAGTTTGCCATGAGTTTGCCAAAGTTTAAAAATAGAAAAAGATTTGTAAAAAGTCAAGCAAATCCTTGGAGTTTTTGAGAATCTTCATGGTAATAATTCCACTTATCTTAAAAGATACGTTCTGTGAATATAAAGAAAGTCCTTCCTTGTTTGTATAAAGGATTATAGTTAATCTTTGAGACAGGGATTTGATGGTACATGTGCTGCAGCCAGCAGTATAAACCATCCATCAGAGACTTCCCAGGGAGACGGGATGATGTAGGCAGTACCTGTTGGAGTCGCTGCCATTCAGGCATCGCGGCGGTGTAGTCTGCAGACCTGACGGCTGGGAGAGTCATCTGCTTTGTGTCGCTGATCCACTGCTGCAGCTTCTGAACATTGTCCTCGTAGTCGGTCATCTCCCTTTGCCTCTTGTCTGCAGCCTTGATGGCGCTGCGGAGCTGGCTCTGCTTGTCGATGGTCTCCAGCTTGAAGTCCCCGAGCTGCTTCTGCAGGCTGGCCAGCTGTGTCCTCAGCTTCTCGGCACTGGTGGGCGTCTCCTGCTCACACACAGCATCACACTGCACAGCCAGATCCGACATGAGCCGTAGATGGATGTTCACCTCCTCCACAGAGTCCTGTGTCAGTCAGAACGAAGGCATGTATACTCACCGCCAAAAGAAAAGCAAACCATAGAAACATTTAGAGAAGTATGTATGTTAAGAAGAGATGTTTCTAATGTGTACCAATTAATGACAAAACTTACAATCAGTCAAGTGTTACCACAGTGTGACTTTATTCTCACCACAATATGCTGCACGTGATTTCCAAATGTTACACACTAATCCTACATCAGACAAATGGTGCATCTCAAGTCATGGATCTATGATGTCACATGTGATGCGTTCAAGAGTGTCGGATTTGTGCATTAAACCACTCTAATATCTCTTAAATATGAGTCTTCATATATTAACAAACATGTATGGTATTTCTTTTGGCATTGAGTATATAAATGTAGGATTGTACAGACAGTCTTGGTGCAGTCTATGCCAAAATCTACTTGTCTGAGCTTGTATCTGGCAACATTTTTAGTGTATTATTCCAGTATGTGGACTGGCATCTGCTGATCCTACCGGGGGGAATGTAACTAGACTGGGCTTGAGGGATGGTGGCTGACGCGCTCTACACTGACCCGCCCTACACTGACGTGCCCAACACTGACGCGCCCTACACTGATGCGCTCTACACTGACGTGCCCTACACTAATGTGCCCTACACTGATGTGCCCTACACTGACGCGCCCTACACTAATGTGCCCTACACTAATGTGCCCTACACTGACGTGCCCAACACTGACGCGCCCTACACAAATGCGCCCTACACTGACGCGCTCTACACTGACGTGCCCTACACTAATGTGCCCTACACTGATGCGCCCTACACTGACGCGCCGTACACTGACGCATCCTACACTCATGACCCTACACTCACCCTGGTGCTGCTCATCTCAGCCTGGAGCTCGTCCATGGTGTCAGTTGGCAGGGCAGTCGTCACATGCCTCGTTCTGGTTTCTGACAGCCAGGTTTCCACATCCTTCACACGTTTCTTGTACGCCTCCAGCAGAATATTGTGCTTCTCTTGATCCTTGACTGCTGCCTGCAAACAGAGTTTTACAGGTGAGTGAGTGAGTTACGTTTAACACCTCAATCAGCAATATCCCAACTACATCTTGGGAGCCTTGTAAATAACTCTGTCTGGACCATTGTAGTGACAAGCATGAGGTACCTGGAATCTCACAGGGACACAAGCATGGGGTACTGGGGATCTATTCTGACCTGGAATCTCACAGGGAGACAAGCATGAGGTACTGGGGATCTATTCTGACCTGGAATCTCACAGGGAGACAAGCATGAGGTACTGGGGACATATTCTGACCTGGAATCTCACAGGGAGACAAGCATGAGGTACTGGGGATCTATTCTGACCTGGAATCTCACAGGGAGACAAGCATGGGGTACTGGGGACCTATTCCGCCCTGGAATCTCACAGGGAGACAAGCATGAGGTACTGGGGATCTATTCTGCCCTGGAATCTCACAGGGAGACAAGCATGAGGTACTGGGGATCTTTTCTGACCTGGAATCTCACAGGGAGACAAGCATGAGGTACTGGGGATCTATTCTGACCTGGAATCTCACAGGGAGACAAGCATGAGGTACTGGGGATCTATTCTGACCTGGAATCTCACAGGGAGACAAGCATGGGGTACTGGGGATCTTTTCTGCCCTGGAATCTCACAGGGAGACAAGCATGAGGTACTGGGGACCTATTCTGACCTGGAATCTCACAGGGAGACAAGCATGGGGTACTGGGGTTCTTTTCTGCCCTGGAATCTCACAGGGAGACAAGCATGGGGTACTGGGGATCTATTCTGCCCTGGAATCTCACAGGGAGACAAGCATGAGGTACTGGGGGTCTATTCTGACCTGGAATCTCACAGGGAGACAAGCATGAGGTACTGGGGATCTATTCTGCCCTGGAATCTCAAAGGGAGACAAGCATGAGGTACTGGGGATCTATTCTGCCCTGGAATCTCACAGGGAGACAAGCATGAGGGAGACAAGCATGGGGTACTGGGGATCTTTTCTGACCTGAAATCTCACAGGGACACAAGCATGGGGTACTGGGGATCTATTCTGACCTGGAATCCCCACAGGGAGACAAGCATGAGGTATGGGGATCTATTCTGACCTGGAATCCCCACCGGGAGATGAGCATGGGGTATGAGGATCTACTCTGACCTGGAATCCCCACAGGGTGACAAGCATGAGGTACCGGGGATCTATTCTGACCTGGAATCCCCACAGGGAGATGAGCATGAGGTACATGGGTTCTATTCTGACCTAGAATCTCAGAAGGAGACAAGCATGAGGTACTGGGTATCTATTCTGACCTGGAATCCCCACAGGGAGATGAGCATGAGGTACTGGGGACCTTCTCCAAAGCACTAGAACAATATACTCCCCCTCCCAAAAATTGATTCAAACAGCTTCCCCTACCTGCAGTTTGCGGCCCGCATCACCGGCCATCGTCTGCAGGCTCTCAGCTCGGTCTGTCAGCATTGTCAACGTTGCCTCCATGGCCTTACGACCTTCAGGATCCGACTTGTCCAGGATCATTCGACTTTGCTCTCGCACTTGGATAATGTCATTCTTGATACTATCTATCTCGGAGAGAGTTTCCTGGAACATCATCAAGAGCGTTTTACAGGAAACAGTCCCTTATATTATTGAAGATATGCAAATCAATGTCATGTGACTGACAGCAATCAAACTAATGAGTGAGTGAGTTTGGTTTTACGCCGCTTTTAGCAATATTCCAGCAATATCACGGCGGGGGACACCAGAAATGGGCTTCACACATTGTACCCATGTCGGGAATCGAACCCGGGTCTTCAGCGTGACAACGAACGCTTTAACCACTAGGCTACCCGACCGCCCCGCAATCAAACCTAACCTGTTGCCAGTTGTATCAACCCTTTAATCACTAGACTCCCCCAATCCATTGTAGACCAACAGGATTAACCCTTTAACCATTAGACTACACCCATCCATCGTAGACCAAAAGGATTAACCCTTTAACCACTAGACTACACCCATCCATCATAGACCAACAGGATTAACCCTTTAACCACTAGACTACCCCAATCCATCGTAGACCAACATGATTAACCCTTTAACCACTTGACCATCCCCATCCATCGTAGATCAACAGGATTAACCCTTTAACCACCAGACTACCCCCATTCATCGTAGACCAACAGGATTAACCCTTTAACTACTATACTACCCCCATCCATCATAGACCAACAGGATTAACCCTTTCACAACTAGACTACCCCCAATCCATCGTAGACCAACAGGATTAACTCTTTAACCACTAGACTACCCCAATCCATCGTAGACCAACAGGATTAACCCTGTAATCACTAGACCACCCCCATCCATCGTAGACGAACAGGATTAACCCTGTAACCACTAGACTACCCCGATCCATCATAGATCACCAGGATTAACCCTTTAACTACTAGACTACCCAAATCCATCCTAGAGCACCAGTCTTGACTGACCTTGTGATCATCTTGCTGTCTTTCGAAGTAATCAGGTGGCCTGAGTGGCCCTTGCTGTCTTTCGAAGTAATCAGGTGGCCTGAGTGGCCTGCTGGAAAGTCTCTTCTGAGCGTGCTCCATCTTAGCTGTCACTTCCTGTACGGAGCGTTGGTAGTCCTCCTGCTGCTGCAGGGCACTGTGCAGCTCCTTCTCCTTGGCTACAACCTGCAAGGCGGGAAACTCACGTCAGCTTCTACTCCCACTAAACCCAAGTCTTGTGACTGATCCCACTAAACCCAAGTATTGTGACTGATCCCACTAAACATCAGTATTGTGACTGATCCCACTAAACACAAGTATTGTGTCTGATCCCACTAAACACAAGTATTGTGACTGATCCCACTAAACCCAAGTCTTGTGACTGATCCCACTAAACACAAGTATTGTGACTGATCCCACTAAACACAAGTATTGTGACTGATCCCACTAAACACAAGTCTTGTGACTAATCCCGATAAACCCAAGTATTGTGACTGATCCCACTAAACACAAGTATTGTGACTGATCCCACTAAACACAAGTATTGTGTCTGATCCCGATAAACACAAGTATTGTGTCTGATCCCAACTAACATGACCAGGTAGACAGTAGTTTGGCATGACCAGGTAGACAGTAGTTAAACGTGACGAGGTAGACTGTAGTTTAACATGACCAGGTACACAGTAGTTTAACATGACCAGGTAGACCGTAGTTTAACATGATCAGGTAGACAGTAGTTTAACGTGACCAGGTAGACAGTAGTTTAACATGACCAGGTAGACAGTAGTTTAACGTGACCAGGTAGGCTGTAGTTTAACGTGACCAGGTAGACAGTAGTTTAACGTGACGAGGTAGACAGTAGTTTAACATGACCAGGTAGACAGTAGTTTAACGTGACCAGGTAGGCTGTAGTTTAACGTGACAAGGTAGACAGTAGTTTAACGTGACCAGGTAGACAGTAGTTTAACGTGACCAGGTAGACAGTAGTTTAACGTGACAAGGTAGACAGTAGTTTAACGTGACAAGGTAGACAGTAGTTTAACGTGACAAGGTAGACAGTAGTTTAACGTGACCAGGTAGACAGTAGTTTAACGTGACAAGGTAGACAGTAGTTTAACGTGACAAGGTAGACAGTAGTTTAACGTGACCAGGTAGACAGTAGTTTAACGTGACCAGGTAGACAGTAGTTTAACGTGACCAGGTAGACTGTAGTTTAACGTGACAAGGTAGACAGTAGTTTAACGTGACAAGGTAGACAGTAGTTTAACGTGACCAGGTAGACAGTAGTTTAACGTGACAAGGTAGACAGTAGTTTAACGTGACCAGGTAGACAGTAGTTTAACGTGACAAGGTAGACAGTAGTTTAACGTGACCAGGTAGACAGTAGTTTTACATGACCAGGTAGACTGTAGTTTTACATGACCAGGTAGACAGTAGTTTAACGTGACCAGGTAGACAGTAGTTTAATGTGACCAGGTAGACAGTAGTTTAACGTGACCAGGTAGACAGTAGTTTAACGTGACCAGGTAGACAGTAGTTTAACGTGACCAGGTAGACAGTAGTTTAATGTGACCAGGTAGACAGTAGTTTAACATGACCAGGTAGACAGTAGTTTAACGTGACCAGGTAGGCTGTAGTTTAACGTGACCAGGTAGACAGTAGTTTAACGTGACCAGGTAGACAGTAGTTTAACGTGACCAGGTAGACAGTAGTTTAACATGACCAGGTAGGCTGTAGTTTAACGTGACCAGGTAGACAGTAGTTTAACGTGACAAGGTAGACAGTAGTTTAACGTGACCAGGTAGACTGTAGTTTAACATGACCAGGTAGACTGTAGTTTAATGTGACCAGGTAGGCTTACCTCATCAGACAGGTAGAAGGGGAATGAGGTCCGGAAGCAAGTGACAACTTGACTAGTGACGCCACTGAAGGTGCGGCAGACACCTATACTGTCTGGAACATACCATTGTGTGCCTACTCTGCCGCCACCACCATACACTCTTGCTAATGCCATTTCCACTGCCATGTTTTGTCATACAGCGTTTATGTCTCTTTCAATCACAACCACTTCATATCGGACACGTTATTCATATAAGCTCTCCTCTGCTAAATGGTTGACATATGACCAACTCTGCTGTTATTGAAGCATTTACTTCATACACCACAACAGCCTGACTTCAATAGACTGCGCAGGTCGGTGCTGGTGGCTTTCAGAGACAGCCTGACAGTTCCAACTCCATTCACTGCAGCTACAGGTCTCAACGGTGTGCGTCACGCCTGACTGAACTCAGCAATGCACGGCTCAGATCTGCATGTCAACTCATTTAACTTTCCATGACACAGGACCAATAAGCTTGCTGACTGTCTGACCTTCTATTACACTCTCAGCTGCCATCCATGACATAGGACCAAGGACTGCCTGACCTTCTGTTACACTCTCAGCTGCCGTCCATGACACAGGACCAATAAGCTTGCTGACTGTCTGACCTTCTGTTACTCTCTCAGCTGCCGTCCATGACACAGGACCAATAAGCTTGCTGACTGTCTGACCTTCTGTTACACTCTCAGCTGCCGTCCATGACACAGGACCAATAAGCTTGCTGACTGTCTGACCTTCTGTTACACTCTCAGCTGCCGTCCATGACACAGGACCAATAAGCTTGCTGACTGTCTGACCTTCTGTTACTCTCTCAGCTGCCGTCCATGACACAGGACCAATAAGCTTGCTGACTGTCTGACCTTCTATTACACTCTCAGCTGCCATCCATGACACAGGACCAAGGACTGCCTGACCTTCTATTACACTCTCAGCTGCCGTCCATGACACAGGACCAATAAGCTTGCTGACTGCCTGACCTTCTGTTACTCTCTCAGCTGCCGTCCATGACACAGGACCAATAAGCTTGCTGACTGTCTGACCTTCTATTACACTCTCAGCTGCCATCCATGACACAGGACCAAGGACTGCCTGACCTTCTATTACACTCTCAGCTGCCGTCCATGACACAGGACCAAAGAGTGTCTGACCTTCTATTACACTCTCAGCTGCCGTCCATGACACAGGACCAATAAGCTTGCTGACTGTCTGACCTTCTATTACACTCTCAGCTGCCGTCCATGACACAGGACCAAAGAGTGTCTGACCTTCTATTACACTCTCAGCTGCCGTCCATGACACAGGACCAAAGAGTGTCTGACCTTCTATTACACTCTCAGCTGCCGTCCATGACACAGGACCAATAAGCTTGCTGACTGTCTGACCTTCTATTACACTCTCAGCTGCCGTCCATGACACAGGACCAATAAGCTTGCTGACTGTCTGACCTTCTATTACACTCTCAGCTGCCGTCCATGACACAGGACCAAGGACTGCCTGACTTTCTATTGCATGTACAACTGCCATCCATGACACAGGACCAAAGAGTGTCTGACCTTCTATTGCATGTACAACTGCCGTCCATGACACAGGACAAAAGAGTGTCTGACCTTCTATTGCATGTACAACTGCCGTCCATGACACAGGACAAAAGAGTGTCTGACCTTCTATTGCATGTACGACTGCTGTCCATGACACAGGACAAAAGAGTGTCTGACCTTCTATTGCATGTACAACTGCCGTCCATGACACAGGACAAAAGAGTGTCTGACCTTCTATTGCACGTACAACTGCCGTCCATGACACAGGACAAAAGAGTGTCTGACCTTCTTTTGCATGTACAACTGCCATCCATCTTACAATCATGATACACAAATAGATACAATCATGTCCTACCTGTTCCTGTAGACTGGCCCAGGACGTGTTGAGTTCCGCCAACTGGGAGGCTGGTCCTGCGCCTTGGGATACCTACATCACAAGACACAGTGTCAGTCTAGCTGGTGATCCACTAACTTGCAACACACGACACACTTGTAACACAACACACAATGTTAGTAAAGCCAGCCACACACAGCATGCAAGAGTGTGATGGTAGATCAAGCCTTTAAGGATACTAAACATATATATAAATAACAAAGCGCATCTCAAGCTTCAAGATTCATGATTGGAGGTGAAAACCAACAGTGTTCTAAATTAAAGGTATGTTATCATTGACTTGATATGTTTGCACAAGGTTACATCTGTATATGTTAGAGGTATCAAATCCATAATATCAGGTTCAAACACAGGAAGGTGATCTGTATTCTACCATGACAATAATGAACCTCATATATTTGGTGCTGAGTCATGTGGCATGGGTTTTCAGTAAGGAATATAACGGTTTGATACCTCTGATTGACCAATCAGAATCAACTAGTATCAAGTCAAGGTAGAGTACATTGTTGACAGGGAAGGTCGGTAAGTAACTAGTCTGTCTGTCAACAGTTTGTGTAATTCATGTGACTTGAGCAACATCTGAACATCAGATGCTAATTATAGAATAGATGGGTCATAATCTGTGCCAGTCCTAAAGTTTGCTGAAATGAGGGTGTCCTTGTCTTCCAAATACCTGTCACCTGACCTTGGTTCCCCGAATGTATCTCCCCACCCTCACATGATGCAGCACCCACCCATCCACGCCATTTACTGTGGAATATAGCTAATATATGTGCTGTAAGCTGCAATTGTTTTCCAAAAGATACCTCACAGTCTCGAGGAAACCATTACTTGAATAGACGCCAGACCAATTACTTGAATAGACTCCAAACCCATTACTTGAATAGACTCCAAACCCATTACTTGAACAGACTCCAGACCCATTACTTGAATAGACTCCAGACCCATAACTTGAATAGACTCCAGACCAGTTACTTGAACAGACTCCAGACCCATTACTTGAACAGACTCCAGACCCATAACTTGAATAGACTCCAGACCAGTTACTTGAACAGACTCCAGACCCATTACTTGAATAGACTCCAAACCCATTACTTGAACAGACTCCAGACCCATTACTTGAATAGACTCCAGACCCATTACTTGAATAGACTCCAGACCTGTTACTTGAACAGACTCCAAACCCATTACTTGAACAGACTCCAGACCCATTACTTGAATAGACTCCAGACCCATTACTTGAATAGACTCCAGACCTGTTACTTGAACAGACACCAGACCCATTACTTGAATAGACTCCAGACCCATTACTTGAACAGACTCCAAACCCATTACTTGAACAGACTCCAGACCCATTACTTGAATAGACTCCAGACCCATTACTTGAATAGACTCCAGACCCTTTACTTGAATAGACTCCAGACCCATTACTTGAATAGACACCAGACCCATAACTTGAATAGACTCCATACCCATTACTTGAATAGACTCCAGACCCTTTACTTGAATAGACTCCAGACCCATTACTTGAATAGACTCCAGACCCATAACTTGAATAGACACCAGACCCATTACTTGAATAGACTCCAGATCCGTTACTTGAATAGACTCCAGACCCGTTACTTGAATAGACTCCAGACCTGTTACTTGAACAGACTCCAGACCCATTACTTGAACAGACTCCAGACCCATAACTTGAATAGACTCCAGACAAGTTACTTGAACAGACTCCAGACCCATTACTTGAATAGACTCCAAACCCATTACTTGAACAGACTCCAGACCCATTACTTGAATAGACTCCAGACCCATTACTTGAATAGACTCCAGACCTGTTACTTGAACAGACACCAGACCCATTACTTGAATAGACTCCAGACCCATTACTTGAACAGACTCCAGACCCATTACTTTAATAGACTCCAGACCTGTTACTTGAACAGACACCAGACCCATTACTTGAATAGACTCCAGACCCATTACTTGAACAGACACAAGACCCATTACTTGAATAAGCTCCAGACCCATTACTTGAATAGACTCACAATGCTTTTCTCTGTACACTTTTGCCCTGTGAATCACACGAGCTGTTGACAGACAGGGTACCAACTGAACATCCCCCTGAAAGCAAGCCTGTCCTGACTGATGCATTCTGTGACCAATCACAGAATGCTACAATCATGGACACTACCAAGCCATCACAAGCAGTTATGTGAGTATTGTAAACAGTAGACCCACCCGCCGTGGGGCACTTTTGGTGGTGGTGTTAGTAGAACGTGCAGAGGAGGAGGAGGAGAAGGGTTTAGGAGAGAGCGAGCGCATTCGTGGAGGAGTGTAAGCTCTGCGGCTTCGGGCGTGCAAGTCTGTGAGTGGAGAAGCAAATTCCAGAGAAGCAGAGTAAGGTGAGAGTGTTCTCCCCTTGGCCACACGAAGAGAAGATGGTGCTTGGACAGAATCGTGCGGTCGTGCGACGCTTCGAGCTACCTTGTCGGTGTCGTTCTGACTTTTGATTGGTTGGAAGGGTGATGGTCTCTCTCCACCATGTCCGCCTCTCTCAGAACGGAGGCTGGTGAGACTCTGGGACCGAAAGCTGTCAAAGCTGTCTACCTGTTCCCGAGGACGTCCCACACTGCGGATTGTGGTTGATGTGCGGTCCGATCTGTTGGACAGTGATGACCAGGAGAGACTGGAGGGCATTGTGTTGAGAGAGTCGGACATGTGAGCACCACTGTCTTCAATACTGTCTGTGTAGCCAAAGTGACTTCCCGAGAAATACGGTGAACTACGATCGCGGAAGTGGGCACTAGAGAATCCACTACTACCAGCACTAGTGTTCATTAGGAAGCGTCTGCGGACTAGAGTAGGGCTGCGCTGGAGGCTGCGCTCCGACAACCCTCGGTTCTTCTCATTGATCTGGCTGAGGCGGGCTTGGTAGGTCTTAATCTGGGCAGCTAGAGTCTGAAAGCAAGCAGGGGTGACAGGCATGCAGGTTAGACACATGCAAGACATACAAGCTTCAACATGGGGAGAGCTCCTGCCCCATCAGGCATCAGAGAACTCGTCATCCTGGTTGTGAGTCACCTTACCTCTACCACGGCCATCGTCCCTGGCATGTTGTAACATGGTAACAATCATATTCTCTCATACAGCCTATCAACATTACTCTAACATCAACATATTAAACAAACAATTAATCTTTCATTAGACAATAGTTCTATTGTCGAGCAACCCGAACACATCAACATGCAGGAGCAGCAGTCGATATGGCAGTCATGCAACGATGTCCTTACATTCATCAGTGTCTCTACATTCATCAGTGTCCCTACATTCATCGGTGGCCCTACATTCATCAGTGTCCCTACATTCATTGGTGTCCCTACATTCATCAGTGTCCCTACATTCGTCAGTGTCCCTACATTAATCAGTGTCCCTACATTCATCAGTGTCCCTACATTCATCATTGTCCTTACATTCATCAGTGTCCCTACATTCATCAGTGTCCCTACATTCATCAGTGTCCCTACATTCGTCAGTGTCCCTACATTCATCAGTGTCCCTACATTCGTCAGTGTCCCTACATTAATCAGTGTCCCTACATTCATCAGTGTCCCTACATTCATCATTGTCCCTACATTAATCAGTGTCCCTACATTCATCAGTGTCCCTACATTCATCAGTGTCCCTACATTCGTAACTGTCCCTACATTCATCAGTGTCCCTACATTCGTCACTGTCCCTACATTCGTCACTGTCCCTACATTCATCAGTGTCCCTACATTCATCACTGTCCCTACATTCATCAGTGTCCCTACATTCATCGGTGGCCCTACATTCGTCAGTGTCCCTACATTCATCACTGTCCCTACATTCATCAGTGTCCCTACATTCATCGGTGGCCCTACATTCGTCAGTGTCCCTACATTGAGGAATAACACAGCAACCATTGCACCATTGTGTGTTCTTCCACAGAGTGATGTTGGCACTACAACTACTGAAGAAGAGGAAGACAAAACTCAGTAATGTGCTTGTGGTTTAAGTCAGCTTTAGGTGTGTCCTGTGCCAGTGCCACACCAGACTACAGAGGCCACTGATGCAGGCTGATACTGGCAGGACATACCTACACAGGTGCATGACATGCGACAAAAACAACACAACATGCAGGAGACAAGGTGCCATCATGTGTCAATTGTCCGAGAGGTTCAGTAAAACAGTGCTCACCTACACTAACATCTTTGCAATGAAGTCAAAGAATTGCAGGATAGCTCAAATAAACTTTGTCTACCCCAAAACAAAGGATGACATTTTAATGCAAGGCTTGAACCCATAAGAGATGTAATAATAAAAAAATACCTTCTAGAGATCAATGCAAATTTGGTTTTGACCTCAGTATACCGGACCTCTGTAGACCAATGAGACTACCAAGGTCATGACTACAATGGTGGCACCTACACCTGGTACACATCTTGCTTCTTAAATCTCTCCAACCTGCACAGTGCAGTAGGCAGCCTAGCTAACTTCGACTACACTGACGACGCACTGCTAGTTCTGCATCTATACACATTTCATCCTAACTGCAGCACACACACATGACAACACTACTCTACAAGCAGCCTGGTGTATCTTCCTCCGTGTACATTTCAGTTGACATCATCTGTGACAAAATCCCTACGATCAGTCTATAACACCCCTACAACAAGTCTATAACATCCCTATAACCAGTCTATAACATTCCTACAACCAGTCTATAACATCCCTACAACCAGTCTCTAACATCCCTACCGCAAGTCTATAACATCCCTACAACCAGTCTATAACATCCCTACAACCAGTCTATAACATCCCCACAACCAATGTACAACATTCCTACAACTAGTCTATAACATCCCTACAACCAGTCTATAACATCCCTACAACCAGTCTATAACATCCCTACAACCAGTCTATAACATCCCCACAACCCATGTACAGCATTCCTACAACCAGTCTATAACATCCCTACAACCAGTCTATAACACCCCTACAACCAGTCAATAACACCCCTACAACCAGTCAATAACACCCCTACAACCAGTCTATAACACCCCTACAACCAGTCTATAACACCCCTACAACCAGTCAATAACACCCCTACAACAAGTCTATAACATCCCTACAACCAGTCAATAACACCCCTACAACCAGTCTATAACATCCCTACAACCAGTCTATAACACCCCTACAACCAGTCTATAACATCCCTACCACAAGTCTATAACATCCCTACAACAAGTCTATAACATCCCTACAACAAGTCTATAACATCCCTACAACCAGTCAATAACACCCCTACAACCAGTCTATAACACCCCTACAACCAGTCTATAACACCCCTAACAACCAGTCTATAACATCCCTAACAACCAGTCTATAACACCCCTATCAACCAGTCTATAACATCCCTAACAACCAGTCTATAACACCCCTAACAACCAGTCTATAACATCCCTACAACCCATGTACAACATTCCTACAACATTCCTACAACATCCCCCTACTTCCCTCAAGGTCTACTGAGCCAGTAGGCATCCACCTGTCCAGATCACGCCTGTCCTGAAACACCAACTACATGAGATGTGAGAGACCTGGACGTGGCGTACGGCAAACGTGGTTTGCAAGGCTGGCAACAGATACACAGTCAGTCATGGTAGACATCAAATTCACATCTACCCAACTGCAGCAGCAACACCATCTACTACATCGGAGTTGGTAGAGTGAGGGTAGCAGAGACAGGCAGTAGTCAGCCCAGGTGAGCTTCCCACAGGAATCATGAGTAATTTGTTAGTACAACCAGGTGAGCTTCACAGAAGAATCATGGGTAATTTGTTAGTACAACCAGGTGAGCTTCACAGAGGAATCATGGGTAATTTGTTAGTACAACCAGGTGAGCTTCACAAAAGGAATTGTTGCATGGAACCAACTGATCAGTAGAAACAGAGAATTAAATACAGCGAATACCAGACAAGGATCCAGATGTGTCTCGGACAGGCAGGTAGGACACTCAGTTGACACACCTGCAGGTGTACAGGAGGAGGCTTGACAGGCCTAACTACAGGCAGGTAGGACACTCAGTTGACACACCTGCAGGTGTACAGGAGGAGGCTTGACAGGCCTAACTACAGACAGGATACATCGTACAAAGCAGCTATACAGTGGCAGGATGCAACACAAGATACACAGTACCAGCACAAGCCACGCTTCAGATGACAAGCAGGCACAGCAACAGTAGATATATAGGTATATAGGTATACAGGTATACAGGTATACAGGTATACACAGTCAGACAAGGGAAACAGTAGATATATAGGTATACAGGTATACAGGTATACACAGTCAGACATGGCAAACAGTAGATATATAGGTATACAGGTATATACAGTCAGACATGGCAAACAGTAGATATATAGGTATACAGGTATATACAGTCAGACATGGCAAACAGTAGATATATAGGTATACAGGTATATACAGTCAGACATGGCAAACAGTAGGCAGACATAGCACTGTTTCACTGTATCATACAGAAGTGATGGTAGATTTTATGAATGCTTCAATGTTGTTTGTTATCACTATATAATTTAGATGAAACAGACATTACATTATATTGATTGAAGAAAATCCTTCTTTAACAAAGGTAAAAACTGGTGCATGAAAAACAAAGTCATTAATCAAACATCATTTGATGGTATTAGAAAAGGGATATTTTAATGTGCTATAAAAATATTATTGATAAATGAAATGAAAAAGATGTGAAACCGATTCAGTGTGTTGTGCATGGTCTCATAAAAGGAAGTGATATTTTCCAACCAAACCATGAAATTGTACAATTTTGTTAGAGTGACTCAATATAGGGCAGACACAGAGTAGGGCAAGTGTTAGTTACTAAACTCTGGGTTAGATGAGGATAGAGTCAGTGGGTGAGGTGTGTGTTAGTGTCGGGACGTGGGTATGAATCTGGTGTCACGTGACTGCCCATGTGTCTGCAGTCAGTCTACGTACGTCATGTTCAGCTATCTGTTGTTTCAGTGTATCCACGCTGGAGGCAAGGACTGGTGATGCCAGCAGTTTTTCTTGTGCTTCGCCGATAGCGTCATTGAGCTGTTTTATCTCGGAATCATTCCGATCCTGTTCCTGCACAACATTGCGCAGCTGGTCGCACTGTTCTGCAGCTGCGTCCTCCAGCTGTCCGATGTCGCCAAGCAGCCGTGAGCCGACAGAGGGTGTGGACACCTCCGCCATGGATCTCAGATCATTGTATCGCTGGAGGAGCATCTGAGCCCGCGACTTCTGGGCTCCCAGCTCTTGAAGTAGTTGCTGAAACAAAAGTCAGTGACAATAATCTGGGTCACAGAACAGACATCCCCATCTCAGGGTTTACATACAAACCTTTACAGGGAAACCTGCTAGTTGAGACTCCCCTATCTCAACACCTTGTTTAAGATATTTGCCTTAATGAGCCTGCCCATTGGCGGAGTTGTCGAACATTGGCACCTTCCCTACAGGTAAGTACATATTATCGTGTATTGCACCGGGTCTACATCCCACAAGGCCAACAACGGGGCAACAAGACAGACAGCACATCCAACATCCACCAGACAGACAATCAGGTTTTAGCAGTTGGGCCAAATTTATTTTTTACCCCCTTGGAGTTTGTTCTTAAAGTCAACTCTATCCCGCATTATTATGCCTCAAAGTGAGATTGACCCATCAGAAAGCAGAACTACTAATCCCATTTGAGTCCCACGTCCCACGAGCTGGAGGTGGGTGGTAAAATACTTAACGTTGGACTCATAAAACTCCAGGTACCCCGAGTGATCCTGCTACAATGAATTTATCTTACCGACATGTTTTAATATGATGCTGTAAAATAATTCAAATAAATTCCAAATTGATAGAAAACAGCTGTTTGATTGAGCTGAGGTTAGCTGGTGCTATGTCACGTGACTTCCATTGACTCGGAAAAAGTGTGCAGATTTTTGCTTTAAAGCGGGGTATTAGGGATTTATTCTGTCTCTCAGAAATGCATGTGCAGCCTGTAGTGCTCAGTGTATAAGAGAGTTATTCTCCCGCTGAGAAATTTATTACCCTCCAAGATGGGCTATACAGTATTTTATCATCATGTGGACCAATCAGATCTCATCATTCTGACATGGAGGTATAATAAGAGACTGTATACCGTCAGTAACAGCCATTTGGGATTTTCCATCAACATTCTCACATATTACACATGAAAATTCTGGAACAGGAATTTGTTATTTGACTATGTTTTGTGTTTTAATATCATTAATTGTGAGATGCAAGGACATTATTTTGTAAAATAACCATATTTGTGACTTTATTAATAACAATTATAGAGAAAAAAAACTCAAGTGGAGGTTACTGATTTACACTGAGCAGCGTCATAGAACATAATATTGTTCACAAACAAGAAACGTGATGCCAATGACGTCACATAGCAATAGATTAGATAGCAGCCCATCGTTAGGGAAAAGCAGACTGCTATGAAGTTACAGTGGCCCTCAGATGTCTGATAACATGCAGGCGATTCTATAATAATTCTATCCATTTTAGTTATAATACATGTACTTGTTTAAATGTACACATTTAGTGCCTTGTATAAACCATTGTTAATATTTGTGTTTACATTAAAGTGGTCCTGTCATTTATATCGGTGTGTAAGTGTGATAAAGATACCAAATAGTGTAAACTTTTTGGCATTATAAATTTGCTATTTGTTGTATGTGGTGTCATATTAGGCTAGCAGAAATATATTGGACTTGGAACACGCCCCTGCCAATATTTGTTCTGCTGACCTAATATGACACGGTACACGGCAACTAAAGACACCATAACTAATAATACACAGTCCTGCTAGGTTCACCTGCAGTCTGGACTGAAGGAATTACATGTAAAGGTCTAAGCACAAATTATTCAGATTTTCTGAGAGTGATTTTGTTTTGTAGACACGGAAGCCCACCATCTCCTGATACAATCCAAGTCTTTCCATTCAGCTGAATCAGTGCTGTCATTGTGCAAGCATCGAAGTCTTCAGTCAAGGTAGGTTGTTGTTCTTCATGAGGGAGGCCATGTGTTTGTTCAAAGACCTGTTGTATTGACATTGTTGGGGAAAGCATCGGCACATACTTCTGATCGCTGATCTCCCATGATGGAACATCCACTCAACATTACACTGTCCCAGGAAGGTGAAGTGCCGAGTCAGCACACCACAGCCACACTACATGCAGTAGTGTCATATAGTCGCCCAAGGCATGTTTAATGACATTTAGCTGGCAGTGTTTACTCTAGACATCCTGGCACTTCAGACCAGCAACGGAGGAATGTCAAACCGCACCTCCCACTGCAGCAGGACTCTCCTTCCACTACCACCAATCATGTGGTGTTATCAGCCAGGATTATCCAGAAAGAAACACACCAAGCGCACTGATCTCACTTCACAAACACGAAGAATTATTGTTCTACACTGCAGTAGCCATGGACCAGCAATGTCTCAGGCACATTCTGTGAATATATATGTACAGAGGGCAGTGTTGTATTGAACACTTGACCCATGTTGTCGGCTGTTGGGGAAACACTCCAGCCACAACCCCCTGCACTCAAACAGCTCTCCACACATTCGACATACTCACTACAGCCAGAACAATACTCACTACAGCCAGAAAACTACTCACAACAGCCAGAACAATACTCACTACAGCCAGAACAATACTCACTACAACCAGAACAATACTCACTACAGCCAGAACAATACTGACTACAACCAGAACAATACTCACTACAACCAGAACAATACTGACTACAACCAGAACAATACTGACTACAACCAGAACAATACTGACTACAACCAGAACAATACTGACTACAACCAGAACAATACTGACTACAACCAGAACAATACTCACTACAACCAGAACAATACTCACTACAACCAGAACAATACTCACTACAACCAGAACAATACTGACTACAACCAGAACAATACTGACTACAACCAGAACAATACTCACTACAACCAGAACAATACTCACTACAACCAGAACAATACTCACTACAACCAGAACAATACTGACTACAGCCAGAACAATACTCACTACAGTCAGAACACTACTGACTACAACCAGAACAATACTCACTACAACCAGAACAATACTGACTACAGCCAGAACAATACTGACTACAACCAGAACAATACTGACTACAGCCAGAACAATACTGACTACAACTAGAACAATACTGACTACAACCAGAACAATACTGACTACAACCAGAACAATACTGACTACAACCAGAACAATACTGACTACAACCAGAACAATACTGACTACAGCCAGAACAATACTGACTACAGCCAGAACACTACTCACTACAACCAGAACAATACTGACTACAACTAGAACAATACTGACTAAAACCAGAACAATACTGACTACAGCCAGAACAATACTCACTACAGCCAGAACAATACTCACTACAACCAGAACAATACTCACTACAACCAGAACAATACTGACTACAACCAGAACAATACTGACTACAACCAGAACGCTATTCACAACAACCAGAACAATACTGACTACAACCAGAACAATACTGACTACAACCAGAACAATACTGACTACAACCAGAACAATACTGACTACAGCCAGAACAATACTGACTACAGCCAGAACACTACTCACTACAACCAGAACAATACTGACTACAACTAGAACAATACTGACTAAAACCAGAACAATACTGACTACAGCCAGAACAATACTCACTACAACCAGAACAATACTCACTACAGCCAGAACAATACTCACTACAACCAGAACAATACTGACTACAACCAGAACAATACTGACTACAACTAGAACAATACTCACTACAACCAGAACAATACTGACTACAACCAGAACAATACTCACTACAACCAGAACAATACTGACTACAACCAGAACAATACTGACTACAGCCAGAACAATACTGACTACAACCAGAACAATACTGACTACAACCAGAACAATACTCACTACAACCAGAACAATACTGACTACAACCAGAACAATACTGACTACAACCAGAACAATACTGACTACAGCCAGAACAATACTGACTACAGCCAGAACACTACTCACTACAACCAGAACAATACTGACTACAACTAGAACAATACTGACTAAAACCAGAACAATACTGACTACAGCCAGAACAATACTCACTACAGCCAGAACAATACTCACTACAGCCAGAACAATACTCACTACAACCAGAACAATACTGACTACAACCAGAACAATACTCACTACAGCCAGAACAATACTCACTACAACCAGAACAATACTCACTACAACCAGAACAATACTGACTACAACCAGAACAATACTGACTACAACTAGCCAAAATTACAAAACAGAATTCAAGTGAAGTTACATTAATAACTACTGCTTGTAAATTAAGAGTTTGTCTGTAAAAGCAATTTTTTCTACATTTGATGAATAAACATGATGAGCAATTGATGACTTACATCTAACTTGGACGCAATATTTGGACCTCAATACTTCCAAAACAGGGTCCATCTGATTCAGACCCCAATATTGACAAGACAGGGTCCATCGGACTTGTACCTCAACACTTCCAACACAATGCCAACAAGACAGAGTCCATTTAACTTGGACCTCAATACTGACATGACATAGTCCAACTAACTTGGATTCCAATTCCAGAGACAGAGTCCTTCTAACTTGGACCCTAATACTGAAAAGACGAGGTCCTACTTACTTAGACATTTATCTTTCTTAACATAACTGCTGACATACCTCACTACCAGCAAGATGGGCCTTGACATCCAGCGGTGGATCCCGGTCCGCCAGTTGTGCTCGTGTCTGCTCCAGCCAGCGTGTGATGTCCGAGAGTTCTGTCTCATACTCTTCGATACGGGCATGTGTGTCCTCCAACGTGGACAGACGGTCCTGCACTGTGACGGACACCCTTGACATCCTCTGTGACATGGTATCCAGCTGGGCGGCGGCCGAGGAGGTGTCGCTGAACTGACTGAGCTGTTTCAAGGTCACATGGAGACTTCGCAGATGAGCCTGGCTCTGTGTGGACTCCCCCGACAGTCGCTATGGCAACAACAACAGCATGTCTGACAGCATACCGGCATCACATCACAACACATATACATGTACATCAACAGCGTAGGAGTCGGTGGATCTGTGGAGTTCAGGACACAGCAGAAACCTATATGTACATGGCAGTGAGTTCCTCCAGAAGGAGACCAAATATATAGCTCCATGTCCTGATCCTCCATGCCTCTCCCTACAGTTCACCTACATTCACGACCAACATCACTGGCACTACCGGTCCCCCTCCACGCCTCTCTCTACAGTTCACCTACATTCACGACCAACATCACTGGCACTACCGGTCCCCCTCCACGCCTTCCCCTACAGTTCACCTACATTCACGACCAACATCACTGGCACTACCAGTCCCCCTCCACGCCTTCCCCTACAGTTCACCTACATTCACGACCAACATCACTGGCACTACCAGTCCCCCTCCACGCCTTCCCCTACAGTTCACCTACATTCACGACCAACATCACTGGCACTACCGGTCCCCCTCCACGCCTCCCCCTACAGTTCACCTACATTCACGACCAACATCACTGGCACTACCGGTCCCCCTCCACGCCTTCCCCTACAGTTCACCTACATTCACGACCAACATCACTGGCACTACCGGTCCCCCTCCACGCCTCCACCTACAGTTCACCTACATTCACGACCAACATCACTGGCACTACCAGTCCCCCTCCACGCCTCTCCCTACAGTTCACCTACATTCACGACCAACATCACTGGCACTACCGGTCCCCCTCCACGCCTCTCTCTACAGTTCACCTACATTCATAACCAACATCACTGGCACTACCGGTCCCCCTCCACGCCTTCCCCTACAGTTCACCTACATTCACGACCAACATCACTGGCACTACCGGTCACCCTACACGCCTCCCCCTACAGTTCACCTACATTCACGACCAACATCACTGGCACTACCGGTCCCCCTCCACGCCTCTCCCTACAGTTCACCTACATTCACGACCAACATCACTGGCACTACCGGTCCCCCTCGACGCCTCTCCCTACAGTTCACCTACGTTCATAACCAACATCACTTGCACTACCGGTCCCCCTCCAAGCCTCTCCCTACAGTTCACCTACATTCATAACCAACATCACTGGCACTACCGGTCCCCCTCCACGCCTCCCCCTACAGTTCACCTACATTCATAACCAACATCACTGGCACTACCAGTCCCCCTCCATGCCTCCCCTACAGTTCATCTACATTCACGACCAACATCACTGGCACTACCGGTCCACCTCCACCTACAGTTCACCTACATTCACGACCAACATCACTGGCACTACCGGTCACCCTACACGCCTCCCCCTACAGTTCACCTACATTCACGACCAACATCACTGGCACTACCGGTCCCCCTCCACGCCTCCCCCTACAGTTCACCTACATTCACGACCAACATCACTGGCACTACCGGTCCCCCTCCACGCCTCCCCCTACAGTTCACCTACATTCACGACCAACATCACTGGCACTACCGGTCACCCTACACGCCTCCCCCTACAGTTCACCTTCATTCACGACCAACATCACTGGCACTACCGGTCCCCCTCCACGCCTCTCTCTACAGTTCACCTACATTCACGACCAACATCACTGGCACTACCGGTCCCCCTCCACGTCTCTCCCTACAGTTCACCTACATTCACGACCAACATCACTGGCACTACCGGTCCCCCTCCACGCCTTCCCCTACAGTTCACCTACATTCACGACCAACATCACTGGCACTACCGGTCCCCCTCCACGCCTCTCCCTACAGTTCACCTACATTCACGACCAACATCACTGGCACTACCGGTCCCCCTCCACGCCTTCCCCTACAGTTCACCTACATTCATAACCAACATCACTGGCACTACCGGTCCCCCTCCACGCCTTCCCCTACAGTTAACCTACATTCACGACCAACATCACTGGCACTACCGGCACCCCTATAAATCTGAACTTATTGTCCATGTCTATCATTTGGTTCCAGGGTGTAAAATTTCCAGAATATTAGTTCCCTTACTGGTTGGCCTCAAAACATGTTGGTGTGTTTGTCCTTCTGTGGTGAATGTCGTATTGATACTAAAAAACTGTCTAAAAGAGGGGTTTTCTTGATGGGGCAGTCCAAAAAGAAGTGTGTGGTCTTGGAGGGGGACGAAAAAAGAAGACACAAAATAACGGGAACTAATCCAGTATGTGTCCCCACTGGAATTTTCTCTTCATGACAAAAGTTCTATCATAATCAACAAATGTATCTTTGATGAAATTTTGGTTCTGTCATTATTGAATAATTATTTCTAAAATCCGGACATATTGCTGAAGGATTGATCCGAACCTTATAAAGCACCGTGGGTGCAATGCTTGATGCACTGGTGCATGTTGACACTGCTACATCGAGCCCTGAACTGTGTTGGGTGGTTACATGAATTTGTTCAGTCTGTACATGAATTATACTCCTACGTGATGCTCTGGCATCTTCTGTGTTGACATTTTCTTCTTCCCGGCCGTCTTGGTGGCCGAACAATTGATATCAAATCATAAACAGATTTTTAAAAATATTTTAGTAACATGTCTACTTTAATACCATTGTTGACAGTTTTCAATTTGTGCAATTTTGTGAAACTGACATGTTTTTGAAACAAGATTGTTCACCTAAATACGACATTTAGTATGGCATGAAGAGATATTTCACTTGGGCTGGAATTTACACAATCGTTTGGTCCCTCAGCTATGTAGTTTGTGTCAGGGACAGAATAAAGGTGGAATAAAACCAAGTTCTGTCCCTCCCCACAATTCACCTACATTCACGACACGCCATCACTGGTACCACCTGTACCTGACAAATCTTTGACTCGGGCATTTAACCCCACTGACAAACTACAATGACAGCCCCTGCTCGGACAGTTTGACAAGAGGTAGGCACGCAATGTGCCATTATGCCCGACACAGGGGCAGGGAGGATCTCCCTTGCACGACAAGCCAGGAGGCGGTGACACGCATCATTAGACACATTGTACAACAGCAGATATAACCCCGGACACAAAACACCATGCTTCATGGGGCAATCAGCTTGGGATCATGTCATATCACAAACAGAGGAATGCAGGCTTGGAGGAATCAGGGACATAGGACTGGATTTACTTTATAGGAATAAATATTAACAAGGTTTAAGGACATAGAGGATCTGTTACATGCTACTATTTTCATATATAAACAAACAAACAAACAAACAAAATAGATAAATACAAATGAAAAATAAATGAATAAATAAACAAACAAACAATCATGAAAGTTTCAATTATCAACAGGTTAGTTACTGCAACTATGCAAACATCTGAAAGTGGGAGACAGCCTGGGATATTTCCTGGCATTCTAACAACACTAGGGTAACAGCATGAGGGTAACCTACCTGGAAAGTCTTCAATTCCTCGTTGACCGTCTCAAAGTCAGTCCAGCTGAGCTCAGCACCACTGATGGCTTCTGCCTCCCCGAGCCATGCCGTCACTGACGCTGCACCATCACCATACAACGTGGTCAACCGTGATGCTTCCTGTAAATGCTGGCTCCTCTCCCGGACTCGGGACTGTGTCGCCGAAAACTGGCGGTTCACCTCTGCAAGACTGCTCTGGATGCGAGTCTTCTCAGCGGGGTCGGGGGTGTGCTGGATGAGGGCGCTGCCTGTTGCTCTCACAGCATCCAGCTGGGTCTGGAACTCTGGGATCTCTCCAAGCAGGATCTGCGGGGAATCAGAGCAGGTGAGACTAGGTTTGGTGTGGCAAGAAGTGGGTTGTTTAAAGTCAGGCGTGCAAGTCCCGACAGGTAGGCAGGTGACACACTAGCTCACAGACCGTGGCAGCTCCGCAGGACACAGTCGGTAATACAGACAGGGAGGGAATGCTGGAAGTACTGGCAGTCTGTGGCCCCAGGTTCCATGGAGACCGACCCACCGTTATCTAAACCTCCCAGTCTGGCATGGTGCCAATATCATGAACTCCATATACAGCACAAACACTTTCACAGTAAATCATTAAACCAAAGCTCGGCTGAAAGTCGATACCATACATCGATACCTTGACAGGTTCAAATTTTAAATTAAAGTGTATTGGTATGCTAAGCATATGCTGACTTGCGACTGTGTGTACATTAGCAATTGTTGTAAAGAAAGAACCATGTTTATCTGAGCCTTGATCAAACATTAAAGTCGGGGAGTGAAAGGCCACGGAGACCCTTATCAGAGTGAATGGCTGGGAGAGGGTAGTCACTGATCAATAGACCAGCAATCACTCCAACACTCGCTCATACCGCCGTCAATCAAACAATAACTTGGGGGTGGGGACGTATCAGGGCAGAAAGGCTCAAGTGGTAACCCTACGAGGACAACTGGCTAGATTATGTGAGGAGGGTTCTGGCAGCAAGTACAAGGAGAGGATGTCAGGTGGACTAATGTGAGATATAGGGTGGACTGATGTGAGATACAGGGTGGATTGATGGGAGATATAGGGTGGACTGATGTGAGATATAGGGTGGACTGATGTGAGATATAGGGTGGACTGATGTGAGATACAGGGTGGACTGATGTGAGATATTGGGTGGACTAATGTGAGATATAGGGTGGACTGATGTGAGATACAGGGTGGACTGATGGGAGATACAGGGTGGACTTATGTGAGATACAGGGTGGACGTGAGATATAGGGTGGACTGATGTGAGATATAGGGAGGGCTGATGTGAGATATAGGGTGGGTGGACTGATGTGAGATTTAGGGTGGACTGATGTGAGATATAGAGTGGACTGATGTGAGATATAGGGTGAACTTATTTGAGATTTAGGGTGGACTGATGTGAGATATAGGATGGACTGATGTGAGATATAGAGTGGACTGATGTGAGATATAGGGTGAACTTATTTGAGATATAGGGAGGACTAATGTGAGATATAGGGTTGACTTATGTGAGATACAGGGTGGACGTGAGATATAGGGTGGACTGATGTGAGATATAGGGAGGGCTGATGTGAGATATAGGGTGGGTGGACTGATGTGAGATTTAGGGTGGACTGATGTGAGATATAGGGTGGACTGATGTGAGATATAGAGTGGACTGATGTGAGATATAGGGTGAACTTATTTGAGATATAGGGAGGACTAATGTGAGATATAGGGTGGACTGCTGTGAGATATAGGGAGGGCTGATGTGAGATATAGGGTCGGTGGACTGATGTGAGATATAGGGTGGGTGGACTGACGTGAGATCTAGGGTTGGTGGACTGATGTGAGATATAGGGTGGGTGGACTGATGTGAGATATAGGGTGGGTGGACTGATGTGAGATATAGGGTGGGTGGACTGACGTGAGATCTAGGGTTGGTGGACTGATGTGAGATATAGGGTGGACTGACGTGAGATATAGGGTGGGTGGGTGGACTGATGTGAGATACAGGGTGGACTGATGTGAGATATAGGGTGGACTGATGTGAGATACAGGGTGGACTGATGAGAGATATAGGGTGGACTGACGTGAGATATAGGGTGGGTGGACTGATGTGAGATATAGAGTGGACTGATGTGAGATATAGGGTGGGTGGACTGATGTGAGATATAGGGTGGGTGGACTGATGTGAGATATAGGGTGGGTGGACTGACGTGAGATCTAGGGTTGGTGGACTGATGTGAGATATAGGGTGGGTGGACTGATGTGAGATATAGGGTGGGTGGACTGATGTGAGATATAGGGTGGGTTGACTGACGTGAGATCTAGGGTTGGTGGACTGATGTGAGATATAGGGTGGACTGACGTGAGATATAGGGTGGGTGGGTGGACTGATGTGAGATACAGGGTGGACTGATGTGAGATACAGGGTGGACTGATGTGAGATATAGCGTGGACTGATGTGAGATATAGGGTGGACTGATGTGAGATATAGGGTGGACTGATGTGAGATACAGGGTGGACTGATGTGAATATTGGGTGGACTGATGTGAGATATAGGGTGGACGTGAGATATAGGGTGGACTGATGTGAGATATAGGGAGGGCTGATGTGAGATATAGGGTGGGTGGACTGATGTGAGATTTAGGGTGGACTGATGTGAGATATAGGGTGGACTGATGTGAGATACAGGGTGGACTGATGGGAGATATAGGGTGGACTGATGTGAGATATAGGGTGGACTGATGTGAGATACAGGGTGGACTGATGTGAGATATTGGGTGGACTGATGTGAGATATAGGGTGGACTGACTTGAGATATATGGTGGACTGATGTGAGATATAGGGTGGACTGATGTGAGATATAGGGTGGACTGATGTGAGATATAGGGTGGACTGATGTGAGATATTGGGTGGACTGATGTGAGATATAGGGTGGACTGACGTGAGATACAGGGTGGACTGATGTGAGATATTGGGTGGACTGATGTGAGATATAGGGTGGACTGATGTGAGATATAGGGTGGACTGATGTGAGATACAGGGTGGACTGATGTGAGATACAGGGTGGACTGATGGGAGATACAGGGTGGACTGATGTGAGATACAGGGTGGACTGATGGGAGATATAGAGTGGACTGATGTGAGATATAGGGTTGGTGGACTGACGTGAGATATAGGGTGGACTGATGTGAGATATAGGGTGGACTGATGTGAGATATAGGGTGGACTGATGTGAGATATAGGGTGGGTGGACTGATGTGAGATATAGGGTGGGTGGACTGATGTGAGATATAGGGTGGGTGGACTGACGTGAGATCTAGGGTTGGTGGACTGATGTGAGATATATGGTGGACTGACGTGAGATATAGGGTGGGTGGGTGGACTGATGTGAGATACAGGGTGGACTGACGTGAGATACAGGGTGGACTGATGTGAGATATAGGGTGGACTGATGTGAGATATAGGGTGGACTGATGTGAGATATAGGGTGGACTGATGTGAGATACAGGGTGGACTGATGTGAGATATTGGGTGGACTGATGTGAGATATAGGGTGGACTGACGTGAGATACAGGGTGGACTGATGTGAGATATAGGGTGGACTGATGTGAGATATAGGGTGGACTGATGTGAGATATAGGGTGGACTGATGTGAGATACAGGGTGGACTGATGTGAGATATTGGGTGGACTGATGTGAGATATAGGGTGGACTGATGTGAGATACAGGGTGGACTGATGTGAATATTGGGTGGACTGATGTGAGATATAGGGTGGACGTGAGATATAGGGTGGACTGATGTGAGATATAGGGAGGGCTGATGTGAGATATAGGGTGGGTGGACTGATGTGAGATTTAGGGTGGACTGATGTGAGATATAGGGTGGACTGATGTGAGATACAGGGTGGACTGATGGGAGATATAGGGTGGACTGATGTGAGATATAGGGTGGACTGATGTGAGATACAGGGTGGACTGATGTGAGATATTGGGTGGACTGATGTGAGATATAGGGTGGACTGACGTGAGATATATGGTGGACTGATGTGAGATATAGGGTGGACTGATGTGAGATATAGGGTGGACTGATGTGAGATATAGGGTGGACTGATGTGAGATATTGGGTGGACTGATGTGAGATATAGGGTGGACTGACGTGAGATACAGGGTGGACTGATGTGAGATATTGGGTGGACTGATGTGAGGTATAGGGTGGACTGATGTGAGATATAGGGTGGACTGATGTGAGATACAGGGTGGACTGATGTGAGATACAGGGTGGACTGATGTGAGATATAGGGTGGACTGATGTGAGATATAGGGTGGACTGATGTGAGATACAGGGTGGACTGATGTGAGATATTGGGTGGACTGATGTGAGATATAGGGTGGACTGATGTGAGATACAGGGTGGACTGATGTGAATATTGGGTGGACTGATGTGAGATATAGGGTGGACGTGAGATATAGGGTGGACTGATGGGAGATATAGGGAGGGCTGATGTGAGATATAGGGTGGGTGGACTGATGTGAGATTTAGGGTGGACTGATGTGAGATATAGGGTGGACTGATGTGAGATACAGGGTGGACTGATGGGAGATATAGGGTGGACTGATGTGAGATATAGGGTGGACTGATGTGAGATACAGGGTGGACTGATGTGAGATATTGGGTGGACTGATGTGAGATATAGGGTGGACTGACGTGAGATATATGGTGGACTGATGTGAGATATAGGGTGGACTGATGTGAGATATAGGGTGGACTGATGTGAGATATAGGGTGGACTGATGTGAGATATTGGGTGGACTGATGTGAGATATAGGGTGGACTGACGTGAGATACAGGGTGGACTGATGTGAGATATTGGGTGGACTGATGTGAGATATAGGGTGGACTGATGTGAGATATAGGGTGGACTGATGTGAGATACAGGGTGGACTGATGTGAGATACAGGGTGGACTGATGGGAGATACAGGGTGGACTGATGTGAGATACAGGGTGGACTGATGGGAGATATAGAGTGGACTGATGTGAGATATAGGGTTGGTGGACTGACGTGAGATATAGGGTGGACTGATGTGAGATATAGGGTGGACTGATGTGAGATATAGGGTGGACTGATGTGAGATATAGGGTGGGTGGACTGATGTGAGATATAGGGTGGGTGGACTGATGTGAGATATAGGGTGGGTGGACTGACGTGAGATCTAGGGTTGGTGGACTGATGTGAGATATATGGTGGACTGACGTGAGATATAGGGTGGGTGGGTGGACTGATGTGAGATACAGGGTGGACTGAC